CACTAACGCTTAAAGTTGGAACAAGCGCTTGCTGCATGACATGGATTAGATAAATGTACTTCAAAATATTTTAAGCAGACGAAATTTAATATTTTATAAACAATTTAGAACACTTGAAGAAGCACACGTTAAGTTTGGTTAACGAGGGACCGTGGATGGTTTAACCAAACAACCGGCAGCGCTTAATTTAAGTTATGTTTTAGTTTGACAATTATCACATAGATGACTAGATGGCAACGCGAATGGTAAACATGGAAACCATCGTGCAACTATTTTGTATCATGTGACAACGTCTGCGGTTTGTATTCATAGTAACCATCAAAGAAAATAAACAACGTGCTTTTATTAAAACTATGTTTCGTGTTAGTTTGGTTAATATGAAACCATTCCGCATACTTAGACCTGGTGTACTAAACATTTTTTTATGCCTGTTTTTGCTGTGGCTTGCCGCATCGAAATTCCCAGGAAAGAAGTTTTCTTAATAAGAAAACAACATATCCCTTTTTACATTTACAGTAATTACCACGCCGCTCCTAAACTGTAAATGTCTTGACAAACTGAAGACTATTTGAGTTTCAATTTGTCGTTTTGAAAATGACTGACAAGATTAAAGTTTCCTTCGAAAGATTTTGAAAAATTTAGTCATTTCTCTTGATAGTGGAGTTCATCCTTTAAATTTTTAAAGGTGCTAAACCCCATACTCATTATCTGAGCGTAGCAACTACCCCTGCAAACTACAGCGCATGCCTAAGCTATCTACACTTCCTACCTGCGCATGGCACCGGAATTCCGCCCTGAAAAGGAATGCCCCTTGAAGGAGGTAACCCTTCATGCCCTTAACTTAACTTAACCTAGTGCATGTTGCACCTACGGGTGACCTCCAACTGGGGTGGGTTGAACTACTCATGCATTATAGGGGATACAGCCTCCAGGAGTGCCTTATTAGTCACTGTAGAAAGCCATTCATGAAATTGGCTAACTACAACGACTGCATGCTTTTACCGTACTAGGGGAGAGATTTTTTCTTTCCACCAAAACGACCATCTTTCCTTTGTCTGCAAGAGGACTTGCTCGCTTGATCCAGTCTTCTAAGGTCTTCTTACAGATGCTATTTGCATCCTCTACGCTAAGGTACCATTTGTACCCACTAGCCCCAAGTTGAAGTTGCCTTCCTTTGGCCAAACTTCACTTGCATTTCCGATTCTAAGCTACATGGTCCTGTCTATCCTTCTGCGAAGCAACAGCCGCTGCGATCATGCGTAGCTTCTTAAAGCAGTATATTCACACAGGGGTTATTCAAATTCGAAGTTTAATTATATAGAATAAACACAATTACATGTCGATCACAGACTCATAAACTTTGATACAACTTCACAAATGCTAATATACAAATTTTAATAATAGAATAAAAAAACCGCTTTTATCCCCTCTCAATCAAGACTATTTTTGAAAATACAGTTGTAAATTTCTTTAATAAGATAAAGTTATTTGCATTCCTGCATTAAAAAAATAGTCTTATAGTGGAATATACTGCACACCAGGATTTGTTTAGGGTTTTAACTGAATTTTATTAGAGATTTGACCTGTTAACAGGCTTAACTATTATCAAAAGGTATTTTTATTACACTTACGGTTTTCGACGAATCCTTGGGCAGTTTGATATTTGACTACGATAAACGACGAATCCTTTGGCAATTGTGAAGGTGAAATGAGCGGACGCTGAGCACGGACAGCCACACGGAAGCCCAAAACAGTTTTTTAAAAAATTCGAAAAGTCGATGGTGAAACCATCGTAACCAATTTTCAGGCTATCTGCCAAACATCTCCGATTTATGTCGACGACGGCAAGCACAGAAGCAAGATTGGCCATTTCTTACAACTGTGCATGTCACTTACGGCATAAAAATCGGAAATATCGACAGTCAGTCGAAAAATTAGGATTTTTAAGTTTTGTATTTTCATGCTAAAACAAAATTCCATGTTTTTATACCGAAGTCTTTTCAATTCAATTTCAATTATTGTCAAAATATGGGCTTTTGATGATGACTTTGTTTTATTCTTCTGTGAAACAAATTCTCATACCACGATAAATCAACGCTTGCAATTGACTTCTTTTGACCATGCTGGAATCGCAATCTTTTCCCAGGAAAAATAACCAGAAAAGATGTTTTAGAGCAGCAATGGTCCAATAAAACAATTGTCCGTATACACACGCGGACACAATACTTGGAAACTGTTCAAAGGCAGTATTTAGTGTTTGCCTTTGTAGCTTGTGATATGAACCTCTTTAAGGACAGAAGTCTAAATTTTAAACTTCATTAGCGTAAACATAGTCCATCTTGATCGTTTTTCAAGGTATCTAAATGAGATAATCGAGGATATTACATCAGTTCACAACATACATCTTGCAAACTTATAGACAAGAAATATGAACGTTAAAAAGATACTTACTTTGAACATTTTATTCAATAAAGCCGTTTAAGGAAGTGGAATTTCATTGAAAGTTATAAAATGTACAGCTGCCTAAGACAAATTGTTCTTTTTATGTGTAGCTCAGCCCACAAGGGATGTTCAACGAAAGCCACATCCGTATCCACCGAGAACAATGACCACTTTCTTTACTTAAACGAGTACAGCATCATGTTGAATATAACGCACCAACATTTGTTCGTTGTTTCTCAATCTTATTTGGTAGCCACTTGTCGTTTATGGTTTACCAGAACAGAAAACTTTCCGTCTAAAATCTAAAATATAAGGCATAGAACAAATATTAGATTCCATAACGAAAACTTTATGGAAAATACTTATTTAGGTCTCACATTTTGAGAAAGTAAAGATCACAATATCGTTCGCATTTCACACATATTTGAAAGACATGGTTTCGAACTCTGCTAACTATTCTTCGTGCTCGTACTGATGAACAGAATTAACTGACGCTTTACAAGTCTGAGTTCATGTTATGAACATAGCAGAAATTGCCTGAACGTGTTGTGTTCTTATTGGTCAGTTCCTGGGTGTGGTGTCATTGTACATGTTTACCAGTTAAAATGACTTACTAATTGTATTAACGCTTTGAGTTTTCATAATTGTATGAAAAGTAGAACAATGCATATTTTGTAAATACGCACACCAATACTACAAACAATTGCTAAATGCGTCAGCAAGCCAGCACGTTGCTGAAAAAACGCAAAAGACTTCAAATTAAAGAAATGTAAATCTTATTTACAATAAAGTCATTGTAGGCTTAAGAACAACACTATCCTTACTTAAATGTGAACTTATTGCTGGATATTTAATGATGCGATCAACTAACTCACCGTTCCTATTGGTCAGAAAATGAAATTTACTAAGCGCAGGCGTATGCGTCACACAAGAATTTTTAATAGAGTGGGAGAACTTCTACTGTTTGTTTTTATATACTGTAATACAGTTGTTTGAAAGTCCTCCATATATAACAATTTAATACGACTAAGGCCTGTTTTATACGTCGCATTTTACATGCATTGAATGCATTCAAAACAAAAAATTAATGAGGAATTATTTCTCATTTTCTTTTGTATCTAATGCATTCGACGCATGTAAAATGCGACGCAAAAAACAGGTCTAAAATTAGTCACATGCAGTTGCATGGTTATGTCTAGTTTACATTGGGTAAATGATAAATATAGATGTACGCAAAGACTTTTTTCATTTTCTTAAGAGGTTTATAAAGACAAAAGAAATCGACATTTTTTAAATTCTTTTTGTTCTTGTTTTAGCTTATGCCATAGAGTCTTTTCCTTGAGCGTATGGAGCATACATGCTTAAGTTTTGCTCAATCTTTTGCCTTTGCTTGTTACTTATGCTCTTACAGCTTTAGTTTCGCTTTCAATCTCTTGCAGTAGAAATTTTCGTTCAAAGCGCAAGATGATATCGTAATTATTAAATTCCAATGCAGCCATGATAGTGCTCCACAATAAAAAATGCTTGGAAAACAGGTTTTACATACGAGGTAAAACGACATGTTTAGTATACCCAAAGAGGTTAATTAATTACATAAGTCAAGCAATATCATAGAAAGTTCAAGAACCATTTCTGTATTGCAATCACTGTCTTGACTAGCAAGGTGCCTTCAAATCTGGTGCCAACTGCACTTTAGCGAACTTGCTGTGCGTCTTGTTATTCATGACAAGATGGAACAATAATATCTATACTTCAACATGTCTGACATGCATCGACTTCAAGAAGATCGAGATTGAGAATATAGAGAAATCCGTAAAACAAATCAAAAATGGTCATTTTTACTTACGTTCACACAAATGAAATAAGCAAAAACACAAGCAAAGACAAAAGACTAAACAAAGGCAATAAACAAAGGATACGACTTAAGCATTATCATAAGCACAAGTATAAGGAAAAGATGTAAACATAATCTTAAAGCTGAATTAAAGAAACAATCAGGCTTCTCTTCTTTGTAAACCTCTGTAGCAGAAAAAAAACAAACAAAGGTGTTCTAATTCATGCCTATTTTAGTCGTGTGAACCAGGCCTTATGATTATTTTACTTGTGTGAACCAGGCTTCAGCGCAGTTATTATTCCTTGCATTTTCCCCGATGATCTTATGATTCATGAACAGCTGGGGCCGGTTGCACGAAGCCTGGGATAATGTTATCCAATGGATAGCAAGCTTTTTGAGCTTTTATAAAACCTTTTAAAAAGCAAAGATTCAAGCTGTACAATCACTGAAAGAAAATATTGTTTCGAAGATTACAAAATTTCGTTGTCGTAAGAAAAATATAAACACCTTTTTTACAAATTTGTTGATTTTTGCTATCCGATGGATAACGCTATCCAGGCTTCGTGAACCGGCCCCTGATCCCCTGATAAGCAACTTCGAAAGCAGTTCATAATGTCTGTTGCCAAATAATGTAAACACGAATCCGACACGAGCTTCTCGAAGTTTTTAACAGTGTGTAAGCAAAAGAATTGCTCGACGTGCCCAAAATAAAACCATCAACGAGTTAAATTTCTGTAAAATCAATTTTTGGCGTGTGGTTTTCTTTATAAAACAGTCTGTACTCTGCAGTTATTAACTTTATGTAGAACAGTGTGTTTTGGCGGCTAAAATAGTCTGTAAAGACTCTATATTGCTTATTGGTAAAGTCTTATTTACAATCTTAAATACATCTTCAAGTTACTACGATGCTTATGTATATTTTCGTTTTATGAGTAAAAATACAAATTCCAACATTGACAAAAGGGCAACTATTTGCTACCGCTCATTTTAGTTTTTCTGAAATAGTGAAGCCTGCCATTTTGCTCACTTGTCGTATGATTGTCAACTATCACTTTATTTTTCGTCGACTTCTTTGAAGTTGGAAAATTCACATCTTGCAAATCAAGTCCGCTGTCATTTCTCTTTAACCTTTTTTGATGTGACCTACGAGCGATATTGAGAAGTTTCTCTGTTCCAATACCACCCACTTCTTGTACAAGCTCAAAAAATTTCGAAGTATTTTTTTGAAGAAGCTCATAGGGCTCATCAAATTCAACCAATCTCCCTTCATGTAACACCTAGGAAAAGCAAATTTATTTCAAAATATGTTTCATTTTGCAACAGCAAGAATTCTCAATGTTACATTATATTTGAGAACAACAAATTTAAACGATGAGGAGAACGTACCATAACTCTGTCAGAATCCATTATTGTATTTAGACGATGAGCAATTGTTAGCACTGTGCAGTCTTTGAACTTATTCCTTAAAGCTTCTTGGATCAAGCTGTCGGTTCTAAACACAAATTTCCAATTTGCAATTTTGTAGTTTTTATGTATTGAAGCACAAATATCAGGACAAAAACAAGTTAGTAGAAAAAATCAATTAAGATCATAGAAAACAAAAAGATATAGATGAAAGTGAGCAATGGCAGATCATGTGTCGTTATTCATAAGCCTTTAATAACCCAGCGCGAGGTCTTTACGGAGAAATAACGGACCGTGGTCTTTTTGTACAGATCGAGCCCGTAGGACGAGGTTTTTACAAAAAGACTGAGGTCCAATATTTCTCAGTAAAGACCGAGAAAGCGAGGTTGTTAAAAGGTTTATTATATGGCCTTATTTGACCTGAAACAAAGCTTGCTTTCTTTCTTGTCCTTGCTGTTTTGTACGGGTTGGCTTTCACTTTTATAGTTTTCGTCAGCAAAAATTAAATCGTTTCAAATTGTATAGTCTGGAAAGTTAAACTGTTTTCCCAGTGTTTTCCCTTCTACTCATATTCGTAAATGGTTTATTTTGCGTTTTGTTGTTTGCTTTACGAAGTTTGGTTACATATGATTGTAAAATTACGCGTTTTGGACCGTGGTCGATTACGGCAAAATAATGGACCGGCAAAATGTTTCTGAGCCAATCAAAGCGCGCCATTTTTTCCGGAAGTGACGCTTGCCATATAATAATATAAATTATTAACCAAAAGATATGTTTGTAATAGATAAGTTTTGCGATTTTAAGCTCACCTTTGGTCAACGTTTGCTGTTGCTTCATCAACTATCAATATTCTGTTTTGTTTCAAAATTGCTCGAGCAAGACAAAGTAGTTGGCGTTGTCCAACACTGAGATTGTTGCCCGACTCAGACAGGAAAGAGTCCAATCGCTCAGGAAGATTTTCCACAACTTCTTTCATCTGAACCTGAATAAATGAAAGGAAAAAGGTATATTTATATAACCTGCCACATCATGGCACATTTTTGGGCTTTCCATCTAACCTCTTCTAATGCATGCCAGATTTCTATGTCCGAATGGTTTGCGAATGGATCTAAATTTCTCCTTATACTTCCAGCAAACAAGATTGGTTCCTAAAACACAAACATAAAATTAACATTTGAAGCATTAATCTAAGAAAATCTATAAAAAGAAAGACCTATTTTGCGAAACACCAAAAAATGTGTTATAATAGTTTTCGCACAATTATAAATACAATATGTACTTGGGGAATTATAGACAGTTTTCCACGTAGATCGTTAAGTCCTAATTCTGTGATGCAAACACCATCAATTCTAATGACACCATCTGGTTCAGCCAGCCGAAAAAACGCTGAAATCAGCGATGATTTTCCAGCTCCAGTTCGACCCACAATACCAACCTAGATAGCAAAATTCATGTTCACAGATAGTATGATCAACAAACATAAAAATATTCCGGGAATTGATACAACAATGATGAATTTTTCAATCTTGCTTTACACAAAGCCGATAGCAGCACTTGCATTTATGTTTTAGCTGCATGCTAACTTCTTCAACAAAATTTTATTGTATTTCTTAACGTATACCTAAAGTATATGTTTTTTCTTTACCGTATAAAAAGTGTGTTATTTTTTCTTTAACATATGACAAGTGTTTTTTTCCGTTTATACTGAATCATGCATGCAAGGATTATGCAACTTCAAGTTGCCACGAATTAGCCATTTAAATTCTGAATTTTCTTGCCTTTTCTTTTGAGCGTATGCAAAAATTGAGATCTTTCAAGACGTTTGGAAGAGATGAATGATATGAAAATGATAACTTCTCTGCAGAAATGATTCCAAACTGAGGCCATTCCTTGCTTGGTTTTATTTCCTTATTATCTATTTTTGACTCTGGTTCCAGGTCGCAGTACTCAAGCACCCGCTCGACTGACACCATCTGAATAATCAAAATCATCGTTTTGATTGTGTGGTTTACAGCGAATGCTGACGTTGAGATAAAAGTTTACAATGTCGTGAAAATGTAAGAATGAATTTAAAATATAAAATTTCAACCAAGGAAAGTCCTTACAAATTTTAACATTAATGCTTCAAAACCAAAACTGATTTTCACCCAAACCTCAAGAAAGGAGGGAACTTTTTAAAAGTCATAAATGCTTATTTTCTGTTGAAGGAATGATACCGAAAGCTCTTTACTCAAGCTTGAAAATTCAAGGTCCTCCCTTTGCGCTCCCTCACCCCTCCAGTCACAGAAGACAAAATGTAACAGAATAAAACGTCCACGTTGTAGTTACCTGGTTTTCAACCTCTGCAGTTTGCCTGACACAAAATTGAAACATTCCAAACAACTGCCTTGTGTAAAGGAAAGCCAAACCAACCAATGATGCACTAACACCTGATGCAACAAAAAACAGAATCCATGAATGAAAAACTACTTTCGGAGAAATCACTATTTGATTTTTACAACATAGCTTTTATAGAGAATTAAATTCGACAAAACCCCACTGTTCTTCGTTATTAATGAATTAAATAATTTTAGTGCAATCTTCATAAATGTGAAAATTGTCAAAACTTCAGTAGAAAAAATGATAATACATACTTAACCCGAATTCCTGGGCAACCAAAGGCGCAAACACAACAATAGCAAAGAAGACAAAGCACAGCATATCAAGTCTAAAACCAAGCCATCTCACTCCAGTCAAAATAAGAAACCAAGATGAAGAATGATGATCTTGATATTGGTAATATTTCTGGAGAAAATCTTGTTGTGTATTAAATGCTCGAATGGTGCACAATCCTTGTAAAGTGGCAGAAACATGCGAGTACATTGGACTGCGGTCTGATAAACAAACGACAAAAAAAGGAATTTGTGATAGGTAATTTGGATATCATCTTTTGCTTTACAGAAGTATAAAATACATCGCCGCATATGAATAAATCACAGTTATCTTTTCAAAGAAACTCAAACCATAACACGTCACTCACTTAAAGATTCTAATCTTTTAATTTCTCTTGCTGTTTTGATATAATAATGACGCAACCATAAAAATGCAAAAACCACAGGTATAGCACCAAGCAGTAGATATGGTTGTGATATTACACACAGCAATAGAATGGATACAGTGAGAACAACTAACTGTAAAAGAAATTCAATGTTTTTGTTGAAATTACTACATGAAATATATATTATAAATATATGGAACAACTATATAACCTGAGTAGCTTCGTAGAACGTAGCGGGTAACATATCGTCCATAAATCCAATATCCTTGGAGAAACGATTTAGGATTCGACCTAAAAAAACCAATAAAATTCATTAGGGTACAACGTTGTAAATGATGGCAAATGAATTTAAAAAATGTTTTGCTCAGCATCTTCAAGATCTACTTACCAACAGGATTTGAATCAAAGAAGTATATAGGAGCACAAAGAATAGCCGCAAACATTTTGTTGTGTAGATGTTGTGAAGCGTTGATGAGGATATAAAACATTACTAAAGCTCTGCCCACAGACATCATTATAGAAGCAGCAACCAGACTAACATAGACACTTATGTTTTCTGTTCTTTCCGAATCAATCAGATATTCACTTCTATTTCTGCCAGCAAACACTGTTTCTCGGTCTGCCCTGTAAGATATTTTGGAAAGCTAGTTCTCTTGAATGATATGAAAAAGTAAAATAAAAACACACGTGATTATTTCAAAATGAAATATTTTCTGTATATTATATTGACTATATTTGAAAGTATCTCTTACACACCATCTAGCAAGCCACCAATCAGAGACAAGAACACAAGCCTGAAATAAAAGCATTCCATCTTTCTTATTTTTTTCGTTTTCATACCATTGAAATATGGTCGTGCTTCCCATATCTCATGCAGTCTACCACTACCTGAAATATCTTTATACAATCGATCATTCATAAGCATGCATTTCCACTCAAGTTTCGGCTGAAACGATGTCAATTATTGGACATACCTGACAGAGCAAAAACATAAAACATCCAACAATAGCAAAGAAAATATTAGTTCCAGCCAGTATGTATTCTTTATATACTCTCCACGATACTGTACCAATAAATTTCTCCTCTGTTTTGCTCTCCTCACTTTCTTTTTTCTAATCAATTTTCATAAGAGTTAATGGTAAGTTAAATAATTTCTGCATGAAGTAAATATTGAATGAAATTAAGTCAAGTCTCTATTTCTCTTTATCACTACAGGGAGACTTAAAATTGTATTTTAGGAAATTATAAAACATTTGACAATCCGTAAAGGCCCGTTCACACGATCCGATTGTTTCGGTTCCGAGTTTTGGCTGATTGTTCAGACGGTCGGATAAAATTTTGTTGATATTTATAGTCGTGGGTTCAGCCATTTATGTTATCCAGGAAATTTATTGATATATTTTGCGTATTTTTGTTCTCGTTTCCAAGTCTTTTCGCATCTAATGTTTTGCGCTAATTGAAATTTGTAAAGTATGGAGAGTGAGAAATCCGGGACTAGTCGGCTTTCTTTGATCTTGTCAGATGAAAATAGAGCAAGAAAACAGTAATTAGCAGACGTTTTAAAACAGACGTTTAGCTAAATTTTCTCGTGTGGTAACATGGCTAGAAACACTGAAAAAAACGAAAATGAAAAGATGCAAAAATAATTAATGAAAAACACCTGAAAGGTCAAAGGATTTCTACGCAGTTCCAAAGACAAAGAGAATTTAAATCATACACTTACTTCTGTTTCTGATTCCTTTATGTCTAATTCCAATAGGCTTGCAGTTGTATTTGTTAATCTCGATGAACTTCTTTTCTTTCTTGAAAACGTAGAGTGAAGTAGATCATCTGAGAAATCATTCTTTCCAAGATTATCAAGATTGAGATTACTACCATGATTTGAGATATTTTCTAAAGTCAGCACAGAATTGTTAGCGAGAAGATATGATTTTTGTCTTCCAGACATTATATACATTGACTGCGTGTCTTTAACATCTCGGTTTCGTCGGAAATTTTGTGGAGTGAAAGACCCAATGGTAACTGGATGCCAAGAAATTCTTTGATTGCTTTTTTTTGTTTTACTACGATAAATATCAATCATTTGTTTGTTGTCAATCCTCTCGTGAGGTGGCGTACTTAAAGATCTTTGTAAATCCAACGTCTGGTTAAAAGATAATGAAATCGGTCGCTCAATTTTTTCGCATTTCCTTTTCTCCAATGCAACTTCATCTGAGATAAAAACACTTGAATCATCATCATCTTCTTGCTGAAGTAGCGCGAAAATGTCAACACCATTTTCCATAAGACTCTCAAGATTACCGTATCCAACCAAATTACCCTATGTTTAAATAAGTTTTTCTTACATGAGATGACACATTAGATAATTAATCTTCATTATTTTGTAAATTCATCATGTTGTATCCTTCTATTTTCTGTTGTGCTGCACATAATTAAATAATTAGTAGTGATAAATACTTTGTCAAATTTTGCAGACAAAGATTAAATGAAATGATTTCTGAATAGACATGATTGATTGAAACCTTACATATAAATGCAAGCTATCAAAAAGAAGTGACCTTTAAAAGTCCTCGTTTACACATGGCAATGTAATCGTAAAATCATAGAGCAAAAATTTTATATTTCCATACAAAACATACATTCGTCTTTTATGCACTTATATACAGCACGCAGCTTGTGACAAGTAGATCCATTAACTACTTACTTCGTGTAAGCAAAGGATAGAATCAGAATCTTTTAGATATTGAAGTTGATGAGAGACAAGGATGCATACTTTTGTTTTCAAAATACCACGAATACATCTTTAAAAATCAGGAAAAAGGGATAACTTTAATGGCAAAATATTTATGTAATAAAAAGTGCAGCTGAAAATGACATATGTACGTAAGAAAAATCAAGGGTAAAAACGTCACTTAATCAGGTGTATAAAATGAAATAATATAGAGCTTTGTACTTACTCATCAAATATGTGTCTTCCGACAATTGAATCAACAGCGCTGAAGGGGTCATCCATCAAATATACATCAGCATCAGAATATACAGCCCTTGAGGATACAGAAATAAAAAGTTACGACCACTGGAATTTGGTAAGTTTAAAATTGAATTTTAACCATTTCTTCAGCACACATGCATAATGTGCTTGATTTACCTCGCTAAATTAACTCTAGACCGCTGGCCACCACTTAATGTGATGCCCCGTTCCCCAATAAGAGTCAAATCACCATTTTTTAGGTCTTTGATATCCTAAGGGTACAAATAGTTGAACATCTTATCAAAAGATTTGCAAAAGAAAGCCGTGAATGACACAAATGAAACATGTAAATGACGTAGTCACGGTGATATAAATGGATGATAGTAAATAATGTAAATTTAAGGTTAAATGTTATAATTTACATAAAGCAGGAAATTAAAAATCACCAATTTTTATAAAGTGGACACCACAATCTAGCAAATAAGAGAATACAAATAAGCAGGAATTATACCTTATCCAAAGCACAAGCCATAATTACTTTATCATATTTCTCTTTTTCATATTTTTGGCCAAATAACACATTTTCTCTCAATGTTCCTGTGAAAGTCCACGCCGATTGCGAAACATATGCAACGTGTTGAGGTATAAGAATTTCCCCCTTTGTAAGAGGTAATTCGCGCAAAAGTGCCATGAGCAAAGATGACTACGATAAAACAAGAAGTTGTATATATTAGTGACGTTATTGTCTCTTGATTTTTATTTTACATAACATAAAATCACGCAAAAAAGTATCTACAATTTACAAACCAGCCGGAGTTTTATCAAAAACTATTGATTGTTATGAAAACTGGTCACACATACCTATAAATTCTTTTATTACATATTACAAAAACGTCAATAAAGTCAGACATAAGCATGTAAACATTGTTAATCAGTAAAAAAGTCCATGAAGAAATAAATTAGTTAATCATATTCAAAGGTATTTTAAGTATAATTCGTCGAGATGAAACATAAATAGATAACATTTAGTCGTGGCGTTAAAGTAAAACATCAAAAAATTAAAGAAATCTTCCTTTATGCTGCAGAGCTGATGACATGGTGAGTTAATTTGTTTTCAAAATGAGCCTTGGACAAAAGTATAAACGACAGAAACAGTAAATAGCTGTACCTTTCCGCTTCCTACAGGCCCAATCACCATAAGAAGTTCACCCTGAAAAATTTCTTAATTCCTCAAACACAAAACATGATAAAATCGACAAAATAGTGGTGCTCACTGGTGAAACTTTAAAACTGATATCCTTTAACGTTTCCTCACGATTCTAAACAGAATTGTCGATCAATTATATAGTTGATATTATTTGTATTAAATAATGTATAAGAAATATGTACCTTATCCCAAGATGCAGTGATACCACGTACTATAGTTTCTTTGTGTTTGTTATTTGTTGTATCTGACGTTGGAACAATTCCTTCATCCATTAGCAAAAAATCCTACAGAGAAAAAATTAAAACCAACCGTTCAACCTGAGATAAGATAAATACTATCTGAAAAAGATTCCATATCCACCCATCCTAATAACAACAACAAACTTCTTGCAGTCGACAGACATTAGAACTTCAACATTAGCAATTTCTCCCAGTCAGCTGACGTATATTTTTAGAACAATCGTTGTTTAATTTTAATATAATTCAAAAACACCCGAATCAAGACCCATAAAATCATAGACATTCACTAATTTGTAAGAAAAATCATGTGATAACATACTTGAATACGTTTCATAGAAACACCACCTTCTTTTAAGAACATGATACTATTGGGTACAAATATTGTCATGACTACTCGAGCTGACATGAATATCCCTATAACTGTAAACACTTTCTCTGAGGTAAGAGATCCACCATTGAGGACATAGGTAACAAACATGGTAAGCGTCATGAGTGGAATGGCAATAATGAAAATTGAAGCATTTAATGCACGGTATCTCGATGTTCGTTTGATCTTGTCACTCTCCTGTCTAAGAATAAAAATCATAAAAATTAATAAAGAAGAATATAAATACACGTTGTGTTACATTATGATTGCACATACTTTCGCACATCAGTTACGAGTTTGTGAAATGAATCCTCCCATGTATTCATCTTTATAATCCTCATTGCAGTAAGCACCTCATTCATGATTCCAATTCTTTGATCCGTAAACAACGCACTTTTCATCCTGAAGAAGGTTATTAGCTCAAGATAACTCATCTTAACTCAATATACTTTCAAGAATATTTTGAAACACGCATACTTTAGGGAAGCAAAGAATCGTCCTATCCAGGCTTGAAATGGTATCAATAATAAAAGAAGTATAAGTCCAGGTAAGAAAGATATCCCCATTTCCATCCAGCATAAGTATGAAATAGCACCAATTAAGAACGGAGCAACAAATAAATAAAGCAGAAAAAAGGCAACCTAAAATCAAGTCAGCGACAAAAAATAAAAAAATAAGTCATTCCACACAATTTAAGCACAAGATGATGTTTTATAATGATAGTCAGATATAATAGCCTAAGAGAAAATTTGACATCAAATAGATTAAATAACTTTTTGTTCGGATCAAAGCTTATAAAAGTACAATATGCTATCTCCATTAATTAAAGCCAGTCTATATTCATCAATTTAAACCTACTTGATCCAATTTTTGAACGTCATTTGTAATCAAATTTACGATCTTTCCAGTCGTAGTTTCCCCAAGAGAAGAATGACTCATTCTAAGAGCCTAAAATCAATCAAAATTAAGATATATCAGTCGGTTTTCATACTATAAACTCGAGCTTAAATCTAAATGATTGCATAGTTATAAATATCATCTATACCACATTAAAATAGATCACCTTTCGGTAAATTAAAGCTGCTGCTGCAACTCGTAAATGCATTCCAGCTCGCATAACTCCAAGAAACATAGGATGGGGCACAATAGATTCACCAAAAGCACATGCAATCATTATAACAGCATAAAGATAAGCCTTCCATTTTTCTTCTGTGGAGCCAATTGTGAAATAGGCCACTAGTTTACCAATGCATATAGGTTGAGCCAAACAAAATGCTTCCTAAATAGATACGTTGAGAAATTGAGTGAAAATTCAAAACGATAAAATGAACAGAAAAGACTAAAGTGAAGAAATATAACCAGAAAGAGCGTTAGCGTTAGAACGCATGCATGAAATGGAGATCCAATAACAAATGTCAGACATTTTGAACTATAAAATAACTGAAAGAAAACCTCTCCGACAGTTTGAACTTTGAATAAGAAATACGGTTAGTTTCAATTTTTTTCACAAACCCACAGGATACAGAGATTTTATCAAGCTTAGTTTTCATAACGTTCGCAAGAATTTGGTGGCATGAAATTCAACAATTTTACTTCAATCACTGCTTTACATACTATAGCATGTTTTATATCGTACAAAAATTATTTTAACCTTATCAGTAAAACAGGGTTATGACAGTAACATAGTCAGCCAGCAAGTTTTAGTCCAGCTACAATTGAGGACCATTTTTCATTCCTTTAGAAATTTGTAGTTTTCACAAAAAATAAACGAAAAAAAAAGATTGTAGAGCTAGACTTAATAATCGTGCTGGCTACGTCACTGTTTATATATTCTAAAAAGCAAACCTTCAGAAACATGTATCCCAAATTAAACAGATAGCTGAAACCAAGAAATTTAGCGAAAGGTATGAAAAGTTTCGGTTTTTCTTTTGTCCTTTTTTCTGCGTCCCAAAGTCTATTTCGAAAGAAGAAAAGACCATAAAGTCATTAATTTGTCTTTTTGATGGGGGAAAGTGTATTATTTTTTAAATTTAAACGTCTAACCTTTCCAATTCATCTGCAAGTTCTTCCGTGGCATCATCTGGTAAAACATTGTAAACATCTGAATCATCAAGAGGTCCTTTACTTCCTTTCTTAAATAACATGTTCAGCCATCTAAATCAAGTAAAAAATAATGATCACATTACATGCATTGTATATTTCAAAAATATAAGCATATAACAGTACATAGCGTAATTAAGCAGTAGCAAGAACTTCAGATTCGGATAAAGATGACGTCACATATATATGGCTCCGGTACAAAAAAATGACTGTTTCTAACTGGTTGGTGTAGAGAGTTCATTTGAAAACATATTAATTCTGTGTGTTCAGTGATAAAAGTAATTATGTTCATGCACGTGGAAAGTCCTTAATTCAAGCATTACTTTAGTGCGAAGTCTTGTCAAATAATGTAATTATTGATTACTTCTAACAAATCAGTTGGCAAATTTCATCTTGATAAAATATTTTTCAGTAATAGTTAAGTAATGAAATTCGTTCTATTTTTAAAATGCCAACAACATAGCATTTATTCTTCAACGAAACGAGTGTATTTGGTGCTCTGGAGAAAGAACTACGTACAGCAATTTTACAGCATTTTCAAAATTATCTGTTCAAACGAATGAGTTTCAGGTAATGCAACAACAGTAAATTATGGGAAAAGTATTCCTTCTCGCAGTACATTTTAAACTGCTTCCAAATGACATAGCAACCAGATGATAGCAACAAAATAATCCTGTTCCCGCGCCATAACATGTGACGTCATTAAACATCAAACGGTACGTTCGTTGTACAATCATTTACATCAATGACTAAAATTACACTTTTATTCAGACAACTTCCGATCGAAATAACATTTAGTGATATCTCAAGTTTTAAAACCGCACTGCTTTGGTAAACGATGACCAGTACAACATCAAGTTTTATGGATAAAACATTTGCAAAAACCATTTAACAGTATTTAACAGAAATGAAGGGTAGTTTTATTAATTAGATAATTATGTTGGTTACAATGTGTACGCATTAGACACAAGCATATACAACTGTAAACATTGCGCTAAAAGTGCGATCATTTTTTCAAAACTATAATAAAATTACCAATACAGGTGCCAAATAAACCAAAGAAAGAGGGGAAGATATATTTATTGCAAGACAGTTCGTCTACGGTCTACCGTTTTGCTTTATGTTTATAACAGATGCGCATATTTCAAGAGAAATTGAAACACTTACCCTTGTGTAAGTTTTCGTGAAACGACGTTGGCAACAAGAGCTGGATTGCTTAATGGTTGTAAAATACCTTTTTGATTCATCGATGAACATTGAACTTGCGATGGAAGAAAACTTATAGGAGAAAAAAATGAAAAGATACAAGCGATAAGAATGAAGTTAAATGCCACAAATAACAGCGATACGCAATCTTCTCCGCTTTCATCGCTCTCTGACATTTAACCGCTATTAACATAGCGGAATATCAACAGCGGGGTTTACACACCACCGAACTTAGTTCCCATATCATGAATAACAGAAAATTATTTAATTCCCACTCATCATCTACAGATAAAATAAAGACTACGTTCACATAAATGATAAAAAATTAAATGCAAAAATGCTCTTTTAACTGACTTTTTTTCATTAGTATTTTTTGAAAATGAGTACAACCAATGGAAAAGAACGGACTAAAGTTAATGGGCTCAAATATTTTACCATTGAGTGCTAAATCATACCAAATTTTAAGATTTTTTTATCACTGCACATTTTCTCAAAAATTTACCAAGCCAGCATCAAACTCGTGATGTTACTCCGTACTTTAAAATAATGATTGTTAATTTGTTATCAATGCACACTAAAATTACCATGGTGTCATTCCCATGGTGTCAAATAACAAAGATCGCCATGTTGGTTGAAAGTTGAATTGTTAACAAAAAAAATCCTTTTTCAAATTTAACCAACATGGCGGCCGTGACGTAACAAGTAAACCACCTATTGCAATGATCGCAACATTTGAATGATCTATATGAATGTTCACAGAAATATTCACAGAAATATTCCTAGAGAATAGTGATGGACTCACAGTCACTGCAATGTGTTCGTTTGCAAAACTTTGATCGAGGGTTTTATCATACCTGCAAATTACGTTTAAAAAAAACAAATAAAATTCTTTGAAAAACCTCGTTAAAATAGACAGGATTAATCTTTAGCAAAACACATTAAGGCTCATTAAAACTACGAACGTGAAACTGATATCAAACCCAAAATTTTCAGTTTTTTAGTGAATATCCCTTGAATAGGACGTAGGCAAATGTAAACATATACAGCTGTCTCATTCTTGATCGCTCAACTTGCTGTATAAGTAAATTAATTCATGATCTATGCATGCGCCTCTATCAAAAATATGGTTGAATTTTCAACCATTCACCTATATCTTATCACAATATTCAGTAATAAAATAAAGCATAATCCGAAAAAGGACATCTTGTAATTTTAAATTTAAGTTGTAATTTCTATAATCGTTCTATTTTTATAGTTCCCTAAAAATTTCTACATATTGTACATTTTAGAAAATTAAATAAAAGTACACGAGATAAAAGAGTGCAACTTATCTTTATGGATAGAGCAAAATACAAATTTATAGAAATGAAATAAATAATATCAAGAAACCATTTACTAAACAGTGTTTCACGCCTGTGGTTTCTTGATGTTATTTATTTCATTTTTATAAATTTGTATTCTACATTTTTATAGTAGAATATTTCATTTTTATAAATTTGTATTCTACAATTTTATAGTTATAAGTTATAAATTCTTGTTTTATAACTTAATTGAAGTTTACAAGATTTCTATTTTCGGATTATGATTTATTTTATATCTAATGAAATGGTCGTCTCGTCAAGAATATTCAGGATTTTTTTACTTTTGGTAGTTTCGACAAAAATCAAATAGAAAAGTATTTAATAAACTTTTGGGAAAATCTTTTTAAGACTCAAACATTACTTTTTGTATTCTCATTTTTGATTTATAAATTCACTTGCAGAAGTAAATATATTAATGGATCTACGCATGTGCAACGTTCAAAACATTGCTAAATATTTCAAGCATGCGCATTGCATTCCATGTTTCTAAAGGCCCAGATTTGATAAAACATTTAGTGCTCTCACTTTTAAGGAATTATCCTTAAAAATAAGATTTTCTAAAGGTTTTGAGGATATTTTAAGGATTTTTTTATACTTTAAATTAATATACACTTAATAATATTTAGTATTTTATTACAAATACAACGTTGACAAACTTGAAAACAGCAACAAAACGAGGAAGAACCATGAAAAAACACTTTTTAAGCCTATGTGATCACGCCTTGTAGTAATTTTTACAAATTTAAGGAATTTAATGGAAAATTGAGGAATTTTAAAGCATTTTCTAAGGAACTAGGAAATTTGATTGTGAGAGCACTGAAACATTGTAAATAGATCATTCGGTTTACTTAAGCGGTATAACGATAGATTAAATGGCATCACACCATGCTTACTCATCGTTTGACTTGATCAACTCATCTTCGTCCACAAGAATTCGTCTTGATGAATAAATTTGTCTAAAGTTCAAAAATAGGGCAAGTCATTGCGATATTACATCATGCTTAAACAATAAAAATTCCTTATTGAAGCATCAAATGGATCGATTTTCGGTAATTCAGTTTGGAATTTAAAGTACTAAGCATTTTTTTACCTCATTTACAAAAAGAAATAGCAATGAAAAAGAAATAGCAATGACTGAAAACGAAAACAATTACTGCAAAAACTAGAATAGCTTTTCATTAAAGGAAATGGATACCCTAAATACCATACAGTCATTTATTTTATAATCTCAAATCAATGTAATGGAAGAAATGTAAAATACAGGCACAACATTAAGCCAATACTTGTATACAAAAGTTAACTTATTCAATGTTTAAAAGAATGCGAATTGCGAAATACTATTCATAATCTGAAGATTAAATTTATCAAAGCATTAAGCACTGCATAAATGAAATAACATTCATTCATCACAGTTAAAGTAATATCTCTTGCTCCGTGGGATGCAAACACTTAAATTGAACAAATGCGACCTTAGGTTAGTGAACTATATAGCTATACCAGACATTGGTCAATAAGAGTTGGAAAAAGATATACTGATTTGAAGTGTTTCATTCAGTTTAAAAAAAATTCTTGACGATTGGAAAAAGATACACTGATTTGAAGTGTTTTCATTCAGTTTAAAAAAAATTCATTGTTTTCGGTACGTTCAATACCAAATGTCAGTGGGATGGTAACCCAATGCGCAACAAAATATCAATAGGACGTTTGTTAAACATGAGAGTGTAGTGACAATGTAGGGAAGTAGCTTGATGTTATGCAAAACAAACATAAACGTTTGATACTGTTTAATGCTAACATTTGGAAAGTATTCATGAACAACAAAGAAAAACAACCCATATGACGTTTCTATCTCTTGGCATTTCAACATCAGCACGTGAACGAGAAGCATGATAAGGGTATGATTACCATATCGAGTGGAATGCGCAGTAGGAACAAATATATTTCCAACACGAAAAGCAATGTCATATCGTCCTAATTTCATGTTTAGTCCAACTGATAAAAAAACCTCGGTAAGAGGTCTGTAACTAACTAGAGAATATAAAATACTCCTTCCAACTTCATTTTATTTGTTTCTCGTTTTCTCAACAAAATAATGACCAGGCGCAAAATGAGTAATTAAAGAGCGCGGAAATTATTTCAAGATTGGTGGGCTCAAGTTCAATTTTACAATAGAGCAGCAATTAAGAATCCTAAAGGAAACTGAAACTCGTCTCATCGAACTTATTTAACGTCTATAATACAAGAATACTGGAGGATTAATAAAATGACTATCATTTATAAATTTATGGTTTGATAAAAAATACGTAAAAGTATTTTTTCGCAAAACATACCAAATAATTAAAAGAAAACAGCTTGTGTAATCTTACGTCATGAACATGTTTTTAAATTGATTCAGTATGGTTGCAAGATGTCGAATTAAGGACGAAATATCAATTTTCAGGTTGAATAAAAGCATGCTTATATTGATCTTTTTAAACGCATTACACTAAAAAACTTACTCTCTTTTATATCGAGCCACCGCCATCGGCCAAGTTCCGTGTCTTTGCAGCTCCATAGCTCTAGATTATGTGACTAAATTTCTTCACTTTTAACGAAGAAACTCGCGTAAACAGAGGTGTAGATGTTAGATTAGGAAATGATAAGTTAATAAGTGTGGTGCATGCCAAAATAACTAATCAATGCTACGAATAGCCAAAATCCTTCGATACTGGACGCCACAATCGTCAGAATCAAAGGTTTTCTGTTCTCATTCCTTTGCAACAGAGATGTACCAAGTAGAGGAGCGAGTGATTGCCACACTATGCATGCAGGGAGAACAACCTCTCAGAGTGAGATATCACGCATAGAAATATGTTAGCCAGTGGCATTTAATCACAAAGGCAATATTTGCAAAAAACACAAACACATTCAATTCTAAGAAGCACAACAATTCCAGGCGCATGTCGAAGAACTTCTAATTAGTATATAATTTCGTCTTCATGAGCAAAGTTAACGTAAAAGAAGACAATTCTTGTTACAATAGCGAAGTTTTTTTACACATCTGCTTATCAAACAGTGCTTATGATAATATTTGTGAACTTGAGCCGTACGACTGTTGCCATATGACAGTAAGGAGAGAATTTCCCTATTGAGTATCATATTTTATCTTGTATATGCTTCTACATTTGTTAAAAAAATATTCGTTAATCTACAAAATGATGAAGCACGAGATAAGGAATAAACTACATTGAACGACCTTGATGAGATAAAAGTTGCCGCACTCCAAAGAAGGAAAAGATCCGGGACATCATTTGCTTGGGCGTATAAATTGTCCGAACCATTGACGTGTATATTACAGGCACCGCGCATTCCAAAATAAGTTTGAGGCCGGAAAAGACCATAGACCGCCATATTCAACAGTTCTTAAGTTGACTAAAATTGAGACTTGATAGTTTTTAATCAACTATTATATCCTCCACATATAATCTGGGGAAATTTTGGTCAAAACTCTAGCATGCATCCAGTCTTTTAGTTAAGACGAAAAAAATTTAAATGTGGAGTCCACATAACTATATTATAATAAACAGTAAGTTTGTTAACAATTCCACCCACAGAAGTTGAATCGCAAAACATTTTACTCGAAATAAGTATGTTTGAATGTAATAGCTTTAGATCTTATTGTCATATAGAAACAATACCAACGAAGAGATAAAAGGAAAAAACACATCACCATAATAATGTTCTTTTTAATCCTCATCAATATATTCAAAGGGTTCAGGAGGCTCTGGTTCATCATCTTCGTCGTCCATAGTAGGATTCTTAGCAGCTGTAAAATAATCATCCATCAGATTATGTTGCCTACTTCAAAAAATATAATTAAATTGTTCAAACAGAAAGTCTAAAAATCAATGAAAAGTTTGGAAAAAGTTGGCTCATTTTCCGCTGTTCGAAAGTATATTCAAACTTTGCTTGTTAAAAATTGTAAAATATTACTAAACCTGGCAAAGGTTCAAGAAGTTCTTCTGGCTCGTCCAATTTTGAGTTTCTCATCATAATTATGCCACCGACACTAACCTTCAATATAAATAAAAAATAACAAGTAATTTAGCACTTAGTACAAAAATTACGAGTAGAGTTTTGCATAATCAGGATTTACAAGCACTTACAGGTTTTAACGCAGAATATCGACTGTCTTTCGCCAGTGACACAAGCTTGAGCTAAGAAACATCACCACAAATAAAGAAAACATATCATAGAAAAACCTTATTACAAAACAGTATATTCTGATAGAGTACATGCTTTTTCAATAGTATCCAAGTAAGTGGGACTTTACATACATTGTTAACTTGACATAACGTGATAGTAAAATAATAAACAATAATCTCATATAAGATTAAATACACCAATAAACAACAAACTTAAAGCATTAAATAAACCAATAAACAATGATCTTATAAAGCAAGCATTGAACAAACCAATCAACAATGATCTTATAAAGCATGCATTGAACAAACCAATAATCAATGATCTTATAAAGCATGCATTGAAGAAACCAATAAACAATGATCTTATAAAGCATGCATTGAAGAAACCAATAAACAATGATCTTATAAAGCATGCATTGAAGAAACCAATAAACAATGATCTTATAAAGCATGCATTGAAGAAACCAATGAACGATGACCTCAAGCATTAATAGCAATTTCATGTTCAAACGCAATTAATGTTTATTTTTAAAATTGATTTTAAGAAGAAAGTACAATCCTTCAAAATTCACATATTGAAATTTTTAAAAATGTAACTTTTGAATATTATCAAATTTTAATTTTTTTGAAAATAGCAATATAATACTATAGTTGAAGTTGGAGTATCATAACAAATATTGTTATTGAGTTTAAAATGCCTATTTTAAGTCTTCTAAATATGTTTAATGACTAATTTGCAGTTTTCATAGTAAAAAATGAAGCAAGCCACGCAAACAAATTTTGCATAAACATTACAAATACTAATCGATACTTGACACATATGTGATGTCCGTTACCAACAAAACTCTCATTTATTCAAGGAAACAGAGTATTAATTTGAATGTTGCTCCAAACTATCAATCCTGAATATTACAAATGTCCATAATTAAATAATTTGTGATGATGTAAAGTCGTTCAGAAGAAACAATAGTTATGGATAAACAACTGCATTTAACTGCATGTCTAATCGAATGTAATGTATGCTGCATTAATAAATATGCAAATTATTGAAAACTGAGTTAACTCCTAAATACCACACATACATGATGGTACTTAAGGAGTCTCAGTGAGTCATTCTTGTCAAATTTAAAATTATTTTTAATAAAAATCGCTCAGTCATTGAAATGTCTACATTGGTGGTTGACAAACATGCTATTGTCTGTGACATGGAATTTTCCTTAAACACACCAATAAACAATGACCTTAAATAATACTGCTGGCACGTTTCGATAAATTTCATTGTATTACCAAAATTAAAGTGTAGATGATACAAAAATTAGTTACCTTAAATATAAGATCTCGTAAAACTGCAAGAGACTCTTTTTAACATCAATATTTGCAACTCTGGCGTTTCATATGATATGGAAATTAAGAACTTTATATTTACGTATTCGTTTCTAATAGATAGATAGCTAGATGTTTTATTTCATAAAAACATTGCAGCTAATAGGCTGACTTGTGTTTACATTTACAAGTTTGAAATATATTAAAATTAAAACACTTTAAGAAATTCTAGATTAAGTGTAAATTGATGAAAAAAAAAACACGGTGATGAGTAATTTAATTCCTTTTATGTATTCAAAGTATTTTTAAAACGGCAAGTTTGAAATGCAGCGCTAAATTTATGATTAGATTCAAGAATCATAATAAAATTTTCATTTTACTTGCATTTGGTTTTGTTCAAGTCCCACTTCTGTAATAAATTGAAGTGCAGCAAAATCTGATGTGTTTCCTTTAAATTTAATTTTTCACAATAAAACATTTTCGCATTTTACTTATTATAAACTATTTCAGTATCTTCACAAGATGAAAAATTCAATACAATATGTTCAAATATAAGTCAAATTTAAGCAGTAAAATAAATAAATGTATACAAATGATGTAATACAATCAAACCTGTGCTTGCATAACTCGTGAGGGATTATCTAGAACTTGTATGTCTGGCTCAGCTTCTTTCTTGTTTTCACTTTGATCTTTCTTGTTGACATTTAAATCTTCAGCTTTTTGAGCTGGTTTATCCTGAATGGCGAGATGAAAGAAAGATATAGCAATGTGTCTCTCATTAATATTCAAAAACTATGATAACGCAAAACACCCATAGCTCATATTTACTTTATCATTTTATTTGTATATGCAACGATATGATATTGTTGACTACGTAGTATGAAAATCAATGCAAGTGATAATATTTTAAGCAAAACCAATTTGGAAATAAATAAATGAATGAATGAATGAATGAATAAAAAATAATTGGGCTATTAATTTTTATAATACAAATTCACTTTTCGCCTTGCACATCACTATTATAAAATTGACTGATTTACCACATCCATTGGCTCCTCTTTTTCTGCACCATCTTTCTTCGTTTTTTTGGCTTTTGATGAAAATGATAATACAGCTTTTGTTACCTAATAGAGAAATGTATGATAATCATAAAAAATAATAACTGTAGTATAATATGTAGAAGTCTGAAGTGACAGCGAAGTATGTTCAAATAAGTATGACAAATGTAAGACAGCGATGAAACGTTCTGTAGGGATGACTCATGATTGAGGAGTTATGTATATAACTACGACAGAGTAATTTAGACACGAAAGTCCCCATATACTATGATATTCGCAGATAATAATGTGGTATGTCTTGAGAATAGGGAGCATGCAGAGACTACTTTTTTTGAGAGTTGGAGTCTTGTTTTAGAAAGTAAAAGAATGAAAACAAGAGGAAAGAAAACAGATTACATGTGTGTGAGTGTGTTGGTCTCAGGGTTTCCTTGTTCAATAATCCTATATACACATTACGTAACGCTAACCTTCTCTCTCTCTTCTTTCTTCGGAGGTTTCAAAGCTTCGGGGTAAGCAAATAAAGACGGCTTGGCATTAGAAATAAATTTCATTTTCGGCATCTGCAAACAGCATAAACATTTGAATGTTTTAGTTTTAAAGTGTGTTTGAGCTTAAAAATGCGATGTAAATGACATAAACCTCATTAGGAAGAAATATCAAGGCACAAAAAAATATTTAAAAAAAGTTTATACGTAAAAGCACACAGTACCTTAACATCAGAATTTAAGCCAATGAGACATGTAGGTGTAAATGCCAAGGATATAAAATGAGTAAGTGGGAACCAGTACCAATAATGTGTGAAAACCAAAAGACCAACAATTGACATCATGTGGGTATGACCAGCGCGAGATTGAAGAGATATTGTTACATTTCGACCTCCTAAAACGACAATGAACACAATGAAAGTAACTTGCCCATCACTGGACGCTAATTCACACAATCAACATTGAAATGGTTAACGTGGACTGTTGATTGTAAGACTTAAACATTCTTCCTTATTTTCTTTAATATTCGCATGGAGTTACAATTTCGACTAAGATGACAAACCAGCATCTAATATTCCTTGAGCAATGATTGAACCAAATTTTGCCATTTGATCCTCGTGTTTGTCACCAATAACCTTAGCATATATTTCACGAAACTTAGACACCTAAATGGAAAATAAAGAATGACAATTCTTTGCACGGCTGAATCAATTTTTTCGAAAAACTAGCCATACTTTGGGATTTGTATGATCGTTATGTTGTATCAATAAAAGTGAGCTGGCAACCAGAGCACCCTAAATTTTAAAAATGTAGCTACAGTAAGGAATGAAATTAAGGATATAAAAATACACCAGCTATACCTGTCTAACATAATTGACTGGATCATTCGTCATTGGTTCAACAATGTTTACCGCTTCCTAAAATTATAAACCAAACAATAATACACAACACAATGCAAAGGAAAAGATAAAGGCGGAAGAGATTAAATTGAAAGACAGCATGAATTACGTAAAAGTTAAAGATCGAAGTGCTAGTTATGAAATCCACACATATATTATGTCACATTGACGAAAAAGATGTTTATATGTACCTTCAAGCCAGTTCCAGCACAAGATATCCCAAGGGCAATAGCTGCTCCGTATCGAACATGAGGATTATAACTTTCAGACAATAGCGACACAACACTGGGACATTGTTCAGGGGTTCTGCAATTAACGTTTTGATTTAAAGAATACAAGATAAACAGCCAGGCAAAATTTCTTTTGATTGGTCAAAGAATTTAAGTATTTATATTCTTAAGTATTTTGTCATGCTTTTATTGTGATATGTCATTTAATTATGAAATGATCACCAAGACTGTAAAGAAACTTCACTTTCGTTGGTATTAATTTACACGCTGCATCATTCTCAAAATTATTCGTAGAATAGTAGCCACAATTGACGTTTTCTGCAGAGCACAAAACCCAAAGACTTTTGCATTTTTCTCTAAGACGGTTCCTTACCTGAACATCAAAAATCCTAGAGATACGACAGCTGCCCTTCGTACATCATCGTTAACATCGCTGACCTAAATATTACATCGTACACATGTTATCCGTACTTCATGTAATGCACTTCCAACAGATTCAATCGTGTACAGAAGAACATACCGCAACATGTAATAACTGTTTTATAGCTTTATTATTTCCAGTTCCACAATATGCCATAGCAATTGTATACATGCCACAAATGCGTAAGTTTGGATCTTTATCACGTGATAAATCATCAATAAGAGCATCCGCTTCTTCCATACGAGAATACATTACCTAAATTTCACCATATCATTCAGCTCATACAACAAACTACTTTGTATGACGAGTTCCATTTTAACCTTCCATTGAAATTATTGTAATCATTTTAAGTTTGATCTGCTATTTCATTAAACACAAATGAATGAATTTCCCAAATAAAGTTAATTTCCCTAAAAACAGCAACTGGGACGCTTTGCTTCAAGACGATACAATTTACAAAAACATTTTATAACATGCAACGTAGTAAAACGTAGCTTTATATCATTTTCATTGTATAGTTACATTCAGAATATCATGTGTTGCCGTTGAAAACAGAATACGTATAAGTTAGTTACAAAGTTTCTGAAGGACTTACCAAAGATATACCAAGAGCCAAGCCTCTCAGAATTTTCTCATGTTTTGTTTCACGAGCATACTAAAACAAATAGTGCATAAAGTCAAAAGTTTAAACACATTTTGTTAGTTAATTGTTGCAGATCCGCTACACTGCCAAGTAAAGGGTTGATTGACATCTTCAACGATAATCTAGTTGAAAAAATCACCATTCTTTAAAATCATATTACTACATGGCAATGTAGTAAATCATCAATATGAATCCCATCAGCAAAGTAAAGTAATAAATTTTACAGAAGATAACGTTGTCACCCACTTTTATTTCACAAATTGTATAAAGTTTTCAATATGTGACAGTATGTTTGGGTTTATTGGTCTACCTTATGCACCAAAACGATTGCAAATCATTAATCATCAATCGTTGTTGCAATGGTGAAAGGAAAGTACAGTAAAACCTGTATTAAACGGCACCGTATTAAGCGGTCACCCTTTTTTAAGCAGTCATATAGCAAAGTCCCGAAAATTTCATAGTATAAACATTATTAAAGTTACCTTCATTAAACGGTCACCTCTATTAAGCGGACGCGGTCACCTTTTCCAATGTCTCAAACTTAATTTTCATTGTTTTGAAACTGTATTAAACGGTCAGGTTTAAGTAATTACACCCGATAGTAAAATATACAATTAATATTTTTTCTGGAACATGTCACTTATATTGTATACAGGTCTTTATATTGTATGTATCTTCCGTAATGACTAAAAAGAGCCAGCAATAGTTTCTGCTTGTGCGGACGAATTACACCAGCAATTTCAACTTTTAATACGTCCCTTCAGCCATTGACAAAAAACATATCTCCAAGAAAGGGATATACGCACGGAATTTATTAGTTATAATCACCTTCTCTGTTGACACGCTTGCCATTGATTATTTTTCAGCAGTTTGTGCCGTGACATTTTTATGTGTACTATTTTTAATTTCTAGTTCAAACTAAAAAAAATTGCTTAATACAGTGTTGCCATTTGGCATTTATGCTAAGGAACAATACCGATTGGTTCAAGTTTAGTTGTACGAAATATTACACGTAGCTCGTCTAGTGATTTCCCTGAAGACCTGTATAAAGCGGTCAAACTGTCTTAAACGGTCACACGAGAAATCCCCAAGGCTGACCGCTTAATACAAGTTCTACTGTACCACAGATTAAAGATACTAGAAATATAGTTAATGTTAAATTTGCTGATCAATCATTTCTATACCTATGCAAACTTAATCATGAAAAACATCATTAATACTAAAGTACAATTCCACGATTTAGCGTTTTATATAGCTATATGTTCAATTTTAACAAATTTTTTGAAAAACAATATAACTCACCGCGACCATATCGTCGATAGCTGTGGATGAAAAGGATCCTAACATAACTAAACCCATGGCTAACCCAGCAGCTTCTCCTGTTCATCAACATATTGAAATAAAGTTCTGGTTGAGAATTTGACATATGCTAACATTTGAACACAATTTAGCGTTTCTCTCTTTATCCTTATTTACTCAAAAATTACATGAAAACATATCATATAAACTTAAGCCATGGCTCAGCTATAATTTTCATACACAAACATATATTTGTCAATACTGTAATAAGTATTCCGTTAAAATTTGAAAAAGGCAGAAATTGATCGTTTGCAGCAATATATAAAATTTAGAGCCAGACATTATTGAAATACATTTACCTGCTACGGCATCGTCATGATAAAGTTGTCTTTCAATTGATTGTAAATATCTAGAGGAAGAATAAAATAATTAGTTATAACTTTATTGTAGCTTTTTAATATACATCCATTAAAATATGTGAATGCAGCATACCTTCTCTTGCAGTTCCCATTGCAGCTAGTCCTAAACCAAGACAGCCTCCATGACGGACCATCTTTTATAAATAAACAAAAATATTCATTCAACGATTTATCAAAAAAATGAGATAAAAGAACGAAGTAAATCTTTTCCATTTAGTTTGTAATTTCTATCATTGATTTACACTGTTGAAAAATGCTAGTTCTATGATGACATACAATAATATTCCTAGAATATTGCTCATCCACACAATCTAAATTAATGTAGGCATTTCATATTTTCATATTGCTCTACGTACATCACTTGTGGCGCTCTTTAGTTGCTGTAAAATATAATCAATTATTTTTTCTCCATGATTTGCATGAATGAGACCTAAATAAAGATATTCGTATTTAGCAGGAAACGTTGCTATACATATGGTACTGTACATGATAATAAGGTGTACATATGGTCCTGTATACGACAACGAGGTATATTTATTTTAAAATGAAAAGCATCATGTGTACGAACCTAATGCATACAGTCCACCGCCTTCTTGATATGCGCTGCCGGCATTGGAGTCTTTAGGAAGATAAGATGCCATTAGCTTTAATGCATCTTGCTCGTGACCCTGAAGAAAGATAAAAATTGCTTCGTTTATATTTAGCAGTAGATACATTGTTTGCTAGATACTAAGTGTATGAATATCTGTGAATAATTATGGCAAAGTAAATAGAAAACGATGCAGTTATATACATGAAAATTTATCCAGTTTTACAGAAGAATATTACAGACACAGAAATTTACCCTGTGAATGACACCCAAGCTTGCTGTCGCCGTAAATTTAGCCCAATTTGTTGCTCGAGCAAGCCACTCGAGATTATTACTGAAATATCAAATTATATTAGTAAATAAAATGATTTTCTTGAAATATTTTACGACATTGAAAATAAATTGACTACCGAAGAAAAGTATCTGTAGTGGTTCCACAATGCATAAGAGCATTTGATATAACAGTTGCAGAATGGCACACTGAATTCCTCGATGCATCCTTTAATGACACATCAACATTTTATTTAAATTCAATGTAACAATGGCAGATGAAAATCTAAACTCCTTGATACATCTTTCGTACGACATATCAAGACCATATATATCTATGACAGCATATTTTTACATTATACGTAAATAACATTGCAGTTGAGTTGAAGTTGTTTTATAGCTAAATACGTAAACATGATAAAATTATAGCCCGGTTTTAAAGTATATGTTATCTTTTTTTATTTTTAAGTTATTTAAGAACAGATTTTTGCTCTCTTCCACTATCGACACCAATTATTGTAGTCAAAAAAGCCAAATAGACACGATGGATATTTTCATGAAGTGGATATAGCAACGAGTAAATACCTTTGTGTTCTTTAGAATGAGTAAATCAGCATGATTGTTTCTGATCAAAAATTCTAAATGAAATCCAATTGTCGTCTCCCCACTAAGGATATCCTGCAAATGCTTTACACGATCCTCTAATACCTTGTCAACTCCATTCTACAAAATAAATGTAAAGTGCAAAGGACATTCAGGTGTTATAGATAGGATTAGGAGGTATGTATTGTTGAAGATACACATGAATATATGAAGATTCCTGGTATCAAGATGATACCTACGATTGGGGAAAAAAGGACATTTAGGTGTTATAGATAGGATTAGGAGGTATGTATTGTTGAAAATACACATGAGATTATGAAGATTCGTTGTATCAAGATGATACCTACGATTGGGGAAATACCAAAGGTAACTAGGATAGGGATTTGTGGAACATACCAATGTCCCGATATACGTAAGATATTGAGGGATACCTGGGATTGAGATAATAGTATAGGTTGAGAATGTACCGTGGTAAGATACGACTGATAAGAAAGATACAGGTCAGAGTTTGGTATAATATCTAGGATATGGATTCTAGAAGAGGATACCCAGGATAGGATTATTGAGATTAGAAGGAAATCTGAGAATGAAAGAACAAGTAATAATTACATTAATGCAAGATCAAGAAAAAGTCTAGAATTGGTATGATACCTAGTTTGGCAAGTGGTATACAGAGAGAACACCTAGGCTAAGTTTTATCAATTTGCATCTCGACTACTTATTAATGAAGAGAGCAACGTTTTCAAAAATGATACGTACATTATTGGCTATTTATGATTCACTCAAAGAATTTTATATATACATATTACTACCTTATTTATATGATTATCTTCATCATTAGAATCATTAAAGAGAGGAATTTCCATCTTTAAATTGTCAATAACTGACGTTAAAAACTGTTGCGTCGCGTTTTCATAAAGATCAAAAGCAATTTGGTAAGCCATCAACGTCTGATCTTTCTACAATAATATATAAAACAAGTTTCAGGCAAACAAATGTTTACTGTGAAATACACAAGAAAACGTTTAATGAACGAGTTTCTTGCACGTTTGAAGGTCTTAAACCCACATCTGTATTCATTATAATGTTTGCATAAAAGAAACTTTTGTTTTAGAAAATATCAACACTTGTTTAGAGAAAGAAAGTTGGCAGTTTCATGTTGATCTTTATTTTAGTATAGAAATTGTTGTTCGAGTTTTATCACAAATATGTCATCTTCACCAAGTAGGACCATGAACTTTTTATTTATGCATATAAATAAATAAAATAAAATAAAATAATGGATATGCAAGGGTATCAGCATTGCACAGTATATACCTCATTATCCTTAACTAATTTGTCTAAAATATGGACCACAGACTTCGCATCATCAAGAAATATGCAGCACTATCAAAGAAAAAGACTGCTATAATAAATTTACACAACTGAAAAAATGAAGGTATTAAAAAAAATGTTAACTCCCACCTCCTATCCACCGAAAGGACCTAACTAAAATACAGTGTATTATTATCAATAAACAAACCTGACAGACATTGATGTAGTCTGGGGTATCAAGACTTAAATAAAGTTTCACCAGCACTTGCAAAACCTAAATGAACAAAATCATACTAGCCAATAATCCTTTAATGTGACAATGATATATCTAATTATAAAGAATGGCCAAAGAAGGTGTTTACCAGAAAAGAAAAACAAAAGAAAAGAAATTTAAGAGCACTTTATAAAAAAGGAGCAAATTATTCAAGTTGACATAGTTATTATAAATTATACAAATATTTCATAAAGGTCAAAAACATATATGTGCATGCATTCTAAAATAAGTTTGGCACCAAGTCACCTCATTACGAAATTGACGGCTTTGTATTAATGACATGCAGACTTTCAGACTGTATGAGAGCATCCCAGGGATGTCAACCTGAGTAGAGAAATAAAAATTCACATGAAAAATGATCAATGAAACCATACTCAATTTTCCAAGCTTACCGATTTTAAAATAGCTTGTTCAAATATGTCCAATCGCCTTGTTTCCAATGAAATACCAATGGCCTAAAGAAGATGGATAGAAAAGTAAAAAAGCAAATTGTAGCTATATATTTGCATGCTGTTTAGAAGCAAGTTATATGTGAAAAATATGTTACATAGTTTTAAAACAGAGCATGAGTATTTGTTGACCTGTTTATATTTTCCATCATCAAAACATCTTTGAAACATTCTGTTAACAACTGCTTCAAGCTTTGGCTCAATCACAATTGGTTTTCCATCTTTGACTGTACACCTTCATAGATCTTAACTCTTTGTTGTGTGTAATGATCTATGCACTTGGCTAAAAATGTAAATATTTCGATTGTCAGATATAACAGCAATAAAACAATTACTTTACAATCAATCAAGCATTCTCACAAAAAAAACATTCAAATACAGTATGCTTAATATGTACCAATAATTGTTTCAACAAATTCAGAATGGCCATTGACATCAAACATGTTTCCAGCACCAAGAGCAAACATAAGGCTATCCTCAAAGGATCCAAGATGATAATAAACCTAACATAAAGAAACATGTGTAACAGCTTTGACAAATTATTTTGCAATGAAAAAATACCATTTGACAGGACAACAGGTCTTTATTTCACATTGTTAAACAATTACCTTTGATGCAATAAGTGCCGCAAGTTCTCTTGATTTAAAACATTCATCTTCATACAACACTTCACTAAAATATTAAATCAAGAAAAAAATTAATGAAGTTTTCTCAATTTAGTTTATCTTGTTTCCTCTCCAACACAAATGTAAAATTTATCTAAATTCTCAATGAAATGGAAATACACAACAGTCGCACATGCAACACATTTTTCACAAGGAATAGCTACAACATATACAAAATGACCAGTTTAGTATAATTTAGTAACCAACGTTGAAATATATCTAGACAATAAAAAGTTTAACAGATGTGTGATGATACTCACTTATCAATAAAATGACCCAAATGGTAACATATATTTCGAAATATGTAACAATAGAGGTGCATAATGGTGTAGAAAGGAACATGATATGTGTGGTGTACAACACAGATTTCACTTACATTTTCTCCACTGCCTCAGATATTTCAGCCCAAAATTCATGGACAATACTGTTTAATTTTCTCAAAGCAAATGCTTTTAGCTCTGGTTCTCTTTCGTCGAGAAGAGCAAGAATACCAGCTGAAATTAAATTTATGTGATAATATTACAATTTAAGAAAGAATTTTACCTCTATTTACATTTCTACTCAACATGGTAAAATACTGACAAGACATTGTCAAGTCATCATTAAAGAATTCTTTGATGAGGATTCATACTATCATATGCATATCAATGTATGTAGTAGCAATGTACATTGGATTTTCTTCAAAATGTAGCTTTATGTCAATTATACAAGAATCATGGAGATTTAACTGATAGCAACTCACTGTTACTGCCTAGATTAAGGCCATCATAATTATCAAATCATAGGACTCAATGCAATGTCACTATTCCTATGAATACTATCAACAACTTTTGAAGATAAGCTGTTGATATAGTTGCAATGTAGACTTGGAATTGCCAACTACATGACTCTCGCAGTTTACAAGGTCTACAAATCAATACTAATCATCAACAATAAAAACTTTAAAATAATTAACCAGTAAGAATCTTAGATATGGCAGCGACACTATAAAATCAAATAAAATACAAGCAACAAAATCACAATCTAAAAACTCGCAATCAACAACGGCATTTTAACACTAAAATTCACATTTGTGTTCCTTTAGACAATATTAAACTGGCAAAGAAAAAGCATCGCGACATTTAAGCAATATGTCGATTATCTTCAGCTTTAATTTGCTTGATAATCAGTAAGAAGAATCGAACAAAGGGTTAAACGAAAAGGTTGCCTGACTAGATTTAATATTTTTTGTCTCCATCAAATTAACCCATAAAACTTGTTAACTCACCTGCAGAAGTTAGAGTCATTTTTACTGTGCTTTCGGACTATATATTTTCGGACTAAAATTCAATGAATTCCCCAACATTCAATTCAAAATATATACAAAATAAGAACCAAAATTGACATAGAAAATTGATGCACAGTCCAAGTTCAAGATTACTAATTGAGCCTGCGCACTATCAATATTGTGCATTACTTTATGTAAGTACGTTCAAGTCGACATTAATAATTTAATAAATATATTTTATTTATCCCACAAAATTTTTAATCTTGTGGAATTATATAATTCATATTTTGAATAATACAAATTACAAAATAAGCAAAAGTAATGTACGAATGTATACGAAAATGTTCTGGTTAAGATTTAAGAAATGCTGATCTCTGAGGGCACAAATTGGCTTTGTGATGTGGAATGTTAAAGACGGGAATACGTGTAATTGTCATTTTTATTTATTAATAGTTTACAGTACTGGTATTTTTTGATGTTGTTTATGGAAATTAATATTCGCATTTTTAAATGGTGACTTTGCCATCTTTATAAACGCTCCTGGTTTACGATAAAATGGCATCGTATTCTTCATATCAAACTTGGATGTCGCATGAAGATAAGAGTCATGGAGAACTTGATATACCTCAGTTAGTAATCACTTGTGCGATAGCTGTGATGATACTGACTGGGTTTGGGATTATTCTTTATGGTTGTTGTACAACACCAAGTCAACGATGTAAATGTCGTTGTCTAGACAAATGTAAAAGTCAAAATACTTAATCACATCACTTTGCGTTTGGCCAGATACTTGCACACCGCGAAAACACGTTCATTCTGATATGCTATTGGATGACACTGCATTTCTGACATCGTGAATGGTGAAAGCGTGTTATTACTGTAGATAACATGACAATTGTTAAACATAACAATTTCCTTGTAATCAAACTATCAAAGCAATGCTATTTGGCTTTGAATTGGTGGATTGTTATTGAAACCTTTTTTGTCTTTTAGTTCAATTAACTATGGCAGTTGAGTTATGTAACCTATTTATTTCACAAATTTTGCTGTTGTATATAGTTGAATGCCCTAACATTGTCCACCATTATAATATGGTTTAATCGATTGTTTCCTAGCACAATCATTTTATGGAAGAAATTATAAAGACTAGATGAAATACTAAACAAATAAAATATTTGAGAAATTGAATTTGTATCATTGCACAAGCAGTTGAATAAGTAATTAGCATAGAAGAAAGAAAAATTTTTCTCGTCTTGACCTAGATCAACCCTTTTCATGTCCTCCATCCAAAGAGAATGATTTCTCATCAATTTTTTGTTCAACTCTTGCTGTCTTCCATCAGAGGCATAAGAAGCAAGTGAAAGTTGAGGGGGGGCACCAGCTTTTTCGGGCAGTTTTTCATTTACAAAGACACTTTTTTATACCAAATTTGAAAAGTTGGGTGGCACTAGACAACCATGTCCCCCTTCCTACGTACACCACTGTCTTCCATCATGAACTCACTCACTCTTGATGTCCTACATACGACCACATTCTTTTCTGATGTAGTATGCTTACGCGGGTTTGTTTAATCCGGAAAAACCCATGGCCAAATTAGAAGCAAAATACCGTTCAAATCGTCACTTTAGTCGTTATCTCCTTCCTAGTCAGGGAGGAGCTCGGATAGAACGATCTAAAGAATGTTGCTCTAACATCATCTATGGGATTGCGTTAATGAGCCAATTCCTTCAAAGAAAAGTCAAAGCTATACGACGATGTAGCGCAAGGGAAGATGTTCTTAAAGAACGTACATGAAAGAATTTTTCAGAAAGTTACTAGTTTTAATGGAAAGGAAATTCAGCTGTGGTTAAAAGAATCACGATAGAAAATGCTTTAAGAGAAAAGTTGCGTTTATGCATGGCTGTTCTAAAGATATATATGATAACTTTATATACATCATTGGAAGTGAGTTGAATCATGGTGGAAAGTCACTGAGTAAAAATTTAGATAAATTATCATGAATCGAATTTTCTTTGACATTCAACAAAATGAAAGACAAAGAAGTATTGGTTCTGTTCAAGTGTAGATGATATCTTATTCTTCTAACAGTTTCGTTCGAGGATGTATACTTTCCATGCAAATAAGAAAATTTAACCCCACATGGATTGATTTACTCGTGTTCCAAAGCCCTATGTTTGAAGCCAAATATCTATTTATACCTTTGTTATAAAATGCTAATACACTAAACTTAAAACAGTATAATTATTCCGTGAAATATTTACTTAGAAACTCAATAGCAGCTTAAACTTGGATTTAGTTGCCTTACAACTGAAAATCAAGTGTAAGGGCTGTTTACAATGAGACCTACAGGAAGGGCTCACGTGAACAGCCCCTAAAGCTATGAGGCTCGGCGCCTAAGGGGGGGACTGGACCCCAGATGAAGTTTTTGCTAACTTTCATATATTTCAGTCTAACTTGACGCTAAGTAAGACGCAGTAAATTTCGTAAATATAAGTCGTAGAGCCCCTAAGTTCAATTTAGTGGCGCAGTCCCAGGCATTAGATCCCATAACAATTGGATTGTATGAACAGATCAGATCTTTACAAGCACTGCTAAATCAATAGAATGTTCAAATTAATAACAACTAGGGTGGAACTCACTTTGGAGTGCATCTATAGAAATTTACTATAATAGGTGGTGATATTCTTCCCTATAAATAATGCTCAGTTGTATCATTTTTCCATAAAAAAAAAACAACAACGAATAGTCCACTACTTTAAAATAAATATGTTTTTCATACAATTTGACCATATTTTTTCATCAGAGGTGAATCCAGCGTTAAGAAAAATAAATTGCAACAATTCATAGCAAGATATAATTTAAAGCATTTAAAGCTGTTTAATTGGTAAAATTTTATTCGGTAGAATTTCATAACCATTGTGGAAGTATTATGAAGATAATTTGCATTTAAAGTTTGGCCGCTATTATTTATTTTTCCAAACGCTAAATCCACTGCTGGTATTTCACATAAATATATCCATATTGTATTTACAATTGCACCAATCTGTTTTTGTGAATTCATAGTTTGAAGTTGAATTATTTACAACAAATAACTTCAGGTTCACGTGACATGACAACTTGGTAAACAACGTTATATTAAAATCGATTTTATAAAGACGTCAAAAATCCGGAAGGGGGGGGAGGGGTAGAAGAGGGGAATTAATTTAGAAATCATTTCTTTGCCATTAGATCTATTTCATATGCCTAACATTCTCTCGATATTAGTAAAATATGTTGCGTCAGCCTGATATTCAATATATAGGTAGCAACGTTTATAAATTATCGTGAATGATGGAAAATTATTTACTTTAGAGTTATTTCATTGAAAAACGTTGGCAATTAAGAAATAAGAGATGCTTTCTGAGTTCGCACAGGCTTATGCAAACCGAGGAGATATCAGGCTGCATCGCAGAATTTTTTTTATAAAATAAAGACTATTTGGATTTTATAAAAAAAACATATTTCAGGAACAATACTTCTACACCAAAACCACTCTGTATTAAGAATATTTACTGTAATGAAAATAAAATCTTCGTTTTTCGACATTAATATACGTATCTTATATTGTACACATCATATACAAACGAAACATCAATCAAAAACATGACTTTCAACAATGTTGTTAAAATTTGTAATATGATAACTGGTATCAACATTGTTAGCACCAAGATTGTGGAAAGGGAGGACGGGGGTTGTCAGATTCTGCAACACAATTTTTGAGCGCATGCAATAAATTAGTTTATATACACATATAATTCTTGATATCAATATTGTCAGGGAGGGAGCTCCTTGATGTATCTGAGAGGACACGTGATCTTACCTAACAAAAAACCTACCAATTTCAAGTCAATTCATATACTTGCGACATTTTTTAGAGCCACAGGAGCATGGAAGTTTTTCATCTTCCAACGGAAATTTGTAGTCGTATGTGAGTTCTTCTCCTCTTTTCAAACTAAAAACAAAATGGACTTATCACACTCTACTCCTTCTTTTAAAAAAGAGAAAGTAAAACTGCAATATATACACGTACTGTTTTGCAGCAAAAATAATGATCTTTTTCTGTCCTTCTACTGTTATTACACGAGAAAAAACAATTTGGCTAAAAAGTCAGTGAAAAAAAATACGTTTAATTCATACAGTTCAAGTGCAACAGACATTTTGGAGTTGACTGATCTACAAAACATGTAAATGTCAATCTTGCACTGGTCTATTCAGATGTACCTGTGAAACAATATATATCATATCGTACCATTACAGGAATATTTTCGAGTCATTTAGCGTTCTACCGTTTTTATTCTCTTTTTAGGGGGGGGGGAGACTCGTGGTGGTGATGCCAATATTGTTTGCAGTTTTACTATTTGTAACATGAAGTTGCCCCATAACAGCTGACCTTATTATTTTGATTAGTTAGTTATCAACGATGTACACGAGTTTCAGTTTGAATATTCAAATATGTCAGCCAATTTTTCTGCCGTAGGTGTTAAGATACCAATTTGCTCTAATAGCTTCCAGGGAAAACAAATATTGAAAGTAATTGTAAAGGTTGATACAGTTTAAAAACTTGATTGAAGATAGAGTATTCATTGCCTACAAAGGTAGTAGAAAAGTGGTAGGAAATATGTCTGCATTTCATACCTCGCAAGAATGATTAATGAAACGAGCAGCGTCACCGCATTCTGTAGCATCAATTACATCAAAACTATCAACACGAAACATGTAACAACCAATACCCTGTATTTGAAAAGAATGAATGACTGTTGTTAAACAACGTTCATCATTTGTAATCATGTATGAATAAATTACATCCATACAAGAAGTACCATGGTTTGTGAGTACTCTAACCTTGCTTTCATAATATTTCTCCCTCTTGTCAGTTAATACAGATCGTATAACGTTTCCAGTATACTCAATCACCATTTCTCCTGCATCAATGTCACGTAGACAAAACAAACCACGACGATGAATAGCTGATCTGAACAAAAAGACAATTGCTTTAATCATTTTTCAAGACTGCAACACGATGGGTGATAGTGCTAATACAATAAATATTACACTTCTCCAGGAGACGTAAATTTAATAAGCGTCTCTTCCCTAAACAACTTAAGGTACAAATACCATAAATCAATGCAGCTACTTACTTAAATACTCCAACTGTACGTTTTGGATTTGATTGTTTTAAGCATCGATATCTCATTGCCATTGGAAGGTCATTGGCAGTTGCTCGTCTGAAGAAAAAACTCAATATAGAACTTTGTAGAGAACTAATGTAAACAATAGAACAAGATAGTTTCCTCTTATACAAAGTAATTCATTTGTCATCTGAATGAGGTCAACCCGTTAAACATACCTTGCCGCAATTTCCTGAGCAATGTCTGGATCATCGAAATTGTCAAGAGGAACTTGTGATATCTTTCGATGTGTCGATGCCAGAAAACTAAACATGTCGACTTCTTTCTTAAGACTAAATGGTAATTTGCATTTAAAGCCACAATTGAAGTATGAACAAAGGTGAAAAAAGATATTACAGAGGAAGAATAATGTTATCATTTAGGAATAATACTGTTATCATTTAAAGAAAACATCAAGGTCTAACAGACTTTAAGCTAAAAACTAATACAGGAAAGCTCTAAGAGAACGTTTACGCTTACCCTTTAAACGGTTCAGCACGAGCACAACCGCGTTCATTTTCTTTAAGCTAAAAGAAAAATAGATTTCAGAAAAATATACAATGTACAAAATCTTTTTCATTGTATTAGCAAACCTATGAAAAGTTACATTACACATACCACTAAATTGTATCATTTACTACACTATACGCGAAGATAGTTAACGCCTTTATAACAAACCTGGACGTCTTCATCCCACGAGTCATTATGACTTCGACTTTCATGATATTGAAATGAGTACTTAGTGCAATGTTTTTTTGCTCCAGGTAATTGCTCAATAAGATATATCAGAGGTTCCTTTAAAAATAATATAAGATCAAGAATACAGAAACAGAAAGTTTAATGTTATAAAATTTGTCATACTCTGGTAAGTCCTAGCAAGTCCATACCATCCGCACCTGAAGTATGATAAGAAAATGGGTAAGATGAATTTTATCAGAATGCAGTCACACAATTGCCAATGTCTTCGAAAGTGAACTTGATATTTGTCTACTTTGATTACCCTCACAAATAAATATCTGAATACTAACCCACAAAAGATGTAAAATTTCTTGAACGATCCATACGTAAGTTCTGAACTTTCTCGAAAACAATACGCCAAGCCTCTGAAAGAGAAAAGTAAGCATTATATATAAATTAAGAAATTCCGATTGTTTTTCTGATTATTACCTTCGCACGATTTAGCCTTCACTTCAAGACCCTCTTCACTCGTGATAGTGAACACTACATTTAACTCTTGTTTCACTTTTTCCAGGCGTCGACTGCGCAGATCAGATTGTTTAACACGAGCAAAATCTGGTAGTACAATATCATTTTCATCTATTTTGGCTTTCTTTGTCTGTTTACCGTCACTGCCTTTAATCAATGATTCTTTGGTGATCCTCTTTTTTGAACCACTACATTCATCAATTTCACCTAACGCATTATTTAACATATCATTATCTCCATTACCTTCACTGGTTTCATCTATTACTTTTCTTTTTGTATATTTCCTTTTAGTATTTGTCCTTTTGATACAGATTTTTGAATTGCTTTTCGTTGACGTTTTTTTCTCAGCAGTATCAACTCCTTGATGATTGTCGGACCGTGGGAGCTTATGGTTGTCTGCTTGCTTCAAATTGGTCATAAATGGTTTGAGACTTTTTGTTTGATCTTCAATATGTGCCATCAGTTTGGCTGGAGAAGACAATGGTGATAGAGAAGCTATCTTCCTTTCGGTGCTATAATTACCAAGGTTGGCGTGAAGAAAACGTTTGTTAAGAACATTGTCATTCTTGTTTACGTTTAATAAGTTATTTAAAGAAGAACATTTCGTTTGGTGCGTTGGCGATTTTAGAGTTGACTGCACTGATTCTTCTTGACCAACCGCACCTGTGCAATAATCATCAACGGTTGTGTCTATAGAGGAGTTCAAAAACCTTCGATCAAGTTTGCGAACAGCATTTCTACATTTTTCTATGTTCAACTTACTAACTGATATCGTGGATTTTGCGGTAGTTGGTAAAACACTGTTTCTAATAGTCGACGCAGCCGTATCTTTAATAGAGTCCAGGCTCTTTTTCGAGAATAAGGAAGTGTGGTTATTTGACGTCAAATGTGACAGATAACTTTCACTTCGGGGCTTTTCTACCACGCTGGTGCTGTTTATTTGTCAAGTCTATGACTGGAGGTTTCACAATTTCTTTGGTTTGAGACAGAAGACCAATTTGGTCAACATTTATTACAGCATTTTGTTGCTGTGTTTTGGTTTCTTCTTTATTTCCGAAGTTAGTAACTTTCCTAAATATTCTGTAGATTTACTTCCAAGAAGTTGGATCATGTTAGGATTTTCTGAAAGCAGCTTCTTAATTTGATCTGGTGAGCCGACTACAACGGCCATTCCATCGGTTTTGTTGGTTCGAATTGCACTTGATGTAGCAGCTTCCTTTGTCAACGCAACGACAGCATTTTCTGCAGAAACTTCCTTTGATAGATGAGCAGATATATTATGCTGAAGAGACGCATGTTCAAGAAGATGATTGGAAACTGAGTTGGGAGTTTCATATTGAGTTGAATTCGTTTTTATGGAGAGCAGCGAACTTGGTTTTGCACTTGAAAGTACAGCATTAGCACGCAAACGAAGAAAATTTGCAGCTAACTTGGACGGATCCGTGTTCAATTTTACGATGTTTGAAGTTGAGTGAGTTGATTTTAACGGAACCATGCTTGAACTAAATGTTGATGGCAGTGCATCCGATACAATCGATCGAGAATTTAATGACGTTAATTGAATGTTTGATTGCACAACATTAGCTGGCGGATGTAGAGTTACCACTCTAGCTGACGTAATAGGACTTGGAGAATATGAGTTTTGAACGAAAGTAGCGGTGGAAACAGCAGTTGTTTTAATATGCTTTATTTGAGAGTATGTTGGCCTGACACTGTTGCCTTGGGACACAAATGTTGTCGAATGAAAAATAAAAGAGTTGGTAGTCGTTGTTCTAGCAGAATTTTGAGTGGAATTATGAATGATACTTGAGTGTAAATGGCGAATTGGTTTTGGAGCAAGTTGTCTGTATGGAGAGCAACGTAATGATACAAAAGTTGGTTTTGGTGCAAGAGGAATAGGTTTAGTTCGGACTATCTTTACATTACTTGTTCGAGATTTTGTTGCTTTAGGTACTTTGGCAGCATTCATACGCGCATTATTTGTTTTGGGTCGTGTTAAGTCTACCAAAAAATCCATTGGAGAAACACTAGTCGTACGAGGAAACATACACGGATTGGCCCCAAATGAGTTAACTGATAATACTGTTTTACTTTCCGGTACAGGGTATTTTGCTCTGGTCATTGTCGTAGAAAATGTAGTTATTGACGTTGTAGCAGATGTTCCTTTCATCAGTGTTTTAGGTATAACTCCCTTAGTTTGCTCTACTGTCGCATTCAAATCTTTAGTAAGTTGCTGAATTTTTCTATCGTAGACTTCGTTAGGGTGCATTGCTCTAGTAACTAGCGTAGTTAAGGTATCTTTAGCTCGCGGTGTTGTTACTGTTTCATTACATGGCGTTGTTTTCGTTTCTGCTTTTCCAAGCGATACACTCGTTACACCTTTCCTTTGTGTTGACGTCACTACTGTTTTGGAAAGTGGTGAAGATGGAAAGGATCCACTAAATGAGGTTTTACATTTACTCTGTAGGGATGTCGAGAAAGCAGGAGAGGTTACAACAACAAGTGAAGGTTTACAGAAGTCAACACTTTTGTTTTGATCATTTACCTCATTAGAATGTTTTCTCTTCAAATGTTTAGGTGCATTAGAATCAATGGACGTTCTTCCTCTGTTTTGGGTATCATCAATGGACATTTTTGTTACACTTTGTAAAGTTTCGACATTTTTCTGTTCATCGTGTGGAAAGACCGCAGTGCTTTTCCCCGCAGGAAAAACACACTTTAATTTTGATACTTCATTATTTGACTTTGACACTGAGCCATCAAATATATCATCTTCGTTTTCATGACATGTAACAACGTGATTTTCTGCAACTTTTTCAAGCGGTACTTGCACTTTGCTTCTAGACTCCTGTTCATCAATTTCTTCGATATGGCAGGAATAAAGACATCGTTTGCTGGGATCAATTGTACTCCAATAAAGTCGAGTAATGCTGATAAAATATAAGCAATAATACATTTATTACAATATTTGTGTATGTATTATTGTAGTAAGACACCAAATGAACAAACCTATATTGAACTGGAAACAAAACAGATGAAGTGTCCGATGCTTTTGTAATTCTTCCAAGATTTTTCACAACCATACAACCTGTAGTGTAAAACAAGTTTCAACGTAAGAACCTTGCGAACCATTTAGATCAAGAGGGGTTTTCATGGGGGTACAGAGGGGTGCGCATCCCCATATAGCCTTGGTTCGAGAGGGGGGCAGGAGAGATGCCAATTTCCCTGCGAAATATTAAAATACCAAGCAATAAAGTTAAAGCAATCGTGATTTGTGTTTGATGGAGCACACTTCCAAAACATATATCTTAATCATAAAAAAATAGTGACATAATTTAACAAAACAAGGCACAGCAACACCCCAAAAATAAGAATCAAAACTTAATTCAAACTAGAGCGTCACCATCCTCCCCAAAAACTCATCCTCGGTCGATCTCAGTAAATACTTATTTAACAAATAAATACCGGACAAAACAGACAAAGTGTCAACGGAAACGCCTTTCAACGCTTTTTTCAAAGTCTTTACTTTACTCATATCAACACAAACTCGACGGTCGACAGCAAACTCGCCTTCGCCAACAATAACCTAAATGTCAAAAACAAACAGTTTTCCTAAAACAACTTCAACATATTTCTATGAAAATATTTAATAAATATTCATTAAACCATAAAAAATGTCGTATGAACATTTAAGTACAAAACAAAACTCTCACCTCATCTCTTGCTCGAAAAGCATGAACATTGCAGTACACAGTTTTATTTGGTAAAAACGCTGCTTTGGCTTTCCTTTAGAAGAATAAAAACTACAGTTTAGTCTTCTAAAGACCTGTCACTCAAACTGCCACATTTGCACAGAGTTAATCAGATGTATTTAGTAAATATATTTTTTCTGTATACATATCAATGTTTAAAGAAACGAAACCGCAAAGAAAAAGACAAGTGAATATCTTCAAATTTTTTCGAAGTAAAAATGACGAAATTCAAAAACTTCCCCATTGTATACAAAGAGAACCAAAGCAATCTTTTCTTTCAATACAATATTGTATTTTCGTTGATGAAATTCTCCATGAAATACGTAATGATTCAATTCTCATACCTTCCACACATAAAGTGATAGTTGCCCCTACAATATGGTTCACAACAGCCAACAGTAGCACCCACTTCACCACAAAATTCGCAACGCTAAAAACATAACATAAGAGAATTACGGCAATGTATAAGTATGTAACTAGTAATAACATAGTTTGAACAGTTGATATAATTTATTCAATATCATCACCTACCAATTGCCTTCCTCTGTTTAAAGCAACATGAGCATTCTGTAGTCTGCCTTCATCATCTTCATACACTTCCGCTGACCACAAAACGCAATTAACATGAGCCCACTCGTCAATATTAAAATAAATTAACCTGCCAGCATCTTGAGGGCATTGATCTCCGATCTCGGCACAAAAAGCACATTTTCGCTTATCTTCTAGCTGTAATTACGGAAAAGATTTAGGTACACACATTATAAATGTTTCAATTCTCTTTTTCAAATAAAGATGATAAATCAAAGTTGTTTATTCGAGGAGCTTTGATGTTGTCAAAAATAACACCGTATGTTAAAAGTTAAGATTGTACCTTAAAGAAAGCCATGAACACAACAATAAATAAAGACGAGAATTATGACAATGACGGTTTTGTTCAAAAATTCAAAAGGAATGTCACGATTTGTCGTTACGAAAGATCTTTTGATCTATTCATAAGTTATGACTTTCTTAAAGGAACATTTGACTTTGACTTTTTACATTTGCAGTGAGATTATCGATCTCAGCAACATATTGAAATTTCAATTTCACCTTCTTCGACGTTTCACAGACATCTGTCGATTTTGACCCAACTTCACATACATCTACATTCTCCTTGTCACCTTCATTTTTACATCGGATGTAGCAGTGATCTTTCATGACCTCATTAAAATCACCTAATTTCTCATCACTAAAACACAGAAATTGCACATAGTTCACAATACATGGATACATTATGATCAAGATCAAGATGTTTAAATTAATAGAATAATGGACTTGATAGTCAATAAGCAATCAATTACTTAGCCAATTGTCATTAATGAAAGGTTTTTCAATAGATGCTACGTTTTATACATAAATTCTACCCGTTTGTTAGTCTTTGTAACACATGTCTTTGGAGTGACATTATTAACACTAACAAAAGCTAGCACTCAGTTAACTGCTCTGAAATTTTGCGTTTTCTAACAGTTTGCATCACAACAGTTTAAATTTAAAATATTTGCTTTTTATTCAAATCAGGAAATGTTTCAATGAAACATGCAAAACATTGAGTAATATAATGTAAATGAAGCTTTAATAATCTTTGACAAAGCGATATAATGCAATTTACCAAATTATTGACATGTCTCTAGCTTCACAAACGTCCTCTCCATTTTCTTCTTCAGTAGGCGGCCAGGTAAGATCTTGCCAGGGGAAAATTGATTGCATCTCCTATAATTCATGGATTATCTGAGTATACAAAAAGACATTCAAAAATTCTGTCCTTGAATTTCATTCACATTTCACAAAACACAATAATAGAATAATTACAAAGTCTTATTAATGTGACAGATCTATGGTACCTTTTCAAATGAAGACATTAAACTAGACATGCTTTTAATTAAAGTATCTTCTTTTGGAATAGAAAGTTTTAATTGGTGAAGAAACGCAAGAAGATCTTTGGTGTAATCACCCTAAAAAAAAGCAGAAAAGATCATGAATTTAAATTTAAGTATCTACCGAAGCAAACCGTTGAAGAGGAACAAGGCAGATATTAAACAAGACTAGTGCTCTAACGTTATTGAAACTTGAAAATGATGCATGCAAACAGTCCCATAGATAATGATTGGGAACTCAAATGTGCTGAATAAGATGTACGGTAGTGGAAGACAACTACAATTGCTTGTGAGCAAAGGCAGCTAAGATTTCTTTGAAAGGAAGAGAGCTAAAATTGAAAGTAATAGAAGGCCGCCACAATTGAAAGTAAAAGAATATAGCAAGAGCCATTTCTACATTTTATAGGTAACAACAAGCACGAAAGAAATAAAACGCTTTCGATCCGGATGTCAAGAACCTAAAAACAATCTGAACTTTCGAAAAAGACGAATACACACCAGAGAGTCATATTTCTTTCCATTAACTTTATCTTTCACCACTGACAAACAGTGAATTTTATTTTCCTCACGAACGTTCTAAAATTTCAGAATGTAAACATCATACAAAAATGTTCTAAACACTTAACATAGGTACAGTTATTTTCATTTCCATAATCTAAAATAAACATGTCTGCACCATAACAAAACTACTCCAGATCATAAGATTTTTACTAAAATATGAATTCAGTAATCAAATACTTGTGAAAAAGTCAATAAAAAACGTACCTCCTGAATATAACTTTTAAGTGTTTGATAATGAGGAGATGAAACAAGGGTATCGACAATCTTAAAATAAGAAACGTCACTGAGTAAAACATGCAATTTTGTGTTAGATTACTGCTAACATTCACATCGTACAAAGAGTGTACCAATTTAAACTCTCGTTCGTTATACACTTGTTAAAGAAAGAGAATATTTCAATTCTTGTTTGCTCTTAGTTTGTTAATTAAGTAGAACGGCTTTTTTAAGTAAAACGATTTGAATATGAACATACATAAATATATCCAGCCTGAATTTCTTGTCGAACAGAATCCAGCCAGTCAGGTAAGTCTTCATCATGACACGATTTACAAACAAACTGCACATCCTCAGGCATCACAGCTAGACACTGATATTCATCATCAGTAATGTTCTGAAAGTAGTAATAACAAATTTATATGTTGTAGTCAACATTCATTGACCAGGAAAAGCTTTAACAGAGGTTTACTATACCTGACATGTGGCATGAACCCAGTGTTCACACTTTAAACATTGCATCATTTTCGACTCAAAATCCTCATCAGAATAACAACTCTTACAAATTGGACAAAAATTGCCTTGATCCCAGTTTTTACCACATGCAAAACACATGGTAAATGAATGCGTCCATTGTGCGTCAGCAGTTTCTCCTGCAGTAGTGCGACCACATTTTACACATTTTACACAACGAGCACACAGCTAAACAAATTACAAAATACACAATTTCGTGTTAAAAGCGCAATACAACCAGTTAGTAGGTAGGAACCAAAACATTCCAAATATGCTGCCGGAAAATATTTAACTACCAAAATACCTACCCATACATCTTCGTTGTCTCCTTGTGGCTCGGTTGGATAGTTTGACCCAAGACATTCTACGTGATAACATCGTTGACATTTGTCGCACATTAGCAGCTAAAGAAACAGATAATTATAGTAACAAGAAGCTACGAGTTTATATTTGCCGGTATATTTGTCTGAAATTATCTCGGGATCGTTGTTGGCTATTTATAAGTTTCTTTGAATTCTATTTCAGAATCGTACGGGTGTAAAAATGCCTACAGCGTCATACAAAAACAATCCAAAAAAACTCTTCACGAGTGGTTCAATGGTAAGATCGTCATCACTACTGCGTTTTCGTGTATTTGAATCAATTAATGCAAAAGACAAAAGATCGATGATTCCTTTTTCAATAAAATCAAATAAAAAACTTCAATTGACCTTATTCTGATGCCCACAAACACAACATGTTCGACAACGATTACAGGTCCACAATTCACCATCAACAGGATCTTCATCCAGGCAAAACAAGTGAAACGGCTCAGCACACACTTGACAAAACAGCATCTACAGAATTCAGAAACACTAGCACACACGAACTATGACTGAGGTTCGCGTAATATGAGACTTCCTCAAATGCAACGATTATCTGTGAAGGCTTCATATCATAACTAAAAATACTTGTCTTCTACAATATAAAAAACTGATGAATTATTGTCATCATAATCAAACCTTTTCATGTCCCAAACTTCCACATAAAAAGCAAAGTTCACCACGTGGAAGCGCATTTTCATTTGAAACGCAGATATGGAATCCAGTTTCCCAACAGTCATCTTCCGTATACGAGTCCTGTGAAAGAGTAACTCATTACTTGTACTCGACGATACATGAACATCAACCATTTTGAAATAGGAGTATTACATGTATTTATCCTCCTCCCCTTACCAAAGAATAAAAGTACAATTTCATTAATAGCAGTGAGTTACTTGTCGAGTTTTCACAAATTATCAACTTTTCTGTCACAATTAAACCGCTGACTTATCGTTAAAAATATGTAGGCAAAACTAAATTTCAGTGAAGGTACATGAATGTATCAAATTATAAAAACGTTATACTTTAAGTTCATACAAGCACACTTAATATAGACACACAAACCATTATATCTACTAGCTGAATTATGTAACAGTACTCACGGTCCAAGCAAGCTTAATATCATTTAGATTCTTCGTCCATTTATTTTTTTTCGTGTAACGTAAGAGCGGTCCAGACGGCGGTTTTCGTTTATATAACAGGTCTTTTATAGTTGTGTTTCTTATTTGCTTTGTTGTAGTTGCGTCACTCGATACAGATTTTCTTTCACGACTTTCGATTGAGCTCGGTTTGTTTAATGTTGTCAATGTCTTACGATAAACTATATTTATGACAATAAAAAAGTGACCATACAGAGAAAACAAATGTTAAAATTTTATCGAAAAACATAAAAAAAGGAAAGTGGTTGTTTGGAGTCAATATATTACTTAAAAAATAGTATTAACTATAGAAAAACATTGTTAAGGATTCTGATTTATTCTTATTCTTGCAATACGTAACAATAATATGGACAAACGTCTTACCTTTTTTCGGCTTTGCTCTTGGAAGTATAAAGTTTTGGCATTTTCGGTGTCTACAGAAATCGTATTAATCTATAGAGACTTACATAAGAAGTAATATAAACACCTAAATAGCTAAGTAAGAATATGAAACTAGAGCAGACAGCCAAACGCTTAAAATAACCACGGTAATGTCTTCGGTCAAGATGACCGGTCAGCTTCATTATAGCTCCATCATATTAGATTTTTGACCGGTCACTAATGAGCAAAAATCGCGTGCGTGCTTTCACGTGTCGACCGTCCTGGTTAGTAGTGTCCTGAGGACAGTTGGTGTGGGTGTTGACTGACGTTTTGAAAACCAGACGGTAGTCATCTTCGTGGTAAAGTGAGTAAGAAACTTGTACTTGTAGTCGCCTCCTGACTCTGAAGATGACTATACTGCTATAGTTGTCGAAACGTCAGTCAAAATCAACAGCAACAGTCTTCTTCACTACTCCACTAACCTGGACGGTCTATATCCACAAAAACATGCACGTAAGGCTACACTCCTAGGCTCAAACACCGTCTGGTATTCAACTCATGCACCGAAGAATGTTAAAAGATATTTTTTTGAGAAACCAAATTCTCGTGTTTGACATTTGAAGCTCTCAAAATTTACCTTACATTGCACTGACATAGTACTTTAGGGAAACACGTACAAATAAGGTCGGTCAAAATGACCAGCGAGGCAAAAATGGCCGGTCATCAAGCATTTTTGGCCTGTCACTGTCCGTTGACCAGCCGTTATTTTGAGCAGTGCTGAGTGCTTACTTTATATTATTGCACAATAAAAATACTTACATACAACATTGCTTTAGCAAATATACTCCACCAAACTTTGGCTTGTCTCTAAAAAAAGTAATGAATTAAATAAAGTATTCATTGGTTTTATATAACCTTCATAAAAAATATACTTGAATTTTATTTCTACAAACAATTTCTACAAAAATGAATTATCATACATTGTCAGAATCTATAGGAATTATGATTGCTGTAATTTGAGCAGGGTATCAAGCAAATACACAAATATATAACTGTCCAGTTTTGGAGAAACAGAACACGTGACTTCTCGTTTGTCTGAGAAACAAACACAGAAGTACTTCTTATATGTAGGAGAATCATACACATAAGTATTTTTCAAAGTTTGAGACAAACGTCATAATTATTTATTAAAACACGTGATGCACCACGTGTTGCACCACGAGTTGCACAACGACACTAGTGCTAACAATAATTTACAATGCAGAAAAAGGAAAAAGAAAAGAGATTAGTTCCATTCCTACAACTGCTCACTATTCGTCGACAAATATCGCAACAATAGTAAATAAGATAACTATAAATATTAATATTGTGATTTGTGGTAAAGTTTAAAATGCACGAAATGAAATAAAAATAAGAATATCGTCATCATACCGGCAATAAATACACTTTCCACAGTCTTTCTCCACCAAACATCCCTCGCATTTTCCACAACGTACTCGCCTTCTTCCACGTACACGTCGACTACCACCTTCTGGTTTCGACTTTACTTTAATGACTTTAATTATTTTCTTTATTTTGCCACTCTTTAATTTTTTTCTCGTTATTTGTTTGATCACCTTCGTAACAGTTTTTTTGCTGATTGTTTCACAATCTAGATGCACAACAAAACCCCAGATTTCCTCAATATCTTATTGACTTGCAATGATAGAATTTGAACGTCATTTAAAGGACATAATTTCATAAGCAGTGATATGTTGAACGTCTATTTAATGGCCTATGATGTATATGAAAACAAACCTTCTATTTTGTCTTCTCTTTTATCGATATGATTTTTCTCCAATAATTCGTGTGCTTGGTCTTTATCTTTCTTACTCAATACTTCTCTTTGAAGTTTGTCATTTTCAGATTCAACAAGTCGCACTTTTTCTTTTTCTTTTTTGTCTTTCTTGTTTTGAAGTCTCTTTGATCTAAATTTTGTCGCAATATTGAATATGTTATACTCGTAATCAGAACCAGCAGAAAAATTGTTTTCTTTTTCATATTCATTCCTTTGGTCATTAGTCTTTTCATTCAGTAAGCTCTTTAAAGTTTCTTTGTCAAATAGTGTAGCTTTCACAGAAAGTTCATGACAGTCGTTTTTTCCAGTCTTTTCTTTTGGCAAAGGTTGTTTTGAAGGAACAACAGGAGGAAACAAAGCTTGGTGAAAAAACTTGTCTTCACATGGTACTTGCAACGTCACATTTGATTTCTATTAAAAATAAACGTCGTAATTGTAGCTAAATTCCTAACATGCAAGAATGTTATATGCAGTGCGGTGTTTGAAATTTAATGTAGATATGATCTTCGCACTTTGCTGGACAATTATTAAGCAATTGTCTCAAGAACCTGAAAAATTCAGGTGACTCAACGGGATATCTTATTGACTTGCAATGATAGAATTTGAACGTCATTTGAAGGACATAATTTCATAAGCAGTGATATGTAGAACCTCCATTTATAGAACCCCCGTTGAGTCACCTTAATTTTTCAGGTTCTTGAGACAATTGCTTAAATTGTCCAGCAAAGTGAGAAGATCATATCTACATTAAATTCGTAATATGATACAAGGTAACTATTATTAGCAGAAAACTATAGCTTGCCAAATCAAGTAAATCCGTACAATACTGAAATAACTTTTCAAGCTATATAAGGTATAAACCTATTTACATTATGGTACAACATGAACAGAGAGTCCACCACAAGCAAAAGAAAGATTTCAAGATTATTTTATACATTTCTGTTAGGTTTCTGGAAGAAATAACACTTTAAGTACATCATCTGTACTAGACATAAAATATCCATACCTCGTCTAAATTTCTGGTCTCTAAAAATGGATCTAAAAGTAAATGAAAGAATAATGAGTGACAAAAAAATAAAAATTATGACTCTTTATAATATCAAGAAGGTCAAGGACACAATGTTTTCACGATGTTCAATGTAAAACACTCATAAGCATGTTATATACAAACAAATCAGACAGATAATCTTTAAATTAGAAAGAAAAGATAGATTCGTAGTTACGTAGTACTAAAATCGCCTCTGAAACTTAAGAATTTGTTTTCCAACCTTTTCTTTTTAATCACATAAATCATATAATTTAAAAGATAGCCTTACATAAAGTTTTATCATTGCTCAACAGGGCAGTTCTTTGCACCAAAGCTGACATTGAATAGTTTTGATGTGTAAAAAACTCTGGCAGTGATTAATTGCACAGTTATGAAATCTTAATAAACTTCTAATTAAATAAATGTTTAAACCTTGACAAAAATACAGCAAAAGTAAAAGTAAAAATTTCTCCAGGTACTGCAGCTACAGCCACCTGGACAAAAATTCCTTGAACTGTCAAAATTGCGAAACCTTGCACCATGCATAATGGCATGTGTTCATCAATTCGATAAATAAAACCAATCATAAAATAAATTTTAAATAAAACCAGAGTTTAAATTCTATGAGTTTGCATGGCATTACAACAGAGTGTAATTATTATAATTTTATCATTAGTAAAGTGAGCTGTTTGAGCCCAGGTGTTTAGTTACATGTTCTTACATGTTGATTGTGCATATAGGTGTAATCCTGAGAAGTAATGATGGTGTTTGTGTTGACTGACAACCTTCTCAGGTCTGTTCACTAACTTTGACAAGCAACATCCATAAACACATATTACATAAATAGTATTTTACAATTAAGAAATAAAAGGTGTTTACTGTGTTTGCACAGGCCTATGCAAACTGAGGAGACCTTTGGGAGAACTTGAGAGCAGATAAGTGCAAGCCCGAGACTGAAGGTCATGGGTTGCACCTGCTCGAGAGTTCTCACAAACCTTTCCGAGGTTTGCATAAGCCAGTGCAAACACAAAAAATAATCTTTTATTTCTTTTCTAAAATAACAATAATGCAAAAAAGACCAATGTATTCACGATCAATTTGCAAATTATCTCTGACTGATTGATTTTATTGGTTGAGCTCAGATGTATTTTGCACAGGCTAATGCAAACACAGCTCTAGACTAATCAGCGCACGCCTTTCATTGTGTTTATTTTATAATTACCTATAATGCATTAGATGGACATAACACACATAGCACATGATAAATATTTTTCACATACATAAAAATTATCATACAACACATGCATAATCATGCCACAAATATCATGTACATATCACATATTTCAAAGTGTTCACACAAAAACATTATCACATCTGGAAGTGGTCAAAAATTAATTACTGCAGATATATTTACATACGTATTTAAAATATCATAAAAGCAATTTGAATGGTAATTTTTCTCATTCAAAACAAATAGCACAATTATAAAACTGTAAAATCAATAATTATATTTTACTTCGATAAAAGTGTTTTAAAAAAGTTTATTGCATATACATGCTACATATTGCACATTACATGCGCATAAGACTCACGGAATATGTAGCATATATTGTTTATGAAAAGAAAGAACAACACAATCTCTTTAAATTTTAAATGTTAAAAAAACACACCTGGTTGAACTTGATGCCTTTCGCCATCTTCACCTTTAAAAATCTTTGACACAGAGATATCAGAATTTACAAATTGTTTCCTCTTGTTATGACCACCTGTAAAATCATCATAATCAAGCAATTTCTTTTTGACAAGACGACCAAATCTCGACACAGGACTGTGATTATTTTCCACAGGAGCAACATTCTTAGACAACTGAAGACGTTTGTCTCCTTTTGCCTTTTCCACAATTTGTTTGGCAATAGCAACAGACTTTTTCTGCAAATCTGTTTGTTGATGAGACGGAAAACAACGCAGTGGTTTGATACTAAGATTGGAAAACTCTCCCTTATATTTATCATCTCTTCTTCTATTATATTGACGTTTCTTTAAAGTCTTTGAATAAATATTTTTACGATATAAAGTTTTCTTAACAACTGCGCCTGGTTGAGAGATTTCTTCATCGTCGTTGGATGAATCATCCGATGTTGGCGGGCTAAACCATTTCAATGGCACATGTTTTACTCTCTTTGATGTCGACGATGGAGAATGTTGAAATGTTTTATCAGCATCGGATCGATATCTGTTATGGGGTAGAAGAAGCGTGTATGCCTTGAAACCAAGTTCTTCGGATGAAAACCCAAGAAATGGTTTGTAATCCTAAGCAAATTTAAATAAAAATTACCTAAGAGTTCCTTCGATAAGTTCATACAATCAGTATTTCATTTTAAAACGAATTTTAAACAACAAAGAATGGCATCAAATGTTGAGAAACACGAACCTCTTCGTCCGAGTCTCCGAAGATTTTTTCAAAATCTTTTCGAGATATTACTTGTTTCGCCCCTAAATTTGTTGATTTGGTATTTTTGTGCTTTTTTCTTTGAACTTTGAGCACAAGTCTTTTCTTGGGACTTCGAGATTTGACAGAAATCTTATCTACCCCAGGATACTTCAAGCGCGCCATCTTAGTTTTTCTCCTGTTTACAACTGCGCATGGGTTAGAAAATGGAAACTCGTGGACATGTTTCCAAATCGTTGATTAAAAAAGCCAATTGATGTATCATTGAAATAAAAGACATCCATATTTTAGGTAATATTGGTCACTGAGATTAAAACGTCAGTTAGTTTTCAACATGTGGTAAAAGACAATTATTTCTATTCGGCAGCCATTTCTTGGGTTCTGGATCCATAAAATGGACCAATCACAGGCGCGTATTTTACGAATCATTGTCTTTATGCCAGTAAATATAACCATATTCCATATTCCATATACACAATGGCATGGTGAATCAACATTACTGTCTGACTGTGTCAGTCATATTTGTTATGCCCATCGCTTGTAAAATTTGAGTTATACTCATGTGACTTATACCATATAAGAAAAATATCAAATACATTGCACACTACAGAGCATTATTGTTGACTACGATAATACAACTTGGTTACAACAATGGTTACAAGTTACAATAAGTCAATCATACTATCACCACTATAAGAAATTTCCAAAAAGTTGCCTGCAAACAGCTTGGTAATTTGACCAACGTCTATTGCGACCACTGACCTGTATAGTAATTACCTGGACGGAAAACCTCATGAAAATTATTATATTTTATAAAGCGCAACATGATGCAAAAAACATGGATACCACCATGCCTTATATGACAAATTTTGGATGAAAATGTAAACGGAGTTTCACAAGCTCATGCTGTTAAGAGATTTTCTCCCTTACTGATTTCAAGCAACGCGATTACAGCACGAGTAAAATGTCAAAAAATTTTTCAAGTGAAAACTTTTATTGGAAGTTTTCAAGCATGGCTATCACTATCACTATAATGACAAATACATATTCCAAGAAGGATAACTTTATTTATGACACTGTAATTCAATGAAAAGGATCTTAGAAGTTCAAAACAAGCTTTTCAATTCATCCTAAGTCCCAACATCTTTTTCCATGACATTAGTTGACTTTTTAAAGAAAACACCTAAAAAATGTAACAATAGAAAACCAAAAATCTCGAAACGCGATTACTCGAGTTATACTCTATTGGAAAAAATTAGAGAAAAATAGCAAATAATAAGTTTTTATATATATTTATTGAGCTAAACAAAAAATTTTCACATGTTTTTCTACATGTGAATGAACGTAAAGTAATCCTTCTACAATCTTACGGAGAATCCACCACATACTTTGTTGATCCTTGCACTATCCCTCGTCAATAGCATTTCTTAGAGTATTCTATTCCATCTGTATTAAAAAAAGTTTGCACAAAACACTTTCAATCTTCTTGCAAACCTCTTCCCTTTCGGAATCAGATTCCTCGTCCTAAAGGAAACACGTTGGTAGGTATTTTTCAAATCTTCAGCAACATCATGAACGGTTTCCACTACTATATACCACGTGAGCAAACGAGCTTCCACACTGTATATGTCATTTATTGATATTTCGTTTGAACATATCTTCAGAAGACTCGAGGTTCCAATACAAAAACAATCCATTAATAACATTTAATGGATTGTTTTTGTATTGAACCTCGTTCTCCCTAGAGCTTTTATCGTCGTCAACATACTTGGAATCATTCGTGTTTTCAATAGTCCAAGGAGTCCTCATGCAAAACTGTTTTTGCGTACGCTAGATGCTTCTATTACGTTTAATTTCATCAAGCTATCTTCAACCTGCCGTCTTTGTTTCTCCTCTGTCATGCTTGATTTTGCTCCAATGTTGGAAGTTTCATTTTCAAGTATTTCTTCTAGCTCAATCCATGAATTACAATATCTATCATAAATATGGGAGCATTGTTTATGCTCAAAATATGCAGATACAAACATATAAAGCACATAAAAACATATCTAACATTGTAATGAATATTACGAGTTGTGTTAGAAAGTGTTCAAGAAGTGTTGATGAGCATGCCAAAAATAAATTAATGAAAATTTGCTACGTGCATATACACCAATTGTAGAGATCGCTCGATCAGAAATTAATTGAGAACGACCAACTGTATTTACTAGTATCGATAATGGACTAATTAGCTCTCTCAGTCACAAATTTTCATATAAATCATCTGCGCATGTGCAGTCTGCTTCAGCATGCGCCGTAAAATTGGTTAGCTGCCCAAGTTTAGGGTCATGGCAACGACAAATTGCATATACTAGAACAGATTTTGAAGTAAATAGCATGCTTATTAACAATTTAATAGAGAAATCATCTGCGCATGCGCTCGAGTTCATAGTCATGTTAACGACTATCTATATGTACTTGCACTACATTTGTGGCAATTAGTTCAATTGGTCTCAAATTATCAAAGAAATCATCTGAGCATGCGCAGTAGTTACTGTAATAATACCACAGCATTCGTAAGCCTTTGAATTTGTGTATATATATATATATATATAAAGCTAAAACTTCGTATAGTAGATGTTAACTAGCAGTGGAAGCTGGGTGCAATATAGTATGCAGTGGCTTAGGAGCCCAGACTTCGGTCGCGACCGCACTCTCCCTGCGTACCCCGAGCAAAGCCTATCGCAGGTGATCTCGGGGTCTGATGAGCGGAAGCTTGCTATTGCATCTCCCAAGTAGGATAGCGTGGAGGGGCCGAAATCTCCTACCGAAACGTCAACACGCGGCGTTCTAGTGCCTTACGCTCAAGAAGGTATCGGGAAGCATGGTCCGAAAACGGTTTTTTTTGCTTTTGAATTTTATCTTTTTAAAATAAAATAAACCAAGCAATGCTTCAATTAAATTCTTATGAAACTGTGCCTTTTTATGACACATGTAATTTAAGACAACCTTAAATTATACAATTTTTATTGGTTTATAACTTTCTGATTTAACTCTCTCATTTACTGTTTCTCGTGTATCCCGAGCAAACCATCCATGGGCTTCATGGCAAACAAGGATTATCTGTTTCCCTTATATAACATGTGTTTTATACTTCTGCTTATGTTCGTGTACTTCTATTTGTGTATGTATACTTCTGTTTGTGTTCGTCGTGTACTTCTGTTGTGTCCGTCGTGTACTTCTGTTTGTGTTCGGATACTTCTATTTGTGTTCGTGTACTTCTGTTTATGTTCGTGTACTTCTATTTGTGTATGTATACTTATGTTTGTGTTCGCGTACTTCTATATGTATTCGGATACTTCAATTTGTGTTTGTGTACTTACATTTGTGTTCGTGTATTGTACTAGTGGGCTATCGTATAAACATCATAAAAGCTTGCATACAGCAATATAGGATGTACATAAATATTTTGCTTTGCCTATAAAATAATACTAATGCCTTGGTTGTACTCGTATCATGTGACAGGCAACGAGTATGATTTTCATCACAAAAAGATGACATGTCAAAATTAATTGTTGGATCCCAAAATTTATCGACAATTAGTGCAGTGAGCAATGGTCAATTAAATTGCTATCAGATTAAGCTGCTTCTCTCTTCAATGAAAAACAGGCGAAGAATGGACTCGATACTTTCATTAGCTCTTGAAACTTGCTTTTCAAGTGAAGTCTTTAAATCCTCTTTGGCTCCTTTATTTGAGCCTCTTGTAAGAGTACGGCTGCTAAAGAAAGAGTACTTTTTGGTTAATGCGAATACGGTACAGGAGTTGTAATGTGTCATTGATTCAAACAAATATATGCTCCACCATATTTGTATATCATAAACCATAAGAAAGCCAACACTTCGAACAAAATTATATAAATGCAACTTACCGCGAGCTTGAAGATGATTTACGCAGCAGTTCAATCTGAATACTGTCGTCGTTGCACAAATAAGCAAATTCTTCAAGTATATCAATAACTGTGAACAATGCTAAGGAATGGCTGGATATAAGACTGTAAATTGGTGTAAGATTTTTCGATGTTGATTGAGCGAGAAAGATGTTGTTCGTTTAGCATTTTTTTAAACATCAATTAGTAGATAAAGACTGAAATGTGTTAAAGGATACCAATAATGTAGTCGAAGAAACATGGATATTTAAAAACTTCTTGAGTTTGGATTTTTTTAACTGCATCAAAAAACGTATCTTCACATTTGGGCCAATCATATTGAAGCAAAACAATAAGATGACCAAGTAACTTATCATTTCGCGAGTCAGAAAAAATTCGGGCCTGCCAAAAATAGTTGCCACTTCATTATGGTACAAAATGCATTTAGTATAATTGTTCTGGTCCAACTCACCTTCAAAGAATTTATTAAAAGCTGAACACAGTATGATAACGCTTCATCTTCCGTACATTCAACAAGTTCCAAAAATCGATCTAACAATGTACACAAATATTTTTAAATGTATGATAAACCTGTCAGTAGAAAACCGGAATGCATCAAATTCCAAGCCAGCATGTAACTTTTTACATATAAATAAACTTTCCAAATAAGCCCCTGTACACTATTCTGTAAAACGAATAGAATAATTTCTCTGTTTGCTAGTTGCTCAACTGTATATGTACGTCAAGTCTTGGCACTTAAAACGCCACGTCATTATGCATTAAACATAAGTATTTTACGTTTCAAAGCACCATGCATAGTATACACCGGTCTACAAACATTATAGCATCACAACCATACCATTAGAAGAAGCTGCTTTAGAACTTCTTGGTGCAACTAAATCAACAAATCGTCTTTTTTGTTTCTCTTTGTAATCATCGAGATTTTCTGTGCCTTCCCAAAATGTCTCCAGTGCTTCGAGAATCACGCTACATGCTTTCTGTAAGACATTGTTTAAGATAATGTAAACCCTTAACAGAGAAAGTTGGCCGTTATTGGAAAACTGTATCACGTTATACGTTATCCGATAACAAATAATTCCATTTGGATGATAAAAATAACGCCGACAAATGTTAATGATAACAAAGTTCACCTTGTGTTCGCCAAGAGATGAATAAACTGATGAAAGCTGCAAGGAGCATCTTAATGAAAACTATTAATAAAATGTAGAGCACAGTTAGCATTGATAATGAAACAATCACGGTGACTGATTTTCGTTGAGAATACTTACAGATTGTTTGGAAGGAGAATATTTCAAACTCTCTTTCTTGTCTTGCAATATCTCTATAGCTTTCTTAAATTTTCCCTGATAAAGCGAAAGCTCTCAATTATTTACTGCTACAAAACGTTGATTCAACAATTGATTCAAAAAATCATAACGTAGTCGAGTGCTGGAACAGAAGTATCAGGCCAAAAATAATAAAATATGATAAATTGTCCTTGCTTGATTTTATTTTATAATGTATGTGTAGACAAAGCATTTTTGCAATAATGAAGCTCAAACTAGACACAAAAAAACTTCATTGGAAACAAAATGATTACTATAAAGAGGTTTACAAATAACTGGCATGCTCAGGTTTTCATGCCACAAAGACGAGTCAAGACCAGGTATAAGTCATTAACATACTCGATAAATATGTCTGTCCACTTGAAACGGAATAATCCATTGCCAATCATCAACTCTCCACGAGTCCAACAATCGAGAAAATTCTACCAGCATCAGAGAGATTATTATCCAATAAACATCACTTACATATAAATATAATGTAGCAATCATATTTCTTGCTATATATAGAACGTAAAAAATCGCCTTGCAGTGTTGATATTGGTTACAATAGCCAGTATGAAGTAAAAGTGATCATTTATAAGCCCAAAACGAAGAGACTAACCATTTTTATAATCAGAATGTGAATGAAGCATGTGCCAAGTATCAGCAGCTACAAGGAAATAATCACAAGTACCAGGCTCTACTGTCATGCAGTCTGAAAAAATAACACACAATTGTGAAAAGACAAATTTATTGAAACTCGAAGAAAGAAAAACATAAAAAACACATAAGACGAATAACATAATATACATACTACTGCCAACATTTAAATGAACTTGCTGTCGTTCCTTTTGATCCTGTAAAAAAACACGTTACATGTCTGCGATATTCAAAGACAAAAATCCACTAAACACAATAGAAACCCTTAATGCATCATGCAAAGAAATAAATTTCTACTGAAACTTGACAACCTACATCAACTGGCTTTCTTTTCTTCTTGGGAGGATGTCTGTGCAGTATATAATGGAATCAAAAAATGGCAATTACGAACATGCATAATGAAATAAATATAACCTTACGTAAAATGTGAATTACAAAGTAAATACACAGATAACATTACCTTCCTTCTGACGATTCTCCTGACTTTCCAGCATTAACAAGATTTTCCAACAAAACAATAACAGCTGGTGATGTACCCCCATCTGATTTACCTATAATCGAAATTTCACAGTAAATGGATAAAGAAGATGAAGAATACTGAAACACATACAAATAACTTAAGTACATCTTCCTTTATGTGGCTAAATGTTCGTATATAGCTAGTCATACCATATATCATAAATTAAATCAGTTACGGTATAAAGAAATAGATAAGTGTGTCCTCTTTCTTCATGGTATGCATGCAAATCTAACGAAAAACTAGGCATGTGATCTTCATTCCAGAAGTATAAATATAAAATTGAATACAAATTTATCGGAGAAATAGAAAGCCACAGTGTATCATTTCGCTATTTCTAGTAGAACTCACAATTCTCGTCCATTCGATTGACAATTTTACAATATTGCCATACAGCACGAAAGAAAATAGTAACAGCAGCATAAAATACGCCAATCTTCTCCATTGCCAAGATGTTTAACGCTGTTGGAGAGGCTTGCCCTTCTTCAACAGCTTTTGTCTTTACTTTCATTGATTTTTTAAGATTATGATGAATCTCTGACAAACAACTCCATGCATCTTTCACACTCCTTTGAAAAAAAATATGATTACAACTAATTTATAAGGCAACTTCTACTATTTATCGAACAAGAACTACTTCAATGGCATAACTGTCTCAACTGATCCTTCCTACAACTGTGTGCCAAAAGATTCTTGTATTCACATATGTATGGCCTTCCTAAGACCCGCAAAAGCGACATATCTACGTGCCGAATACTCTAAGTCTCTGGTAGTATTACACATACAACTATGTCCCAGCAAAGCTGCTGGAAACGAAAATAAAACCCTTTTCCATCAAGAAACTTACAATCAATGACACAATATCTTTCTTGAATGTTTAACGAGACAATTAGCTTAATTAAGAAGAAATCGTCGCATTTTATGAATCAAATTAGCTAACCTTAAAAAAGCCAGATGGAAAAACTTTATATAGGAACAACGGAATTACCACTTAGGCGCGTAGTGGCGGAAAAGATCATTGAGAAGCAGCTGATCGACTGAGTTTATTGTAAGCAAAAGAATTTCTCATAATCTCATTATCTTAAACAACTCCCATTTTTTGTTCACATTCACCATCTAATGAAAAGTTTGAGGAAAGATAATAGAATTGAAATGAAAGCAATTAGAGTGGACGAGGGCATCAAAACAAAGATCTCTGCTAAATAGACAAAAACAGATCTACTCGTATATAGAGCCACTTAAATCAAAGAAATCGTTATTGCAGACAATGCTACTCCGAGCATTTGTTCGATCATCTTGGAAAACCATTTCACAAATGAATGCAAATGACTTAAAAAGTTTTTCTACATCTACATGCAACATCCTCAAAATTTAATTGAAAAGAAAAGTTGTTCGAGAAGAAATACTTTAAAGAAGAGAGAAAACATAACGCGAGTAATTTTGGTAGCTATAAGACGGAAGAATTAGGCTTCTTCCTTGCCTTGATGATAAAAAATCGGCTCATAAGGTATGCAGACCGCACCATAATATTGGCTTTGAAATTGGATTGGTCTAAACTACGAGACCTACAATTGGATTGATCCAAACTACGAAATCTACAATTGGATTGGTCTAAACTACTTCCATGCAATAAGGTCAATGAGCAGGACAAAATGGAGAATCAGAAACCAGCCCTAATCAACCGGCAACATCTTGTGTAGTAATGCGTAAGTAATCTGTGTTATGTAAATGACGTGAAAACACATGAATTCAATGATACGCAAACATGCCAAAAATCGACACGAAAAAATTTCTTCTAATGGAAGTACAAAATGGTTATTTCAAATTAAACGGGCAAAGATAATTCACCAACCTGTTAGGTGACAAAATATCTTTCAAACGTAAAATATCAACCCAGCCACATTTATTACCCATGATGCAAAGAAGCTCGTGAAGATGTAACCATAAATCAACCTGATTATGAATTGATGGATCTACATCATGACTGGATGCATGTGGGTAAACATTAGCTCGAAACGCTTGACAGCAAATTATATATTGGATTGATAATTCCAGCCAGTTTAGCACTTGATCTGGACTCAATGTAAGTATGGTGGAACTCTAAAAAGAGAATACTAGATAAAATGGAATTTTTTAAACGTGCGAAATAGTCTGAGCTCAAAATCATTTTTATTGTTGACAAAGAATCATGTGAAACCATTCAAAAATGTTTAATCAGAATTCACCTGGTTCTTATCAGGTCTGTTCTCAATATTTATCATCAGCTGTTCACTGCTTACGACAACAGGAAGTGCATTACAAACTAAAAACACCAGAGTAATCATTTATCTACGTAGGTCATAGTTTATTTTTAAAACTAGGCGTGTAATGTGCAGGACAATACATTTATCATAATAGTTCAACACGAAAAATAGAGTAAATAGTGACCTACACAATTTGCATACTACAAATGATCTAATAAACGCCCAAGAAGTTAATACATTTTAGAGGTTCTTGGGAGAGGGAAGGAGGAGTGTGGGCTAAATAGGTTCGAGGAGTTTAAGAAAAAGTTGCGTTTGTATCATGTTCATCACTTTAGTGTGAAAAACAACAGAAGATACAAGTTTAGTGTAAAGTTTTAAAAAAACACTGCCTTTTGACTACGTGTAGGTCCAAAAGGTTTAAGTATCTTAGAATTTTCTAGTTTATCAAAAAGCAAAAACCCACAAAAAATAAGTCTGAAAAAGCGGGAGTGCAGTTCTGTAATAGTCTATTTTTAACCGTGTGTGCGAAGAATATGAGAGGTTCAGAATCATATTCAATTGAGAAGTTAAAGTTCTAACTTAGTTGTTCATTGTATCAAAACTTTTCATTTATTCAAATTTCAATCTTTATTGTTAATTTGTTATTCAAATAATCACTCATTAAAGAAGAAAAAGGTACGCGAGCGTGGAGTAAACGTCAAAAAATGTTCAATTTACACACGTTGCGCAGTGAAATTAATGTTTATAAAATCTTCAAAAAAATACAATGTACAAGAAAGTTAAAACTTTCACCTCTTCAAAACAAATAAAATTTTTAACCTTTCGTTTTCTTCGCACAAGCGGTAAAAACTGAGGCTTTTACAAACCGTTCTCCCGCTTTTCGAAAGATTTTTTCTGGTTGCTTTTAATGTTAGATAAACCAGACGATGCAAAACACTTAGACGTGAACACATTTTTGAGAAATTTTTATAATATGATAGTTTCGTGGACGTTATTAGATAGATTTTCAAATTTTTTTATAACGCCCCCTCTAAAATGTTCCGTAAGCAGAGGATAGAAATCTGAAAGCATACGTTTGCACAGTTATATATCAAAAACGCTGCACACCCGACTCCGAAAAAGTTAATGTGGTCAAACATGTATCCTTCCTACACTTATTGCTCTGAAAACATAACTGCGGCAAAAAATACACACTTTCTGAGCCCAATTAACAACTCACTATAATTATGATATCATAATGAAAAAGTGGTGGGTGTGTCAAGTACAGGAGGGGGCGTTTACTTAATTGACCAGTTTCTAATAAAAACTTACATAGGCTTCAAAGGGGGTGGGCATTATTTCATCATTTACTATGTTCAATTAGAAATATGGGGGCCAAAAACTTAATTGTCATGCAAAATTGCATGATTGTAAATGTAGATCGTCCAGGTTGGTATAGTCCTGAGAAGGACTGTTTTTGTTGTTGTTGAAACGTCAGTCAACAACAACAAAAACAGTCGTTCTCAGGACTATACCAACCTGGACGATCTACATTTACAAACATGTAACGATACTCCCGGGTTCAAACCATTTACTTTATTACGATGCAAAATTGCCTTGCAACGATAAAAATATTTTGATCATAATGTAAAAATATGTTCTTGCTCTATATTATCTACCATACCAAGTAATTTTCTATAAATGTTGATTGGTGAATCTGGAGATATCTCGCGTTCTTTTGACATCAATGATTGTATAAGAGAAACCTTAGAAAGTACATAGATACCTATGCATTAACTACATGACTTAAGTAATTCTTGAAAACTTGTTCCGAAGAAAGAACTGAAATTCTACATCCCATAAAACAGTTAGATAAACATACCGCACACTCTTTTACAGCTTCAGGAAATTGCTTGATCAACAGCAGTGTAAGACGACATTTTTCGGAACAATCACTTTGCTTTGCTGAGATAGTACAACAAAAAACATTGGAGAATATTTTAAGTCATCAATAATTAATGGAGCCTCCCTCAATCATATGGGATGCATTTAGACTCCTATCACACCACCCTAGTCATATGTAATAATACAGATATTATATACAATAAAGAAGCTAAAGCGTTTGAAAAGGAAGTATACCAGCAGCATTGATCAAAAGTCCCTTTTGTGATGTTCTTGATAGACTGTTAAACATATCTTGAAAATCAAAGAAAATAATTGATGGTTATGCTTGTGACACAGAAATTTATTTCATACAAAAGTAAATCATACATCACACATAAATAATTAGACATACAACAGGTTATGTTCTCCAAAATGATATTGAATTAAGACACAAAAAAATTAGCACCAACCAGACAGCTTAAGATGCTTATCTCCTAGTTGCATTGGATAATTTCAATCAGGGTGCGAATTAACGGTGTGCAATGTGCAATTTGCACATCGTTTTGGCTAAAATGAAAATAATTGCACATCACTTTTCAAACGATGTGCAAAAAAAGTTTTTCATTAAATACTATCACATATATTGAAAAAAAAGTTTTTAAAATCTTAGGCCATGTAATTGGCAATGTTGACACAATGTCATCAAATTCAGAAACGTCGTCACTTTGAGACTGGAAAGTCTGTCAACAGTCGACATACATGGTTCTTCTGACCATATACGGATGTAATACATATATAAATATTAATTTTTGCATTGCGTTGTTTTGTAGTTTGTACATCATTTCTTTTTTTGGCATCATAGCTATTTTGAGTGTTTTCAATAAAATCAGGAGACATTTTCTTTCTGATTCCTAAAAAAACCTTTAAAATTTTCAAATTTGAAAAATAAGCCAAAAAGATTTTTGGGAGCGAAACGTTAGAAAAAAAAATCAAACTGGCAACCTTGATTAATCGTACTTTTTGCTTTTACGTATTGTTTGTAATATGACAAAAATATTTTTTGTTATAAGTAAACATCAATAAAACATATTAGATAATCAGAAGACAAAAGTAGGTGCATGTTTCTCTTCTCGCTTTTGTTTTCCTTGCCATGATGGCTTCTTCGTCGAAAGGTTGTACTAGCAAAATTAACACAGTAAAAAAATGGATAGAAACATTAAATGCCGACTGGCTTGAATACGAGGATGATGGCCAAGTGGTGAATTCACTGCGCTGTAAAGTTTGTACAAACAAAGAGGACAGAATAACAAGCGCAAAAAATTTCTATCGCACATTCATAACAGGATCAGCTGTTGTAAAGAAAAACACAGTGGTAAATCGTATGAATTCTGATCAACATAAGATGGCAGTTAAGCTAAATTTGAAAGAAACGTTGAATGAGAAATATGTTGAAGAAATCTTAACGAATACGAAACTCCCATTGGGCAAGGACTCAACAAAAAATTTGCACATCGTTTTTTCTCAACTAATTCGCACCCTGATTTCAATAGTTCTAATCTATTAAATTTAACATATAGTTAATTAAATTTATAATATCATCACCTTTAAGAAAAGTACTTTTCTGGTCAATTTCTTTTGTCTCAAGTGCTTCAGTAATCTTGCAAAGCTCCTCAGCCAGAATCCTCTCAGATGAAAACTGACCAAGCCTGGTGAATTGAGGAATTAAAGCCTGGTGAATTAAGCAGGTGAATTGACAAGTAAAAAACTACACCAAAGCAATTTCAAAAAGCTTTTGCAAGTGGATGAATGAAATATGCTAAGTTGAATACTAAAAATAGCCTTCACACAATATTTATAACCCACATGTGAAGAAAAAGCTCTGCAGCTTCTTTAACTCTTTTTGCATCTTTTTCGATTAAATAAGCTTCATACTATAATAAGGAATTGCATTAATTAAACATCTTTAACACAAAGTGGAATGTGACATCACTGCCCAAAGGGGAGAGGGGAGAGAGGAGTGCGACATCACTGCCCAAAGAGAGAGGGGAGAGAGGAGTGTGACATCACCGCTCACAGGGAGACGGAAAGGGGTGTGACATCACCGCCAACAGAGAGAGGGGGGAGAGGAGTGTGACATCACCACTCACATAATTTAAAAAATGTTACAGTTTTCCTCACTTACAAGCTACACCTCACTTTAAACCTACTCATTAAATCCCCTGAAGAGTGAGTAATCACGAAACAGGCTTGTCAGGATGAAACAGTAGTTTTTGTGATTTTTTTCAATATCACTATATATATTTACGCTCTGCTCCCGCCATCGAGCACTGTTTTTCATGGAGAATCATCACACAAAAACTTCCTATATATATTTACAGTAAGATATATTTCCAGCAATCAACATTTGATATACAGTGAAATATATTGATTGTTGGAAATTATATTTATTTATACAAACCTGCACTTTGAAGTTGGAAGGATACAAGCATTTTGCAGTAACAAGCCAGCACTTCGCGTCATATATATCCTTTTCGTTAACAGCATAGTGAGTTTTTTGCACCAACCAACCTTCGTTGTCTATATTGTCCGACATTTTAAACATTTCTTTTGAAACTAAAACGGAAACGCAACTCGGGCAAGTATGGTCCTTGCTATAAATAAACGTAATCTTCCCAATTAGATCTCTTTAGCTGTGGCCATGCTGTGGTTATCTGGCTGCATCATTGATGAGGATTGTTGGTTACGATCACGATATCCACTTGTGTACACATTGTGTCCATCAAGTCAACCGGGGGCAATAATGAGCAATAAGGAGTAAATTATTTTAAAATTAAAATTCGCCAGTGCATTCGTCAGGCAAATTGTTTGTTTTAATTTTATTGCACCAAAGCAGTCGAAATTTTGTAATGACTACACTATGTAAGAGTCATTTTAAAAAGTAGTTTATGGAGTCTGAAGACGAGGACTTCGGTGCAAAATTTTCAACGACCAAATCCCACTGACTCAAGATGATCGGATAAATGAAATATTGCAAGAAGTTGCAACAAAAATTCCGAGTTTAGAGTTTGGCGATGATGTAAGTCTCTAAAATTCTGTATTATGATAATTGTGGATTGCATATTTTTCTCCTTGCTGTTTGTGTCAAATGGTGGTCAAATCTCAATTTTGCAAATCTCTTGTATCTTAGCAACACAGTAGTAAACACATATTATCTCAAATGTTTACACAGAATTACACGTCTTAAGTCCCCATGATATTGAGAAAAAAAATGTCAATTTAATCATCTCTAATTGTTTGGCATTCCACTATATAATCCCATTATGAAACTAAATTTTTAACTTACATAGGATGATGAACCTGAAAACACAATGGTTTGGTCACCACCAGAATCTGTACCATCATTTTATCAGCAAATCTCATCTGTCAGTCCATGCAAGCAACTAAATAATTTTGTATTGGAAAAAAATTCAACTGAAACACCCTGCAAAAGCAAAATTATTAATTGTAAAAATGAAGTTGAAAATGGTTACAAGCACGAGTTATCAACAACTGATCATAAAAACCCTTTTGTTGACCAAAAAGTACCAGATGTCAACAAGAAAGATTATTATGGTGACCAAAAAATTGAAAATAATAGTTCTGGTCAGAATGCTCTTAATTCAGATATTGGTACTCTTATGAAAAATTGTGAAAACTCCTTGTGTGTAGCTGATCGCATTTCTTTGCCTTATTATGAGTTTATTTCCACTACTGTTGTGCCTGAAAAATCTTCAAACAGTAAAACTAAAACAGAATTTCACCAGAAACAAGTAGATTTTGGAACCAAAGAAAAATTTGTTGCTACTGAATTAATTACTGATAAACATGGTCCTGAGGAAAGAGCCAAAATTAATTCCCAAGACATTGCAAAAAGTTGGAAAGGTCTGTTAGACTTCAATCAAGTCAATCAAATTAACTTTAATCAACTGCGATCCATATTGTCAACATTACCTGGCAAAGATGAACCGTTTCCTGAAACAAATACATCACAGAAAGAAGAAACTCTGACATCTATAGGTGATCATGAACTAATGTTAAGGTTATCAAGTCTTTGTAAAGATCAGATGAGTTTGTGTGGAGGTCTTCTAGATTCCAAAAGAGACATTTTCCCTGCTAATTTTAATCACAAAAGATCAACAATGGTACCAACAAAACCAATTCATTTGTGGTCACAGCTGCCCAGTGAAGATTCTTCTAATCAAGAGCAACTGACTATATTTCTTGATTTGAGACCTAAATCAAATGTTGAAAAAGTTAAGGTATATACTTTTTAGTTTTTACTTTGATACACATTAAAAAATCTCTTCTGAAATAGTTCAATAATATATTTACCGTGACAGATAGTGTTAAATTACACAAAATATTTTATCATATTTTCAAGGAAGCCAATTATTTGGCATCTATAAAGCGGATATTGGGTCTAAACAAAAGCAGGTAACTATTTTCAATGCTGACAAGTACGTTATTGAAACATCAAAAAAGGAATGACTCACACGCGCATTTTATGTACTTGTATTTAGATATTTATAACAGTTGTATCGTTTTGTTAAATTTCTAGAAGTGATAGCTCAGATAGCGAAAGTGACGATGAACTTGATGAGTGGCAAAAATTACGAGTAAAGTTAAAGGAAAGATCGAAACAAGAACAGATGAAAAGTGATGATTTCGAGCGCAGCATTGACGATAACTTTTCACAGGCTGTCAGCAATAAACAGCCAATTGAGAAAACAGAATTTTTTCCTCATAAATCTCAAGTCGCTAATGTCAAAGATATTGTGCCTGATTTGACCAATTTTGATTTGACCCACCCACTTTGCGAGTTGCGAGACAATGAGAAAGAGAATATAGATTTTTTTCATCCCTCTAAATACGCTGACACTATTTTTAAAGAAGATTGTTTTAAATCAACGTTATTTAATGGTGAGTCGTGTGACTCCAACAGTGATTTATCCTTTAAAAAAAAACACTCTGACGGACCATCAAAATCTAAACTTTTAAGGAATAAAAAAGAAAAGTTGTACAAATATAAAATGGATAAAGAAACTATCTACAAAGAAGATGAAAAAAATAGTGAAAGTTCTTCAGAGAAGGACGATCAACAAAAACATTCAATCGGATCTACGAATTCTTTTGATGTAAAAAATACTCACGAAGACATTAGTTTGTCTTTCGAAAATAATCAAGAACCAATGAAAAAGATTGGGCATGATGAAATAATAAGATTTAAAAGAGAAAATCTCAAAACTCACCACATATCTGATGAGAATGAAAAGGATCAGCACGTTTCCAAATCGCAATGTTTAAGCGAGTTGGAAAGTGGTGTGCCTATTACTGAGGATGTTATAGAGCAGCAATCATATCAAAATTCTGCAACGAACAGAATTGTTGATGTGGGAATGCATTTTCATTTCACTGAGTCAAAACTACACGAAAATGTGAGGAGTTTACCTGGGATATCTTATGAATCCAAAGAAGCCCATTTTAAAGGATCACACAAACACAATTCATCCCATTCACATAGCAAAGAAGAATGTACTGAAAGACACGTTAGTGAGCAAGAAGAATCTATGGAGCATATTGTAAAGGATGAAAAAAAACTGAACGAGGTGCTTGATTCTGTTGGGAAGAAAAAATCGAAACATATCTCGAATTCTCATCGCAACGAAGAAGATGCAACAAAACGCGTACTGATTCAAAAACGCAAGATGAAGATGCTGAAAGAAAAAGTAAAAGAAAATCTCGATAAGTCCCTTCCTACGTTGACGGGTAGTGGAAGGTATCCCTCTGCATACAATACACCTACTATATATGATCAGGTATAGATGTCAAAACGTACTAAGCATGCTTATATTTCCTTTTGACCTAATTTCCTAATGACCTAATATGTTCAATGTGGTCTCGTATGACAATGAATGTTTTTCTCTTGTTCATTGCTACTGGTATGACTTGTTGTTGCTTAAAAACATAATTGCTATCGGTATAATTACGTTTCAGGATGCCTCATATGAAGAAGAATTGCAAGATTTAATCACGATAGATGAAGATGAAATCAATCTATTACTAGTTGTTACATTATCCAATATTAATGAAGTGAACAGACAGTACACTAAAGGGCGATTGGGTTTTCTTGCTGGAGAAGACGCAAACTGCTATTTTGCTTTATTATCATGGCTTCTTCATCTCTGCGACACCAACTATTTTAGCAGTACTATACCCTTTCATGTAGCTGGTATACGTCAATCTTTGCAAAATGGTCAGCTACAGCTTTTTGTCGCCGTTCGACCCAACAATATCATTATCAACACAATGGGCTTGACAAAAAATAAAGCACGAGTTTTTCATAAAGCGATAACCAAATATCTTTCTACACATACATTATGTCTTGTGTATCGGCAAATGAAATGTTTTTACTTTGGTGGAGGTCCGTGGGTCGATGAATCTACCGGCAGCTCAAAGATGTTGTCTACTTACATAACAACGAGAAGTGACATGAATTCAGTCAAACGTGTTTTCAACAGCAAACCTGGTTTCTTCTGGGAAACCTTTGAATGCAGTGGTAGCAGTGATACTCAACTGAATACTCATTACACTGAGGAGAACTTGGAAAACACAATCATGTTGGTGCATGCACCTTTATGCTATAATCCTTCTTGTCTATTTGATTTGTTCACACGTATTGCTGGTGAAAGCTGTGATCTGGCTGGATTACGATTTATTTATGATCTAAAATCAGGTAATCTTAGATTCAGTTATTTGTATACGGACATCAACGTTTATTTAATTCTTTGCTAACAAACTTTGTCAAATTTTTTTCACCAGGAAATGATGCTTGCCAGGAAAAAAATGCTTCCCTACGTGATTTATTTCCGTGTTTAGCTATTGCTGTTCGAGGTCCGTGGGCAGTTGAAAAAGTCAAAACAATAATTGGATCGCGAATATCATTAAATAGTCTTCAGGAATCTCCTTCTCTTCGTTCTTTGTATTGTTCATCTGGTGAAGAAAAATTATTTTACTGCCCATCGTACGTGAGCCAAGCTTCAACACAATTGGCTAGATTCTTTGGAGGCCGTTTGATGGAGAAATATAGTCAATCCATAAAAGAAACCGAATCATCGTTATCAGAAAGTGTTCCAACCCAGAAACCTCCGTCATTATTGGTAGCTTCCACTCGTGTCTCGTTTTTTCTTGTTGTCTCATCTTTATTGCCACCAGCCTTTCTCGGAGAGCTTATCGACGTTTGTCACAAAAGAGGTTATGGTTTGCACGGTATACGTAGACTTCAAATTAATAAGCGACAACGAGAAAGTCTTGGGCTTTCTCAGTTCTATACGATTAGCTCATCGTTTGGTAGTACCCCCACATCAAGTCCAAACGAGTCACCGCCGAGCAGCCCTGTCAGACGCAAATCAAGCTTTACTACTAAAACAGACGTGGCATTTATGAAGGCGAAAATGTCACATCCTGCCACTGTTCTTCTCCTTCAACGAGAGAATGGATTGTATCACTCTTGTAGTTTAATAAAGATGTTGTTTCGTTCGCTAAAAGAATGGCTGTCGGTACACGGCACTGGTTACGCGGACTTTGAAGTTAGCGAAGCAAGAATGTGTTTTAATGTCGTACATTTTAATGAAGCTAACTTAAAATCAATATGGAATGACATTTGCTATTATCCTAATGCTGTGCTGCTCAAATGCACAAGAAGTCATCGATTTTATTGGAGCACTGAAGTTGAACAAATCTGTGTTCTTAGCTCAAGTGATGTCGAAGCTAGTCAAAATGTTGGAAATCTTTTGAAAAAATTAACAAACAGTAATGAAATTGCTGAAGGCTGGGAACTACTTGGGATCAAAAGCTTTCCATGCCTTAGCCTTTCTCAAGCTAGAGAGGTAACTCCTTATGAGATAGATGATGATTTTTGGCAGCATAACATCAAACGTTTGACATCGTCGACAGTATTTGCATGCGTTTTAAGAGGAGTTAATATGATCAACAGAGTTCGTGATTTTATGAATGTGCATGATGAGAAGATGTCCATTGAAGGAAATTCTCGTCTTTGTGATGTTTGGTCGTACTCAAAAACCCCCGAGGTCGCTTTCCGGCAGCTTTCTGTTTTATTTGAAGAGTCTGAACTTTTTGCTGATGAAACTAGAAGAACAAACACTAAATTCATTCCGCCATGTCGCCAAAGATGTTTATCTACAGATTTAAAGCAAAATACGCAGAAAAACCGTCGAAAGCTCAGCGATCTCATGATGTATTCAACAGATGATTCGTCAGTTCTTGTCGAGCCTTTGCAAGCATTCAATGAGATGTCTATCACTCAGTCGCTCATGGTTGGTTCAAGACTTTTACCTACCATTGCGTTGATTAAACCTTTCTGTGTTGCCAATCCTAAAAGGTTTACCAAGATATTTAAAGCCTTTCTCCAAGAGAACTTTGAGATTGTTGCCTTCAGCCTAAGACTGATCACCCAAAGTGAAGCAGGTGCATTAGTGCATCACAACAACTGTACGGTTAGTTTCAGACTTTTTGCTTTTTTAATAAATATAAATCATTATTGCAGGTAAACTGACTATCTCGATATACGTATAAAGCATTTACTTTCATGTGAAATTTATTCTCTTATGGCATTTTCTTTGATTTAATATTTCTTTACGCTTCAGGATTACAACGACACCATTCAGTATTTGACATCAGGTCCATGTATTGTGATATGTTTGCAACGTGAAAATGCTGTGAAGAAACTACTCGATATTTTGGGACCAAAAGATCCAGTTATTGCTCGTAATGTCGATCCGTTTCTTTTGCGCGGTTGTTATGGTGTCGACTCTGTTCATAATGCAATTCATGGTAATCACGTTTACGTTGTTTGCCTTTGGTTCGGTATTTCACATCCTTTTTTTACAATTCATTGCTTGAAGTGAGAATCACGTAGTTTACAATTTTAAATGTTAAGTTACAAATCACCTTTTTCATTTACAATCTGTCGGCCTGTTTAAGCTTCTGTTACGCTTGACTCATATAAATAATGACGGTAAAATTTTCAGGATCAGAATCGTATTCTTCAGCCATTAGTGAACTAAAAATGTTTTTTCCTCATGGTGTATGCTGCAAGCAAACAATTGATCTTGAAGCTGAACAGGTATAGCTTACATGCATTGTTATTTTTTAAAGCTTTGAAAAACTTTCTTTAAACACTGTGAGTATTAAAAGCAGTCAATGTTGGACAAACACATAAATAACAAATTTAAAAGTGGAAATATCTACCTAATAAAGCGATCTAATAAAGCGATGAAAAGTGTTTTGGTCATTTTTGTGTTAAGAAATAGGCTTGTTTCATTACATGCTTCTGAACTTTTGTTATCTTTATCTTGATGTTTAGATTCCCTGCGGTGAATTTGATTCTTCTGTAAGAAATAAACCAGGAAAGAAGTTGACTAAATGTAAAGTATATTAACTATTGCCATTTCTTAGCCTATGTATTTTCATACATGCGATAAGTGCGGGTGACATCGTTTAGAGAAAGGGTTGACGATATTTTGTTTGTAAGGCATTTGAAAGTCTTTCAATATAAAAAAGTTCATTATATATTTGTTGAATGTGGTGCGTTCAACCTAACATGCAGTTATTTGATTTGTTTTTCTTTGTTATACATAGCCAAAGGTTACGGTTGTGAAAGTAATTTAACGAGTTGTATGATGCAAGTGAATTGTGTCATCTTAACTCATCATATTGTACATGGTCGAAGTACTCGCAAAAGAATCGCGATGATTGATGTCTTCGATTGTCTATCATCGATGAAATTTGTCCCCGTTGGTATGAAAATGGTTTTATTCACCAAGGATCAAGTCAATCAACTGCTCTGGTTGATGAAATCAAGATCAGCAGATAACAAACAAAATCTCGTGAGAGAAGTTTGTGTTATCCCTATCAAAGAGTTATATTGACAACAGAATTTTATAATTTGTAGTCGAAGGAGTTAACCGATGGCTCTTGTATTGTTCTTGCGTTACAAAGAGAGAATGCTATCACGTGTTTTGACATGATACTTGAGAGGTAATTACAATAAATATTTTCATTTTATACGTCTAACTTGTGTAAATTTTGGAGTTCAGCTGTTTTGTACGTGGAACATGTTAACCAAAGATAAAAAGGATCAATAGATTTTTCCTCAAAACAAAATTTAATTATTTTGTCCTTATTAACAAACAATAGTTACCTGCTTTAGATTCACAGATTATTAAAACTCCAAATGCTAACTGATTTTCCTGATAATGTTTTTTTTAGTTTTGAGCAAACACGTTTCTCAATTGCTAAGCATCGCAAACATATGATTGAGGCTAAAAACGAGGAAGAAGTAAGTATGAAATACTGACTCTTTCGTTAATCATATGTATTTATACTTTTATTTTTCATTTTCATTTTCATTAACGATTTTAGGCTGAAAAACTGCTTCTGTATCTTTTTGACTGTTTGATGCCTAATTCGACCGCTGTTATTTCTTGAACTGATTAAATAACTAATTATAATTTAGAAATTTGTTGATTTACTTCAGATTTTATGACTTTGATGATATTTAATCAACAATTGTATTATTTATTTGACCATTGATTTATTGGGTCTTCCCAAAATTCCCTCTATAGCTACATAGCACATATTTATTATTAAAATACTTCGTTGCCAATTAGATTGTCGTATTTTGTTGTGCGAGCAAATACTATCCAGTATAATTTCTACGGTTTTAATAACGCACTGCAATGATTTCTAAAAGGGGAATTTTTTCTGGAATATCTTGTTTTGTGCTCTCAGCCATTCAGAACTGCTTTCGTTCAACTCTATATAAATTTTCACGTTGTAATTTACTTATTCTGCTGAAAATCATAGGTCATAATTATGAAATTTGAAAGATAAAGAATAATCACGTCGAAAGAATGTTTTTCGGTAGATTGTTGTGGATTCAAATGGTTTATTATTTCCGCAATTTAGTAGACGCGTTGGTGTAAGGTCGCTCATTTACTGAAATGATTGTCACATATTAATTATATTATTCTTACGGAACTGAAAGTGTTTTGTTGAAAAGATAGTCATAATATACGTGCAATGATCGATACGTCGCTAGCGACGACGATTGTGTATGGATATGCCCACGCGTGCACTTTCAAAAAATTTCAATGATAATCTTTTACTGCACTTGAACAGCTTGGTTTTTTTTTTATACCATTGTACTCTTTTATTTCATCATGATTTTAATGTAATGGATGTGGATGTTTTTACGACGTATTCACACAGCATTCATCATATATCTTGTAGAAAACAATTAGGAAAGCAGGTTAGTGACCTTTTTTATACTTATACATAATTCTTCAGCATAACATCATGTCAGTTTGGATATCAGTTGCACTTTGTCTAAATAATTTTTTATAAACTTTAGTTAAGAAAAAAGCCGCACGTTATGACTATATGACCTTATTTACACTAGCAGTTGCTGTCGGAATTAGTTAATTCATGGCTTGAAAGCTCTGTGGATAATTTAATTCAGTGGCAATGACACGAAGGACTATTCAAAAACAGTCATATTAGTAAAAATATGCAACTTATATTTCTCTCTAATAACATGTTGTACACATTAAGACCTGTTTCAAACGTCGCACTTTACATCAGCCGAATTGATTTAAAACAAAAGATAACGAGGAATTTTATTTCATTTTCTTTTGTTTTAAATGCACTCGGCGCATGTAAAATGCGACGTTTGAAACGGGCCTAAATTCGTCGATAGGCCATGTACGTAAGTCAGACATCAATTGAAAAGAAATGGGTTTTGTCGCATCAAAAGGTCACCAGTCACCATCCTCTTCTCAGCAGAGAAATATGGTTCTTAACAAGAACGAGGTTTTGTCTAGTATATAGTCTAAAATCTATATGGAGAAAACAGAAAGCTTTATCGCCATACCATCTGGTTACAGCAAAAAGCAGCTTGTAGCAAACGCGTTTTTAAAAAGGCTAAAGGCTTTTTGAAGAAAAATATAGAGAATCTATACATATTTGTGAATGTTATTATCAATCTTATATGAAAGACGGAAGTGGCTGAAACAACTGAATTGATATCTCTTGTAGACCTAAAGTCTCTGTCTCTCTCTCTTGTAAACGTAAACAACAATATAGCCCTTTATGTTTGGTCTTTAGATAAGACTTATAATTTAGAACCAACGCTATAATGGTGGTATGACAATGTTTCTTGATTTTTTGTCTTGACAATGTATGTTTGGTTTTGAAAAATTGTCAGGAATCTAAGCATAAATGTGTTCGTACACGTTTCTTGTATCTAGAACGGGATAGAGCTTACTCAATATAGGAACTTGTTAAGTATGATTACGGAAATCGGACTACCTGCACGTATATTAAGGCTTGTGTGGGTGAGAAATGCGTCATTGGATTATGTCTCTGTTGCAACTCTGTTGTCACCTGCTTAAAAGGCACGCGTAAATAAGGGCCTCTACACGGCACTACACAGATTCAAAAGTATACGAATTTGCATACTCAAGGATACTAAAAATGCGTTGATTGATCCTTCTATAACCGAAATCCGTTGATTAACTAAATTATTATCGTAAACTGAATTATATATGGTAAACGAAGTTATATGTGGTAAATTACATGCCTGGATTATGCAATGCAGCAGTAAGCAGTTATAAGTAATTTAACCACCTACATCGGTCGTCCAAACGTCCTCACCTGTGTTGCACTAACATTTCAGTTCAAACCTAAGTTGACCCATACCCTTACACCCACATTTATCTCAACAAATGCAACGGTATGAACGGTTCTTTGTGTGCCTATAAAAATATTGCTACTGTACGACATCAGGTGTAGTCATGGTACTTTGTTTAGTTGAATGTGGGTTTACAAGTAAAAAAATATAATTCTACAGAAAGTTTTTCTTTGTTTTTAAGCAGCAAGGGTCATATAAAACTAAAGATCAGTGCTTAAAAGAAATATCGTGCCCTTAAAGAATATTTGACGCCTCGTGCAAGAATGAGCGGTGCCAAGTCATTTTGACTATTTCGCGTGGGGCTAGTTCGGACACAAGTGGGCTCTGATTATTAACAGCCTTTATATGAATGTGGAATCGATTAATTTTACTGCGTGTGCTGAAATAATGAAAAAACTTTGTATCGGGCATATGTGAAGGCTAATACATTTATTATACTTGAATATGTTGATCTGCATATGTTAATACCAACATTATTTTATTCACTCCTTAGACTTATGATTGGCTAAATGGAGTCACGTGCAGTTAAAATTATAAGAACACGGAAGAGGTTAGGATGTAAGTTGTTTAGGAATAAGGCAAGGAATATGACGAACGACGTTTCAACATCTTCAGCCAAAGCTGGCTTTTTGGTGAAACTACAAGATGCAATTGAAAAAGCCGTGACCCAAAAGATACAGGTTGATAGAAAGACTGTTGAAAAAGCATGGAAGTTAATGGAAAAGATCACAAAGTCGTGTCAGCATTCGCGAATGCATTTAAAAAACAGTCCTCCGTACATTTTGGATATTTTACCAGACATGTACAACAGTCTTCAAATTATATTGGGAAAATACGAGGATAGAATGCATGTACTTGCCGAAAATGAGTATTTTAAAATATTTCTTGATAACTTGATGAAAAAGTTGAAACAAACTATACGACTTTTCAAAGAGGGGAAGGAACAGTTGTATATAGAAGACTCGCGTTATCGCAGAGGTTTGACAAAGTTGAGTTTGATTTTCAACCACATGCACGCGGAATTAAAAGGAATATTTCCGAACGGTTGCTACATTGGAGATTCATTTCGAATTACGAAATCTGATGCTGGTGAATTCTGGCGAAATTCGTTTGGAACAAGGTATTAATGCTTTTCTTTTCTAATGGGTGCTTCCTTTTAAGAACACGCGTCAACTAGTCCTTGAAAAATCTAGATTTAAACCTTGGTAAACCTTGGTAAACTCTCTACATTTGACGATCTTATTGTTTTTTCTTCCTGTTTGAAAAAATAATATTGAATGTAGTAATTGGTAAACATTGGAAATGTAGACACCTGTTGTGCTACATTTTCAATTTTCAAGCAAATGGCAAATTTTAAGCAAATTTTAAGCCGCTTGTTCAGTGATTTAATGTTATTAATTTAAAATAACCAAAAAAAAAATCAATTTTAAAGTGCAACATTTGTTACTTTCAATCCAGATCTGATTGTCAACTTTTAAAGCATGTAATTTTTTACATACATCTCGCGTTTCACATTGTGATTAACATTGTTTAGCTTTTCGTTTTTATCAGCAGTAGAGTTATGTAAATCCCAGTTTAACTTTTCTGTCTTACTCTAATGGTTTTGTAATACATTGGCAACTGTATTCATCCATTGGTTGCAACACATGTGTGTAGGTAATGTGCAGTTGGAAGCCAAACAAAATGTAAATACTAATTAAGTCTTAACTAATTAAAATATATGGGAGTAAAGATATTTTAAATAACCATTTCAATTCTGTAATGAATTATTTTAATCAAGCTTGAGTTTTGTTAAATTTAAATATGTGTAGCATTGGTTGTGCTAGTAACACATGGACCTGCTTGAAAATAACACTTGAAAATAACATATGCTTGAAAATGCTGAAAAAAAGTTGAAACCATTAAAGATGGTTTCTTTCTAGGAACTCATACCAGTATTTAGTGAGCACCATCTTTCTGGTTCACAATATTGCTCACCCCAAATAAGCAGTTTTAGGCAAGTACAGTATGTATATGTTATTGACCAGCATGGAAGTCCAGATAGAAAAATATTTTCTTGAGGTCTCTTGAAGCTCAGCAGGCCGAAGAACGTTTTTTGAGACTGAGGGAAATATTTTCTATTTTGATCGACCTAAATGGTAAATAACATATCTATTTTTTTACTAAAGGCAACTGTCCTCTTAGATTTCTCAGTTAGATTCAGCAATGGCAGCCAAGTAGACAACAAAAATTTTGCTATTCATTTTACATGGGAAAACTCAAAGTTCACCTAAAATAGATAACTATAATCAAAAGTTGGCTGATGATGCCCTTTTTAAAACAAAGCAACTTGTTACTCAAGCATTTAGCTATAGGATTCCTTACCATTGTCAGACACATTAAAATTCTTGACTGTGATCAAATATTGTAAAATTCCAAACCACTGCTTGTCAAAGTGGTCTAACCTTTATTGTTTGACTCATTTGTTTGTAGGTCAATTGTACCGTGGAAGTTATTTCGATTGCACTTTCATGCTGTCCACGAAATTTCTACTGGGTTGGAAGCTATAGCTTTAAAATCAACCATTGACTTGACTTGTGATAATCATATTTCAATCTTTGAGTTTGATGTTTTTGTGAGATTATTTCAACCTTGGACAAGGATTCTAAGAAATTGGAATCTATTGGCTGTGACCCATCCTGGATATTGTGCATTCTTGACATACGATGAAGTTAAAGCGAGGCTTGAGAAGTTCATAGATTTACCAGGAAGGTAGCCATTAAATCAAAATATTATTACTAATAAATTATTTCCTTTCTGCCTTCAAACAAAAATATTAACATCTGTCACAACCAACAGTGTAAAATGATTTTTGATTTGCAAAAACAGGGTTTAGCCATTCCTCAGATTTTATTTGAATATTATTAACTATTTTTACTAGCAAAGTACAAAAGATATGTTATGCTCTGCAATCAATACTATGGCTGTTTTATTTTGTTTTCAGTTATTTATTTCGACTGAGTTGTACAAGATTGGGACAATGGGCGATCGGGTATGTTACTCCTGGAAAGAACATCCTTCAGACTATTCCACAAAATAAGTCATTGTTTCAAGCTCTAGTTGAAGGCTATAATGAGAAATTGTGAGTTGAATATTGTGCTTAGTTCAATTCATTTTCCTGTGAATTGTTAATTTTTATGCTAGAAGAAATTACATTTGGTAATTTAAACTTTCCTGTTCAGTTTGTTTTGTACACTGAAGAGTGCAACAAATAGTAATATCCATGTGTCTGTAAATAAGTAGAATGATGGTTGAAAAGTCTTTATGAACCAGTTACTTTTGAAACTGCCCTCACAAGTAGACAGGCAATGAAAACAATTGCAAATTTTTGATGTAAATGGTTGCATCTCTTCTCTATTCCCACTGTAATACCTTTCAATCTTTAGTTGATTTCAACAAAAATAGCTGCCAGTTTCATGACATTCTCAATATTAGATAGAAATAGTTTTGGTTTTCTGTCTTCATTGTGTGGAGCCATAATTTTGTTATCAATGTTTCCTGAAGTATACTATGTCTATTTCTGTTAGTACAACAGCATTGGAGTAAGAAACACATATGGTGGGAATTAAACTAATGCACCTACACTTTTAATGAAACAGCTATCTTGAACTTTTTATAGCTATTTATATCCAAATGGCCATCGTAACAACCCAGATCTTAGTCAAGACATTGTTCAAAAGTCGAATGATCACATTAAAGTTACTGAAGAACAGTATGAATTGTACTGTGAAATTGGCACAACCTTTGAACTGTGCAAGATATGTGCTGAGAATGATAAAGACATCAGGATTGAACCCTGTGGTCATTTAGTTTGTTACAGCTGCCTAGAACACTGGCAAGATTTTGGTGGTGATGGTTGTCCCTTTTGCAGGCAAGAGATCAAAGATATTGAAAGAGTTACCGTTGATCCGTTCGTGCCTCTTACTAAATCTGAAGAAGATCTAACGAAATCCAATTCTCTTGACTTCGATTCGGAGAAAGACGAAGTTCTCGAGGTGAGTTTGATCTAAAAGTATGTCTTCCTGTTTTGAGGTTTAATGCTCCATTTAGTTCTACGTTTCATAACAAAATTCATAAACGATTGGTAATTTTTCCTTTATAACCGTTGTTCTCTGTATTCTTTTTTGCTATACGTAACTATTGATTTTTTATTTTTACAGGACATTCACAATTGGATTCCAATGGTTGGAAACGAAAGAAAAGAACGACTTCGTGTAAACATTCCTTCTGCAAATTCACGTATGCCCAGAGGTGATGAGCATGACGATGATAGTACGCCACCACCTTTACCTGCTCGTAAAAATCATTCCCATCTTTGTGGTCACCTTCAATCCCCCACTTCACCTGTTCTTTTTCCGCGATCTCCACGTACATCTCCAAGACCGTCGCCAAGATCGTCACCTTTGGTGTCGCCTAATTTATCCCCAGAAAATTCTCCTCATCCATCTCCCCGTCTTCCCAGGCATCGACACTATCCCGTCGATATTTTGCCAGAAAATGATGATTTGCCTCCAAAACTGCCCGCCAGATGTAAGAACAGGCAGCGCTATGACAACCACCTTGGTGGAACTATTAATGGTTCAGTCCAACCAGTTGACCATGGGGATACTCATTCTTATTATACTTCGTCTCATGCAAGTCATTTGAGTAACAAACGGTTCGCAGGAAATGAAAATTCTTCAAGGACCAGGAATTATGCTGAACTTGCATTCCCTAAGCAAGAAAAGGACACCGAAGTGACTAAAAAACATACTCCAGTCGGTCCTCGACTCAGTTTAAATGATAAGGAAATCACAAGTTATGATGAAACAACAAATGAGCCAACATTTGATGACAACAGTGAGGCATTTGATAGCTTTGTCGTTCGTGAAGACCCCTTTGACGGTGCTAATCCATTCCAAGATGAAAAATTATCCTTACCGTCTACGAAAATAAATGCAGCATGGGGAAAAGAAGCGAGTTACAGCTTACCGCTGAGGGGTAGACATGCATCGAGGTCAGTTGAAGACCTGACAAGTGAAAGCACGCGTAATAATCACGATTACAGAAACGGTAGCCCGCCTTCTTTTGGCAACTTTGCAATGGGTAATGGTCTGCCAAGATGTTTCAGCAATCCTACTTATGTTAGTAATGAAGCTTTTATTGGCTCAGCCAACGATGACCACACGATGTTCACAAATATTTCTCCGCGACTTAACCGAAACGATTCGCAGAAATCCATTCAGTTCAATGAAGAAGATTTTCAAATTTTGATGAATCAGGGATATACACGTGACGAAATTAAAAAGGCTTTGATAACAGCAGATAATAATTTTGCTATGGCTCGAAAAATATTGCGAACCTATAATGGCAACAGGCAACATGAAGAGGAGTAAGAGATGTTGCAAATAAACAAATTTAGAACGTCGTACTATTCACAAGTTCAGCACTAAGAGTTTTATTGGCTTTGGCTTTTCAGTTCAATGGAGAGCAGACTTTTCTAAGCTAAAAATTGTGTAAACGCCAAGTATGTACATAATTATAAATTTAGACTATTTTAGTGACCTTTCAATTAAGGCAACTCGTTTCCAAAAAGTCTGCTGGACATCAGGCATTAATTGGTTGAAAGTAGTCCCTTCCATTTTTTAACAATCTTTAATAACACAGTAGACATATGACGTAAAAATTTTCATGTCAAAATCAAAATATTGAATCCTATGTACAAGAAAATCGTTGGAAATATTTGGTAGTTTTCATGTAGTTGAGAAATTAATTTGTTGAGAAAAATTAAAAAAATGTTTTGAGAAAACTTCATAGGTATTTTTACGTTAGTACGCCAAAGATAAGCTTATCGGTTGGGAAGATCATGCTATTTAAAACTGTACGATGGTGGTGAAGCCTGGCATAATTGCGTCTGCCCCAAACCATTAATGATGACGCATGTAAGCATGTGATTGTACTGCTGAAGGGAACATAAAGTTTAACCCATATAGTTCTATTTCAACACACTGGATAACTGCCACCAACAAATTGAGCTTTGAACAAAGCTTCAAGTATAAAATTAAATGCACAGTTGTCGGCTCAATGATTAGAATAACCTGGGACCTTGGAGAACAGTTAAACATACCAATGTGCTTAAAATAGTTACTGAAGAAAAACTCAAAGATTGCTAATAAAGTTGGATGCGAAGAGTGGTGTATTAGGGCATTCTAATGGAACTTTAGCTACACTTAATATTTCTAATTGTGTTTACAAAGTCATCCCTCCCCCAGCCCAGGTTAAAGGAAATCAAAGAAGAAACTCAAATATGGAACACACATGTATTCAACAAGTTTATTTTTCTTAAATATTTCAAACTTATTTAAGTTTCTTCTTGGGACGCAAATCATTGCAATGACCACATTTCTTCTTGCGACAGTTAGTAGCTCTGGGATGAAGTCGAGCATAACACCTAATGTAAAATGTTTGTTCATTCTCTAGTAAATGCATAATACTGTGATACTATAGATGAAATTCAAACACAAGAAAAACAACTAAACTTTAAATAACCAACATGAAAAGTTGTAAATAATAAATGATGAGGAATGCAGCATAAACTAACCAAATGCAATACTACATGATGAAATGCAAATGTAATACAATATTTTATCTCCAATTCTAATAGACTTATAAGATGAGCTACTACTAAAGTTATCATTGTGGATTAAAAATTTAAATCATTGTCCCCAATTTTATTTATAAATCTTGACATGTCATAATTACTATTCAAAAGCAACACTATTGTGTCTTCTAAGCAATCATCACATTTAAGTTTAACACATACTAAAACAAATGTTCTGCTGACTTTCTTACAAAATGAGATTGGCATTATCAGGTATTTAACATTTCTAACACACCTTGTTTGTTTTTCTAACATTGCTATTGACTAAAAATATCAACAATTATGAATAAACGTTGTTCGAATAGACTTGTTCAAAAAATACAATGATATTAATTTTTACTCAGACTAAAATGTCATGTTACGGACCAACCATTATGCAAGTTTTGGGACATCTACATCACATTATTGTACAAAAGGTATGCAAGTTATCTTATACCTAATTTGTACTTACTTTCGACAAATCATCTTGTCACAATTGTATTTTTGAGCCAAAATACGAAGACTGGGCTCTATCACTCCACCACGAAGCCTCAAAACAAGATGAAGTGTTGATTCTATACAACAAATACTAACATAAATTCGACTTCAGGCTTGAACACAGCATGCAGATTAAACAAATAGTAACGACCTTTCTGAATATTGTAATCAGAGAGAGTCCTTCCATCTTCTAATTGTTTTCCAGCAAAAATCAAACGCTGCTGATCAGGGGGTATACCTGAAACAAAATGCACATTTTAAACCATGAAATTCAAACTATACTTGTCACTTGTCTGGACAAGATCACCAATGGAGCGGAGTAGCAACATATTTCATGCGGTTACAAAGATCAGAAATTCCATTCCATTCAGAGGAGGAATTTAAAGTAAAAAAAATATCAAATGAGATAAAACATTGATCAAAGAAGTGTAAACTAAATGAACAAGTCATTGCTGTTTTGACAAGCTATTCAGATGAAACAATAATACATTTTATGATACATTTATATGATTGCTAATTGCATTAGTAATAAAATAAATTTATTATATGGCAAACATCACTTTTGGTTAAGTTACGTACGTTCTTTAATTGGCTCAAAAATAATTTTGCCAACAATACAAGGCAGTAGAGACTTTGCACTTGGTAAGTAAGGGCTTAAGGGCTTAATAAATACATAATAATTAAATATAATTACAGTTTTAGTACAATCATTTCAATGTTCCTGAAGATGATCTCAATACAAAAAACTGTGCAAAAAACAGTAGCGGGTACTTTTTTCCAAGTCATAAAATTACTCAAAACAAAAAATAAAATCAAGAAATGATTACAAATATTAGTATTTAGCATGCTAAAATTGCTAAATTAAAATTGACAAAACCTTTTCAATCTTAACATCTACCTTCTTTATCTTGAATTTTTGTTTTTACATTTTCAATTGTATCACTAGGTTCAACCTCCAAAGTAATGGTCTTCCCTGTCAATGTTTTCACAAAAATCTGCATGATGACCTACAACATGAACACAAAATTCTGTGGAAGCAAGTAATAATTTTTTTATGGCATTCTTATTATCCATTAAAACATTTCTTACAGATGGCTAAAAGACTACAAATGTCTCAAGATCATGTTTGGATAGGGCATTTTTGCTTGACGCGATTAAACAGAATAGGATTTATGCGAGCTGAATATAGCATCTTTTTGGCAACTTGTTTACGTTCTTTGATTGAACACATTCAGTATTTCAAATTAGCGAAATAAACTTATGAAAATTTCACTTTATGAAACAGGGACATGAACACTGTCACATTTCAATAGTAATCACTCATGATCTTTAACATTATCATAGCAACAAAAACTAAGACTAAAAGCTGTCTTCAATATTTTAATAGCTAATGGTATTCATTTGCTATCAAGTGGAAAACTTACCTATTTCAAAGAGAACAGATCCACAGAGAAACAAAGTAGAAGAGAGTAAAAAAGGAAAGAACATGTGTTGTAAGGGGGTCACTCAAAGGTTTCTCACGGAGTTCTGACCAGTTCTGACTGATACAAAAATAATGTAACTGGAGCACGAGCTTGGAAACTAGTCAAACTTGTCTGATGACAATCGTTTATGAATTACTCAGAAGATCAGAAGAAGCTCTTATTGGCTGATTATCAATAATTAAATCGCTTTGATCTAAAATAAATGTGCAATAATAATTCAGAGAGATCCTCCCATAATTTAACAAAGCCAAAATACTGCTATGGATCTGCCCTTCCTCTCACGAAAATACATTTTGAGAAGAAATTTTCAAAAGTTTTTTATTTGTATTTTCAAGCACTTTAGTCAAAAGAAATGGTGACAGCAAACTCTACCAAACAAATTCAGTGATAAACTAATGTTTCACAGTAATTTTCAGTTTTGTTGCATTCATTCAAGTAGCCATATCTTGGCCTTGGGTTTTTACGAAAAGTTGTTTGTTTTTTTTTTTGACTCTGAAGATGACTACCGCTAAGGTTGTCGAAACGTCAGTCGACAACAACAAAAACAGTCCTTCTCAGGACTATACCAACGTGGACGATCTACATTTACACACATGTAACAATACTCCTGGTTCAAACCATTTACTTTAAAGACAGGGTCAGTTTAAATAAATCCCCACATGTCTGGATAAAAAAGTCTGCACACGTTGATACTGTAAGATTATTTTTCACTTTTTACTGATCTTGAAAAAACCTATTCCAAATCTAATTAGTTTTATACCATTATAAGTTCATACTTATATGTCTATATTTAATTACAGGAAAAAATTCATTTAAATGCGTCAGAGAAAATACTAAAAATTTGCATTAAAATTGGTATATCAAAAAGTAATACAGAACAACCAGAACAAAAACGAATGTCAACATTTTAAAAATAAGCAGAACTGACTTTTTAACAGCCATACTGGTTTTCCAAGCAAAATTTATTATTATGTGAATAAATAGTTGTGCAGTGATTTCTAAAATACAGTGCATCTTCAAGCACGCTCACGCTTTAACTTGTGCTTACGTAAAAACAAGAACAGCCGACTTTGAGATTAATGCTTAGATCGACAGGGCTGGAACCAGGAAAAAACTTTATCACTTTTATTGTAGCATGAACATTTAAACAATCACCAGGAATGTTTTGTGAACAGCTTACATGACCTCTGGCATTAAGGGAATTGCTTGTCGCACATTTGACTTGATTGAGCTGTGATGGATAGTACTGGCAATTTGAACAAGGGTTGGGATCTAGGCTGCTCGTTGAAACTATGCTTTTTTCTGTATCGCAAAGACTGATATACTGAGGTTGTCGCTTTTCCTTTATTCTTGACATCCTGTCTTCGTAATATCTTGAAACATACAAAAAACTTTGTAAAATACTATATTTACATATCACAAAGCTTTTCATTGTGTAAAATAATCAATCTTACTTCAAAAGCTTCTTTGCACCAATTCTTCCTTTTGTTGCAAATGTCAAGTTTATGTAGAGTATAAATGCCAACACGATGGTGAATGCAGTGTTCATGGAAAGAATCTTGAGTTAGGATCAAATGAAGTGGATTAAATGTGGCAAAAAAAGATAAATTGTGCGAAGCGAGTGACTTGTATATATATATACAAGCCAAGTGTTAATGTACTGCAGTTAAGAAAAGGGAGGTTGAACCATGCGAAACAGAAAATACACCCACATTATTTAAAACAATATCAAACAGATGCATAACTTTGCTAACAAATAAGGAATTTAAGATTATATAATGAACGAAATGGTTACATTTTAAACATTTTACGTATTTATAAATACAAAATACCCAGGAAAATGTGCTAAATGCAACATGTAATGGTAATTTAAAAGAAATGATTAAAACTATGACTGTTTGTCTTGTCTACAAGGGCCGCGTCCGCCCATGTAAATTTTTGAAATATCCGAATTCCAACCCGGAGTAAACCGGCACTCGAAACCTTTCCCACACCTACCAAGTTATTATCATAAACTAATGTAACCGTCGAAAATCTTTCTTATCATAAACGTACCAATTTATCAGACAAATACATTTAACACTCATTATACATACACATATAAATAGGCTGTTATCTTAGCTTGATATGTATAAACGTAATATTGTAAAGTTTTTCTTGTCTACTCAATAACATAATTTCCAAATATATTTTATCTATTTTTGGAATTCAAAGACATCTTACACATTAGCATCTGAACTGCACGTATATATTGTCTTTTAAACACATTTTGGCACCCGATATACAAATAATATATAGCAATCTTTATTTTAACTGGTGTCGTTTACTCGAATTCTCTTGAATGACCAAGCTTAACCCCGCGTCAGACACAACTTCCTATAATGACTTATGTCGTTACTCTCGATTTATACCACTTATAGACTTGAACTCACACTGATTGACATAATTTATGACTTAGTTGTTTTGATTTGTTGGCCATTGTATTTACACTTACAATTCTAACTCAATGTATAACACTCCTTGATTTTATACAACATTCATTTTTTTCTGGTGATAAGTGTAATGATATAATTTTAATATACCCCCAATTACTCTCATTAATCGAAACTTTGATTTTGTGTTTCTTAGCTACTGTCAAAGTTTTGACGACTTAATTTTTAAGAAGTAACCATGATGCATAACATGTCAATTACTCTACATGGGGGAATTGTTCGCGGAAAAAATTTTCCTTGGATTAAACTTGATAGCCTTTATTTTCTTTCCTTTTTCATTGATTTCATGTACGCATTCATATTTTTTCACTCTTTTTTCCTAACTGAACCCGTTGTTGCTAGTTACAACAAATACGTATCAATTTTAAAAGTAATGGTTACAGACATGCACATACGACATGGCAAGCTTTATGTTTGATCTTGATATTGCCATTAATGAATGTAATCATGAGATGGTTCCACAGGAAATATTATAATGTACAAATATGTCTCTAACGGTATCGAGCCTTGATAAACAATAAGATTGTCCATAGTTTTAAAGGAATGATAACTATGAGTTTAGTTGCAACTAACCATCATTTATAAATCGTATTCACAGATTCAACGAATTCATGCTTTAAAAACATTAATCGTGCGGTTGGTTTTCTTTACGTGTATCAATATGTAGATAATAAACTTGAAAAGTAGAAAAACGTGACGACATTTTTGGAAGTCGTGGGGCATAATGATACAAACGTTTAATGTAGCTATCTTACCTTGGACATCTTGACGATGACAATAAGTTCTCCGGCGATATTATCTTCAGAATTAACTTCACAAAGAGCAAGAGAACTATCGCTGAGGCGACCGGAAAAACTATTTTGACCTAGCAAGTTTTATCTAGTCAGTTTTGATACAGAGAGCTTAAAAAGATCTTTGTTCAATGGCTAAATTTTACAGATGAACTCATGCACTAAATTCAAATTTTGCTTTACGTTAATTAGTGCGTAAGCTGCAGTATGTCATGCGAAACGCGTCATGCTAACGATGACTTTTTGATGCAAGAAAAAAATATATGTCTCTCTAAATACACAGATTTCAATGTTGTTTAAAACATTTAGTTGTAAATTGCAAATAAACGCTACTTTTGCAGATGTGTATGCAATTCACGGCGAATTAAGTAGAGCTTTTAAAAGGGGAGTTAATTACTTTCAAAAATAAATCTGCGTCATGAAGGATGCTTTCAGATAGTTAAGTATAAATTTATTCACCTGGTTTTCTTCTTAACAGACGTTTTACGGATTGCCAATCATACGTTGTGAATGTTTGCTCAGTTCTTATGTCCAGTATATCTGTAGTATATCTAGAAGGGCTTTCATGCTGAACTGAAATAAAACATGACGGACAACAAACAGCTTTGAAAACAACACGTTATCGGCTTTATAATTTAAACACTATGAAAAATGTTTTATTGAGTTTACCTGGCTTGGCTAGCCAATTTTTTAGTGTTCAAAACAGGTTCCAAAGACGGGCAACCAGAACAATTTAACAAATTCATTTTCAAGATAATTTTCAAGCAAACCTCACAAATATTCCTTAACTATGCAAAACGTTGCCTTAAAATAATCTTTGCTGAAAGTTTTGTATCAAAATGAAGTTTTGTTTTTTTGCCCTATGTTGACGTAAACTATTTGCCATTGAATAAAATTTGCTTTGAAATTTTCAAGTGTTGGAACTGAATGACACTGAATGATAATAATTGGTTTGGAATGTATGTTTCAAGCAATTTTGTTCCATATAAATGTGTGCATTTTAAAAGAAAGTGATCTCAAAAAGGGCATTGTGTGACTTTTTGCATTGAATGGAGGTCAAGCTGAGATAGAAATGTGTTGCGAGATGTGAGATACGTAATACATGGAAATCTCTGTCAAGTCTTCAGGAAAAGCTCAAACAAAAAGAAATTTTTGCCGAACAAGCATCCCACTTCTTGAAAGTGATATACGCCTCCTCTCCAGATAATCTTTTTCGAAACTCGCAACCCACCAACGCAATTTAAAAACGTAATCCTTATTGTTGTCACGTAGATAAATTGATAATTGTGGTTAGCAACATCTGAGACAACATAAAACTCTACCAAGACAACCAAATGTATCGGTGCATTGGACTTAATTTATAAATTTCAAACATTTATCGCGGTTGAATTAGAGAGTACATAACAAAGTAATAAAGACAGGGTCACATGTTTGTAAATGTAGATCGTCCAGGTTGGTATAGTCCTGAGAAGGACTGTTTTTGTTGTTGTCGACTGACGTTTCGACAACCTTAGCGGTAGTCATCTTCAGAGTCAAAAGTTTTTGGTTTTTTTTTTACTTTAAACCATTTACTTTAAAGACAGGGTCAGTTTAAATAAATCCCCACATGTCTGGATAAAAAAGTCTGCACACGTTGATACTGTAAGATTATTTTTCACTTTTTACTGATCTTGAAAAAACCTATTCCAAATCTAATTAGTTTTATACCATTATAAGTTCATACTTATATGTCTATATTTAATTACAGGAAAAAATTTATTTAAATGCGTCAGAGAAAATACTAAAAATTTGCATTAAAATTGGTATATCAAAAAGTAATACAGAACAACCAGAACAAAAACGAATGTCAACATTTTAAAAATAAGCAGAACTGACTTTTTAACAGCCATACTGGTTTTCCAAGCAAAATTTATTATTATGTGAATAAATAGTTGTGCAGTGATTTCTAAAATACAGTGCATCTCCAAGCACGATCACGCTTTAATCTATGTTTAAGTAAAAACAACAACAGCCGACTTTGAGATTAATGCTTAGATCGACACGGATGGGACCAGGAAAAACCTTTGTCACTTTCATTGTAGCAGTAACATTTAAACAATCACCAGGAATGTTTTGTGAACAGCTTACACGATCTCTGGCATTAAGGGATTTGCTTGTCGCACATTTGACTTGATTGAGCTGTGATGGATAGTACGCGCAATTTGAACAAGGGTTGGGATCTAGGCTGCTCGTTAAAACAGTGTTTTTTTCTGTATCGCAAAGACTGATATACTGAGGTTGTCGCTTTTGCTTTATTCTTGACATCCTGTCTTCGTAATATCTTGAAACATACAAAAAACTTTGTAAAATACTATATTTACATATCACAAAGCTTTTCATTGTGTAAAATAATCAATCTTACTTCAAAAGCTTCTTTGCACCAATTCTTCCTTTTGTTGCAAATGTCAAGTTTATGTAGAGTATAAATGCCAACACGATGGTGAATGCAGTGTTCATGGAAAGAATCTTGAGTTAGGATCAAATGAAGTGGATTAAATGTGGCAAAAAAAGATAAATTGTGCGAAGCGAGTGACTTGTATATATATATACAAGCCAAGTGTTAATGTACTGCAGTTAAGAAAAGGGAGGTTGAACCATGCGAAACAGAAAATACACCCACATTATTTAAAACAATATCAAACAGATGCATCACTTTGCTAACAAATAAGGAATTTAAGATTATATAATGAACGAAATGCTTACATTTTAAACATTTTACATATTTATAAATACAAAATACCCAGGAAAATGTGCAAAATGCAACATGTAATGGTAATTTAAAAGAAATGATTAAAATTATGACTGTTTGTCTTGTCTACAAGGGCCGCGCCCGCCCATGTAAATTTTTGAAATATCCGAATTCCCACCCGGAGTAAACCGGCACTCGAAACCTTTCCCACACCTACCAAGTTATTATCATAAACTAATGTAACCGTCGAAAATCTTTCTTATCATAAACGTACCAATTTATCAGACAAATACATTTAACACTCATTATACATACACATATAAATAGGCTGTTGTCTTAGCTTGATATGTATAGACGTAATATTGTAAAGTTTTTCTTGTCTACTCAATAACATAATTTCCAAATATATTTTATCTATTTTTGGAATTCAAAGACATCTTACACATTAGCATCTGAACTGCACGTATATATTGTCTTTTAAACACATTTTGGCACCCGATATACAAATAATATATAGCAATCTTTATTTTAACTGGTGTCGTTTACTCGAATTCTCTTGAATGACCAAGCTTAACCCCGCGTCAGACACAACTTCCTATAATGACTTATGTCGTTACTCTCGATTTATACCACTTATAGACTTGAACTCACACTGATTGACATAATTTATGACTTAGTTGTTTTGATTTGTTGGCCATTGTATTTACACTTACGATTCTAACTCAATGTATAACACTCCTTGATTTTATACAACATTCATTTTTTTCTGGTGATAAGTGTAATGATATAATTTTAATACACCCCCAATTACTCTCATTAATCGAAACTTTGATTTTGTGTTTCTTAGCTACTGTCAAAGTTTTGACGACTTAATTTTTAAGAAGTAACCATGATGCATAACATGTCAATTACTCTACATGGGGGAATTGTTCGCGGAAAAAATTTTCCTTAGATTAAACTTGATAGCCTTTATTTTCTTTCCTTTTTCATTGATTTCATGTACGCATTCATATTTTTTCACTCTTTTTTCCTAACTGAACCCGTTGTTGCTAGTTACAGCAAATACGTATCAATTTAAAAGTAATGGTTACAGACATGCACATACGACATGGCTAGCTTTATGTTTGATCTTGATATTGCCATTAATGAATGTAATAATAATGAACTCCGTCGATTTCGACATATGAGGGTTCCACGAAGTGGAACATCCTGGTTACTTAAATTATAGTGAAGGCAGCTGACCAGACTACAATCACTCGTACCTTTCACGCAACTACAACGCTGATATCAGCGTGACACATTTGTGACAAGGCTGCAACATTGCAGATGCAGATACAGTCCATCCGAGGACATATATTCCTCTACCAAATTTCCCTCACATGGCTTTGGTCAACCGGGCTAGGTTTACAGACACATTGCCAAATGTGCCACGAGCCGGGATTGAACCCGCGCCGTCTGGCTTGCAACTCACGCAATTAACCATTCAGCCAATCATACGTTGTGAATGTTTGCTCAGTTCTTATGTCCAGTATATCTGTAGTATATCTAGAAGGGCTTTCATGCTGAACTGAAATAAAACATGACGGACAACAAACAGCTTTGAAAACAACACGTTATCGGCTTTATAATTTAAACACTATGAAAAATGTTTTATTGAGTTTACCTGGCTTGGCTAGTCAATTTTTTAGTGTTCAAAACAGGTTCCAAAGACGGGCAACCAGAACAATTTAACAAATTCATTTTCAAGATAATTTTCAAGCAAACCTCACAAATATTCCTTAACTATGCAAAACGTTGCCTTATAATAATCTTTGCTGAAAGTTTTGTATCAAAATGAAGTTTTGTTTTTTTGCCCTATGTTGACGTAAACTATTTGCCATTGAATAAAATTTGCTTTGAAATTTTCAAGTGTTGGAACTGAATGACACTGAATGATAATCATTGGTTTAGAATGTATGTTTCAAGCAATTTTGTTCCATATAAATGTGTGCATTTTAAAAGAAAGTGATCTCAAAAAGGGCATTGTGTGACTTTTTGCATTGAATAGAAGTCAAGCTGAGATAGAAATGTGTTGCGAGATGTGAGATACGTAATACATGGAAATCTCTATTAAGTCTTCAGGGAAAGCTCAAACAAAAAGAAATTTTTGCCGAACAAGCATCCAACTTCTTGAAAGTGATATACGCTTCTCCAGATAATCTTTTTCGAAACTCGCAACCCACCAACGCAATTTAAAAACGTAATCCTTATTGTTGTCACGTAGATAAATTGATAATTGTGGTTAGCAACATCTGAGACAACATAAAACTCTACTAAGACAACCAAATGTATCGGTGCATTGGACTTAATTTATAAATTTCAAACATTTATCGCTAAGTATGGTCAAATGACATGTCTTGAGCCGTCTATGATTCAATCAACCATTAAATTATTGAGATTCCGAATGTTATTCATCCATGTACGCTCACAAAGTGAGTGTGTTTGTGTGTAATAATTTTTTTTGTATCTTAGTTTCTTTGGCCATTTCTCCATTTTTGTGTTATTTAATATGACATTATTGTCGTAGTATACATTTTCTGTCGACGATGTGAACGAACAATGTAAGTTTACAGTCAACTTAAAAACATTAAATAATGGGTGAAATATTTGTCACCGTTCGCAGTTCGCACAATTAGAAATGTGGCACTTCATCATCTCGAGGATTTATTTCAAGGTATATGTTTATTCGCTTATAAATACAAAGAAGTTTTTAGCTCTGCCAATTTTCATTGTCTGTAAAATCCTGGAACTTATCAAAAATGAGTTTTGATCAGTTAAATGTTGACAAGTATCTTTCACAACTTGTGTACGTTTTACACTGCATAACATAAAAATTTTACTATATTTAACCTAATAAATGCTTCGCAAAAATGTCTCTTTGCAGAAGTATTTATAAGCATAACACGCGAAAGATGTAGGACCGTTCATTACCTCATTTATCATTATTTTACTGCTGATGTAGAAATTACAGCTCATTTAACTTTTGTTTGGTCATGATGAAGGTCTTTGTGCATGGGAGTTTCAAACATCTTAAAAGCGTTGTCATATGTCCGTCCAGTCCTGGTATTGTGGTTGCTCGAAGCACATAGTGCTGAAGCAACGTTGGCATTTTTGAAGGATCGTTGTCACTGCATTAGTTTCTATTGGTGCAAAACGTGGTTCATTGAGGGCAAAAGATCTTCGAAGCCCGTTCTTAGTATATGATACTTATTCAGTTTAGTCGATTAGGCTGTCTAATGCAGCATTGTAAACATCCCTTCTGCATTATATATACGTGCTGAATCTATATTATATATTTATCTTATAATATATAAATGCTGATCTTTCTCTTCTTAACCTCAATCTGCTACCGATGGTGTGAAGGAGAAAAATTTGCCTTAAGTGCACGGTCAAATTTTTTGCCCTTTGTTGTTTAATGCAGAAGACATAAATTTTAGGAGAAACAACTCACATATACGACATGGTAATGCGCATTGTGCCTCGGGATATGTTTGATTGTGATATTTCCCCTAACGAATAAAATTATCCGATAATTCCACAGGAAAATATTTAGAGATACCATGTATAAATAAAGCGTATTTAACTGTTTCTTGATAAACAATAAGGTTGTCCATAGTTTTAAAGGAATTATAACATGAATTTACAGCAACTAACTACACTGTTTATACATCGTTATTCATTGCTTCGACGGTTCATGCTTTAAAAATATTAATCGTACAGTACGTGTTTTTTACATATAACAATAATGGACTTGAAAAGTTGAACTAATTTTTTCATAGCATGCCTGCATATATATATATATAGTGGGATTTTGTGGTAGAAACTATCGCAAACAAAATCGCACGGATAGAGTGCTCAATACCACGGCGGAGCGGTATAATTGAAAATAAAATAAACCACGAATTACTTCATCGAAATTTATTCATCGGGAATAAATTTCGATGAAGTAATTCGTGGTTTATTTTATTTTCAATTATATGTATATATGTATACTGACAATGTAACGTGACGACAATTTTTCATGGAATTTGTGGGCAAATTTCAATTTGGTGTATCTTACCTTTGACGTAATGATGACAACAACTGAATAACTTCTCTAACAATAATATGATTGTTATCTTTAAAATAAACTGTACGTGCAAAGCTGGAACATGAGAACTATCGTTGAGGCGACCGGAAAAACTGTTGTGTTCTGGTACGTTTGTATGTAGTCAGTTTTCATACAGAATCGATATTGAAAAAGACTCTTTGTTCAAATGCCTAAATTTTACAAACAAATGAACTCGTGCTCAAAATTTAAATTTTTTCCACGTTATTTAGTGCGTAAGCGATATCATGATATCACTATGTAAAACGTTTTACGGTAATGCGGTCAAACGTTCACTGATAAAAAATATTTTTTTCAACAAGTACCAGTTTTCAGCTGTTTATCTAAAGCCTTCGACGGGTTCTCTTTTATAACCCGTTCGTCGAGGGCTGTAGACATACAGCCAAAAGCTTGTTGTATAAAACATTTTTTATATTAGTGAACGTTTGACCGCATTATGTATATAATCCTGATATCGGATCACGAATTTTTTCTACGGTTTACGGTGTTTGTGATGTATTTAATGCGAAAAAGAGAAAACTTGCCATGATGTTATCTAAATGTAAGATAATGTCGGTGTTACAGCTGGTAGCTAATGTATTTCAATAACTTCAATGGTTTTACAGGTCTTGTTAAACAATAATTAAATGAGATTACAAAAAACTTTATTAATTATCAACAATAAATTTACATGAACGAATGCAGTAATATTTTTGTTCATCTATTGCCAATGTCACCCACGGCTTGCTTTTTAGGAGAAAGTATTTGTCGGCGAAATGCAGGAGGAAACGTTACTGAGCATTCAAAAACGTTTTAAAATTCATCGGTGTGATGTGAACATGTGCAAGTTCTTCCAAATGTCGAGGGTTGAAGGAGAGGGGTAATATATTGTAGACATTGTTATTATTTGCACTAAAAACAAAGAAGACTTTGTTATCAGAGAAAAGGACGAGTGACAGGTGGTAGAGAACGGAAAACAATTTTCAACAGGTTTGCAAGATCAGCGAGTATAATCATTTGAGTATGCACCGATGAACATTGTAACAAACACTTTCCTTAATTTCTAAACCAAACTTTGTTTGTATTTAAGACAGGTACACTTTTACCTATCGAAGATATATGTTAATTTTGGAGACAATGACAAAAAACCTTTAAAAACTCTAGCACGTTTAAAAAATATCCAATTCTTATCAGTTGTATATTGGCTTTTTAAGGATAATCAAAACGCATCCTTTATCACCTTACATCAAAGAACCGACAAGCATCATATATTGCTTTTAGAAGAAAAGCGACGTTTGTGCTTTCTAGAAAACAGTCAAAAACATCAGAACATATGAAACACTCTCAGAAGTCATATCCTTGTTTGAAAAGCGACAGAACGTCTTATCTATTTTTTTTAGCTTTTAAAAGAGACAATTTTGCTAAAATCGATCTGCATAGTAAAGCATAGAATAACAATGCGAAGTGTAATGTTGTCCTACTTTTACATACACGTGCACGTACACCCTCCCGTCGGTCAATCTCGAAAAAGGTGGATTACTATTTTAATTATGCCCAGTTAAGCTTGTCTTTTGGGAAACTAAAGATACCCATGAAAACTCAAATTTAACTGGACAAGCTACGAAGAGCGAAACATCAAACATGTAACCACTGATAAAGTGTTGCCCATGCTGGAAGGACCGAGAAAAATTGATTATTGGCGATGATTCTTTATTCATTGCAGTTATTCCCAAAAAGCAATTGCGTGGTTTGTCGTTTTATTTACACTACATTATGGCTTTATGAGCTCATTGAGCTGTGCACCATATCACTTAATCATTGCTGCCGTCAAGGTTTTTCGGATGTAGAAAAATCCTCTGAAATTCCTCTTAAATGTATATTTTGTACACATTTACTTTTTATTGTAGGAATAAAGATTATATTTTTGAAAATGTTGTTAGTAAAATTTATCGAACCAGATGTGTAGCCCCGAAGGCCGGATGTATAAAAAGGGGGAAGCAAGTAATTTAGGACGTGTCTAAAAAATTTTTATGTAGATTTAGACAAAATAACAACTTAAATGCAATGGGTTATGGGTTATTAATGGTTCCTCTCAGCTGTGATGTAGACTGCACATGAAGATATAATACAACGCAGGTTGACAGTCACAGCACACTTAATTGTTATTAGATCAACTTTGCCCTTTATCAGCAAACGTCAGCAAACCATCACGCTAAATTGAGAAATTCTCCCCCCCCCCTGGCCTTCTTAAAGTCAATTTGCTTGTTGCCAAACATGTGCCAAACCCAGTCAAACCCCCACCTGACCCCTGACCTTCTTCATCGCAAATTTCAATATGGCGATACAAAGTGTGTTCGTTCTAAACAAAGCTGGGGCTTAGTTTACCATACCGACTGCAATAAATTGAAAACTGACGTTGAAAAAACGTTTAGTTATCCATTAGATATAGTTTTGAAAGAAGATGACAAACTTACCGTTGTATTTGGTGAAAGAGACGGGATAAAAGGTAGTGATATTGATGAGATAACATTTAAGAATATATTTTTCTCTTTCTGTTTTATCATGATGAAAGCTATTAATTTACGTATTATTAGCTGGGCTTTGATTTCTTTAATAAGATAATGTTTAACTGTGGACAAGTGTATTCAAGAATCTGCCTTACAGGGAATTGACTCAGATGAGTGACAAACATTTACATAGAAATCCCACATTCTTGTTATTGACTTATTGCATTATTTAATTTGATTACATACGAAAAACTCACAACAATGACTACGAATTCCTTACCATTATTGATATTTTGATTATTTTCTAGTTGGTTTTAGTTTACTGGCAATAAATGGTGAGGAGGTTAGCAACAAGCAACTCCCCAATGGTGTTGATGCTAAGGAGTACCTTAAAGATCCAAATAATTATCCTGTCTCATTAAAGTTTGGTCGGAGTCGACTCAAGACAAATGAAAAAATTATGTTTGCCAGCATGTTTCACACGTAAGGCACAACTTACTATGTTTTGTTGCTTAATTTTTAGTTGTGGTCGTAACTTTGATGATCAAGTTTATGTTTGATAGTTTTGAGAGTTATATTTTTGATAATTTTGAGTATTATTTATGATTTTTGTTATTCAAAAAGGGAATAATAAGTTTCTGTGTTTAGTTCTTTTTCATAAGAAGGTAGCAGATTTTCAATATTGTGTGGAGGAAGAAAGCTTTTCTTTTCAATGTTTTGTGGCTATCAATTACCTCAATGCAAAGTGTACATATGTGTCATTTTGTCAAAAATTGTGTAGATTTACAGTGTGTGAATTAGTTCAGAAAAAACGATGTGCAATTTTTTTGACAAAAGTGTTTCTTTAGAGGCATAATCAAATCGATATTACGTTAATTATAATATAGCGCTAATTGCTAAATTAATATTTTCAAACCTGAACAAATTCATATGATTTACGACAGTGTTTTTCATTAAAACTGCTGATTTTTGCACAACGTTTGAAAAAGTGATGTGCAATTGTTTTCATTTTAGCTAAAACGATGTGCAAATTGCACATTGCACACCGTTAAATTTGCACACTGGATTTATGATTATGGTATCAAATTTGATGTTTTTTGTATGCGATGCTACAAAACAGAATTTTCAATATTCTATTTTCATTATGAAATGAGTTCATAATCAGTGACAAAGCCATCCTGTTTTATACTCCTTTAATTCAAATATTTTGAGCTTACCCACTGGAAAAACAATGATTGGAATCAATTTTCTAAAAATACGAACAATAAATTTGCTGTCAAATTACATTGTTGGAATAAAAGTTTGGAATGGCTGTAGCAACTGTTCATAACATTTCTTGAAAATGGTTATAAAAGATTTATGTATTTTTTTGTTGTAAGATTGTTTGCAATTTCCACTAAGTTGTCACCGGAGCAAAAATCATCTGGCATTCAAGTTTTAGAAAGTGAATCATTTAAACTTCATTGCTACCAAACACCTACTGGTAATGTATGTAAATATCCTTAAATATCCTTAAATATCCTTATTCAGAAAGTCATCACAAGTTGAAGGGATTTACTACAAAATTCTCATGTTGAAGTAGCATGTTACGTAGTTCTGATGTTATTCATATTTGCTAAAGTGCTTATGACAAACTGTATTGCTGGTTTTTTAGGTGTTAAGTTTCTGGTTCTCACAGATCCTAAGCAAGGCCCAATGGATCATTTTTTGAAGCGATTTCATGAACTTTATACTGATTATGCTTTGAAGAATCCCTTTTACTCTTTGGAAATGCCTATTAGGTAATACGAATTGTGCTTTTTCACCACTTTCTTGTTTCTTGCTGACTAAATTTCAAAATATTTATTGCTTCCAATACAGCCTACACAACATTGAAATGCCAACTTTGATTACTACAAAGACAGAAAGGATGCAAAACAATGTTCCTCTAGAAATTGAAATCTTAATGTTGGAATCCAATATTCATATTTAAACATGTATTTTATTACCACTATTTATGCACATGACTATAATGTAAAGTATATTTAAATGTGAAATAATATTTAAATTTTTTAGGTGTGAGCTTTTTGATGCCAATTTGCAAAAGGCTATTGAACAATTGGAAAGAAATTCAAGTCAATATTCTAATGATTAGTGGTAAACTCTTTATTTTTCTTGGTAATATCGGTTTTTCACAAGTCAAAAGAAGGCATTCATGAATCTTATACTTCAGTGGCTGGTTGCCCAAAAGCTGAATAGAGCTATCCACTGGATAGCTAAATTTTTTCATTGTTTAAAAAGGGAAATATGTAAGATTTGGACTGAGCAATCACTGAAATAAGATATTGCTTCTAAAAATGACAAAAAAATTTTTGTTTTAAGGAAAATTTGTTTTTAAAGTGAAGAAGTTTGAAAATTTTACTTTCAAATGGATTATGCTATCCAGGCTTTGGGCAACTGGCACCAGGATTTTAAACTTCCACAAAAAAAATGAAACTAGAAAGTAGTCCAATATTTTGAGGCAATTTTGTACAAAGTATGATGAAGATGTCATGATGATGATAATGATTGTTCCATCCGTCAAAATGAAATGGGATCACAAATTTACAAATTTACAAATAATTGTACGTAGCATAACCAAAAGTATCCTGTTAAACATTGTAAAGAACCAGCATAAGCATTCTGATGATAACATTTGCAATATGCCAAACATGACTAAACAGATAATGTTGTGCTTTCTCAAATTCTCATGCAGAACAAGTCAAACCATTCGACTTGTGTTTGCGTTTTATCAACAGATCTTCATATTGAATGTCTAGTATTTATTTTTACATCAGTGAGTGTATCTTATAATATTGTACATGGCCCTGGATTTTCCGATGAATTTCTTGCTTCTATTTCACTTTGTCTGTCTATACATGCCATTGCAAACATCTTGAACTCTGAATAATCTAGTTCCTGAAATAGATTACTTATTGATGAACGTATTGTTCAATTGCGACATGGCTTTTCTGTATGTTAGTACAATCGTTGGAGGAGAGTGAAGAGTACGAAATCATCAACAGATCATGCGATGGAAGTGTTCTTACCGCTAGTATAGGAAACAAACAGCCCCCATCACTGTTAATCACGTGAGTATACGTCACAATAAATTTCAATAATGTTGGACTACTGGTTGTTCTATATACTGTGGTATTGTCTCACATACTTACGTGATCCCCAGATACATCGAACTCTGAAAATATTGCTCGCATGGCCTCGCCTTGTAGATTAAATAAAAATCCGAATTTTTCAAATTCGTCACATGATATGTTTCCGCTTGCATCTTCGTCAAGTAGGTCAAACACAGTTCTCGAATGGCGATAAATGAAATGTTTTTCTTCTTTATCGTGGACTGCAATCAAAATGCAAACTAAAAGATAAAATTCATCAAAATCCAGGGTTCCTGAACAATCAACATCTAGCATATCGAAGACATTATATATCTGTGACTTTGATAGATCAGTGGAGGAATGCATAAATGCCCAAAATTGTACATCGTTCAATTGCAGCTCTCGGTGAATATCTAAACATTTGAACAACTCTAAAATGATGTGGATAGCACGACCTTAAAGAAATAGATTCAGCGTAAGAAATTCAGAAAATTACTGTAAATCAGCATCTACATGCATATAAATGTGGATTATTTGATAAATTTATTAAACATCCTTACCGCTTAATAAGCAGTGTGTTTTGTCCAAGTGCAAGTATTTCAGAACTTTTGATGTTACTTTCATTTCAAGTTGTAAATTTACTAAATTATAAGTAACATTGAAACTTTACAATTCACTTTGTTTGTGACGTCATACAAATTTCTTTCAAAAGATAATAAAATGACGTAAGAGGACGCATATGATAAAAGATCGTTAAAGGAAAGCGCAATTTTTTATTTGTCTTATGGAAATATAAACGTTAAAATACGAAACTTTATCAACACAGCTGGAGCAAGTGCTCCAAAATTATTGGAACAGCAAAAATTTGTAGCAGCGCACTAAGAAATATGAAAGTTTTAGCCTTACAAAATCACTAAATTTATTATGAACTACTATACTACTATCCAACGAAAATGTTTAAGCGCCTTGTTATCCTATTCTTAATCTATTTTGCAATTATTTCTAATTCATTTTTTTCAAACCTTGCGTGCTCACTAATGAAAGAATACTTTTGTGAATTTTGTACATCAAATTTTTATCAGGATACGAATTTGCTATTCACAAAACTAATTACGTAACTTGACAATGAACGAACTCGAATGAAAATTGATGAAATTAGATGACATCCAGTGGAAATCTAATAAAAGATTATGATTGTGTAAGTTAGTTATTTGTAAAATGAAATGCGTAGCTACTTATTACTTGCTATGACTTCAAATTCTACGACAGGTGTGTATTGGAAAAAGTCTTCATCAACTTCATTTTCCCGTCTTTTTAAAACCATTGCTGTCATATTAATAGATAATATTTATAATTATATGTTTGCTTTGTCTGGTTGTGTTTTCCATACTGCCTATCTTTCATTTACTGCCAACAAATTTTTTGGGCTAGCCACTTATAACTAACACGCATGCTAACCGTGTCGTAGGGCTTATTAACGTTTGTTGTGTATATGTGTTGTCAAGGTTATCATTAATGTTTGATGCGATGTTAAAGTAGCAATTGCTTTATGAACGGCTGTATGAAATAACCTTGTTGTAAAACGAAGTTTTCGAATTCTCTTCTGGTGTTATAAAAGGTAGTTTTAGTATTTGCTCTGTTTTTAGAGGTTATTATACATCTTTCTCGTTGGATTTTGCAGGTGCATGTCGTTTTCGATCTGTTTTGCAAATTGAGACAACATATACAATAATGGACTTTTCTAAATTATTTGAACGATCTGTAAAATATAATGTGCATGAGTTGATAAATTAGAGTGAAGTCACGCATTCTGTTCTGCATTATGAACTATGAGAGAATTAGCAAGTGTAGATGAACTCGCTTTATAATAAGAATGTTGGAAATTTTCTTAAACGTTCGGTATTTGAATTGATAAACAATTGCAATATTGCGTATAAGATAAAAGGCATTTTATACCTGTTTAAGTGCATTTTTACCAAGTTTATATTTTCATGATTTTGACGAAAATAATTCTACTATAGGGACTATGAAAAACTCAGAAACGCATTGTGTAGTCTTGTTGGTAATTGTTGCTCATTTTTTGTCTTCCGTTTATTCGTCCTCAACGGATACAGGTATTTCAATCTATATATGTATTCTAAGAGTTTTATGCTTTGCTAGGTTTTGATGTTTTTAGCTACTTCGAACTTTAGTTGCTAAAAATTCGGCTTGAATAATGCCTATATATTGACATTAATTATTCAACTTGATTGAAAGCTTTTACCTAGCGTTTTGCTGCATAAACTATATTTATACTCGCAGTTTCGGTTTCATGTGCATAGCAAATTGAACAAAGATGAGAAACCTCTTTAAAAGTTAGGCTTTTCAATATAAAGTGTTTCAATTGATATTAATTTATACTCCACAAGACGATAGCAACAGGTCAAAACCAACGAAAGTTGCCGATCAACATTTTTTGGGACTCTGTGGGTTGATTATTGAATAGGTTTTACGCACTATGTGTATTTTCAAAAACCCACTTGTTGATGTAATTATCTTCTGTGAGTTCATAAACTTCAAAAAAACTCTCTTTTCAACTGCTTTCTAACACCGGCAACGTCATTATGTACTCCTGCAACAACAATTTTCGAACACGTTATCACAGCCAACACGATATCAGCCATTGAATTTTATCACACGATTTGTGCAAATCAGAACTTTTTTGTGTGTCAAAAACCATTTTGGTCGCGAGCTATTTTCGTTTGGCTTAGTATCAAAGGGTATCTTTTTTCGTCTTCTCTAACGATTACCTTACCTTATTCACCTTCTTTGATGAGGGATCGCCATCATCAACCACCCCTACCCCATTAAATTGATTAATAGTATTCTGTATAGCGAATATCCAACTAAATATCAAAGATCACGTTAGGGTCTTTCAGAACATTTCTTCTTTGTTCATTAGGCAACAATGGCATAACGATTGACTGTGAATGCAAGAAAACAGACTGTGGTAAGTGAGACATGTTCGTGCTATGCGAACTGTCTGAACGTCAGTATTTTTGCTTCAAATGATCCTAAGCATGATAGGCCATTTTGTTATACCTCTTACAACGGAGGTTTTTTTTCCCTGTGGAGCATTCTCTTTAATGGACAAAATAGTTGTTTTACCCACTACCGTCACACGATTGTTTGTTTACTTCAGTCAAGCTAGCTTGGATTTATCGATGTTTTAAATGGTAAATTCTAACGATGAAATGTCGCTTTTTTTCACAAATTCACTTTAACATTATCACGTATAACACCTTTATCAAGTTAAGAAATACTGCCGCAGTAAGTTGTGGTCTTTTGAATTTCTTAACTTCATCACTGAAACTCGCTTCTCTAGCAGTTCTTTCATGGCATTTGAAGAACAGCAATGACAGTTACATATTTTGTCATTGTAGTTAATTATTATTGCAACTGTCAAACTTACTCAAATACTACTGGAGGCGCGGGAACGTTGTTTCTGTAAGTATATAAGAGATAAAGTTTGGTATTTTCAGTATTTTTCTTCATGGACTGTTTTTTTAGTGGTCAAAATCATCAGTTTTTACATGCAGTTGCCCATTGGTTGTTCTTGTTTGTTTTATCTTGTGTTGTGTTTTTTTTTTGTGTTGCTGTGTCAGGCTGTGCAATGTAGATTCCAAATTTATTCTTGGCGTCCCTGTGTTATATAAATGATCACGTGGTATTTGAATTTCAGATGACAGCAGTACGAATTCATGTGTTAAAAATGAAACTTGTGACAGGATCGTGACATGTGATGAAAGTGAGTGGAATGAGTTACTTGAATTTTACTTACAAATTCACGAAATAATGCTGTATGATAACGAAAAACATTGCATTGAAAAGTATTGTCATTCATAACTGCATGGTACATGTTATATGATCATTCATGACGGTATGGTACCTATTGTATGGTCACAATGGCATGATACATTTTGTACGTTCATTCACAACGGTATGCTACTTTTTTAATGGTCACCACTGTTTGGCTGATGTTGTGTGATCACAGCATCACAATATGTTGCGATGAAATTAGTCATAAATGTTTTGCAAATCACTCAGCACATGGTTAATAATTTGTAACTCTTGGTAACAATCATGTTGTGCAAATCACGTGACTGAACGCTATAGTTGTTATCATAGGTTGTCATAAAAATGCAACTTGTAAAAGGAACGATTCTGGTCACTATGCTTGTGTTTGCAATGATGGATTTTGTGGAAGTGGTACACACTGCCAACCAATATGCAATCGTAAGAAAAATGAGAATATTTCATGTTTTCATAACATTTATAGGTTGCAAGAGTCTTCAACATAGACTGCGATCTTAGATTAACATGTGTACTTTGACATTATGACTCTGTGGACACACGTCATTGATTATTTTTGTTTAGGTTTCTCAACAGTTTCTTCAGCTGAGTGCAAGTGTCCTTGCCTGAAAATGGTGTATTTTGTAATGTCAGCTCAAGTAAAAACTGAATTACCTCAATTTTATCATATGCTTGCGACTAATTTCGTATTTTACGTTTGCATATCACGTGTTATTCATGTGCATACCTACGTGTTTTCATGTGCATTGCACGTCTTTTTCATATGCAATTTAAGTAGCATGGCAAGCCTGCAAGTTGGTCGTGCTATGTTGGTATTTCGTATCATTAGCATTATTTATGTCTTTTTAAATTTATTGTTTTTACAGTAAATAAACAATTTACACAGCATGATCAAATTTGCATGATGGCTGCCTCTCTGTGGACGTCATGTATTTTTCATAAGCGTGTTACGTACTTTTTATGTCCATTTCACGTATTTGTCTTAAAACATATCAACCATCAACTGTTCAATAAAGGAAACTTACTTCTGCTTAGAGTAATTTCAATGTTGGAATTTTATAATTCTGTATATCAGTTTAAACTTATAGCAATGCAATCAACTATTTCTAGCGACCGATAAAAAAGCTCACATTAAGGCAAAAGTGAATGATGACTTTGTAAATTGTTTTTGTCAGATAGGTGAGTCGACCGTCGAAATAAAGTTAATCGTAAATGTATTTGTAATTCGGTTTGATTTTTGTCTGTATTACATGCTTGGGCGTCCGAATCAGTCGATAAATGTAAGAATTTTATTATCAATTACGCCTTGCTCAGGGTAAATCTGCACCATTCATAGTTTTGTACATCCTTAGTGGCATTTTATGGTGTAGACAGGTTATTAATGTGAAAAGCAAAAAATCCAACGAATTCCCAAAAGCGCCCCTGAACGAATGGATAATGTTTTCACAAAGCCATGTATTTTACTTTGTATTCTTTTTTTACTACTCCGAGAACTGATTGTATTAGTGAAGTCAAGACTAATTAGAACGATCAACATTTGTAAACATTTCCACGTCTCCCACTGGCTCAAATCATTGTACTTTACACGTGCAGATGATATCATGTGAATTTTTTATTTTTATCAACATAGCGTATAATATTGTCTGTTAATCAATATATCTTCGATTCATTTACAATAAGAAGAAGGCAGCTTATGCTATTATAAGTGTGGTATTTGTTTTTCATATAAATACTAAAACGTCTCCTTCCTGAAACAATTTCTGTACTTGTATCGAGAATTTTAAACTTATTCCAACCAAAAATTCGAGGATGCTTCAACAAAATTTTACAACATTAGTAAGTTGTTTCAAAAAGATTGAAATAATTACATATATCTATTATTTTGGTAATATTTGATTTCAACTCTATTTCAGGAGCCATCAAGTTTTCTAGTCGTAATTATACGGCTAACGAAAGTGATGAAATGGTAATGGTAAAGATTGAGGTTGATGGATGCGCTGTTTTTCAAGATATCGTCGTGAAGTAAGTTATAAGCACTTTTACTGACAGATTTCATATATTCGTATCGAATTCAATGCTTGGGATTTGTTTGTAGAGAGTGCAAGAAGAGTTAATGGCCACTACTCTCCCCCTTAAAACCAACAAAGTCATTTTCCAACTCTTTCAATTTGGGGGACTTTAAGCTCAACGTAGCAAATTTCTTTCTTGAATCAAGTGTAAAAACTGACGTAGACATGTAATTGTAAAAAGGTACCAGACATGCTGCCTCATAGTAGGGCCAAGAAGTATGCACTGTTGTACTAAACAGAGGTATGCACACTGGCGTAGGAACAGGAATCACGGGAAATCCTAGTATAAACAGGAGACATGAGACATTATAGTAAGAACAGGAAGCATACGACATAGAAGGAACAAGAATCATAATACATTATAATAGGAACAGGGAGCATAGGACATTAGCTATTGTAGCAACAGAAGGGACAGGATATTATGGTAGGAATTAGAGGCATGGGATATTATAGTTCGAACAGGAAGCATGGGACATTATAGTAGGAACAGGAAGGATGGGACTTTATAGTACGAACAGGAAGGATGGGACATTATAGTAGGAACAGGAAGGATGGGATATTATAGTAGGAACAGAAAGCATGGGACATTATAGTAGGAGCAGGAAGGAAGGACATTATAGTAGGAACAGGAAGGAGGGACATTATAGTAGGAACAGGAAGGAGGGACATTATAGTAGGAACAGAAACCATGGGACATTATAGTAGGAACAGGAAGGATGGACTTTATCAACGAACAGGAAGGAGGGACATTATAGTAGGAACAGAAATCATGGGACATAATAGTAGGAACAGGAAGGATGGGACTTTGTACGAACAGGAGGGACAGGGGACATTATAGTAGGAACAGAAATCATGGGACATAATAGTAGGAACAGGTAGTATGGGACTTTATAGTACGAACAGGAAGGAACATTATAGTAGGAACATAAATCATGGGACATAATAGTAGGAACAGGAGGATGGGACTTTATAGTACGAACAGGAAGGATGGGACATTAAAGTAATTTAAGTGAAAAGACTCTTAAAGTTTGAATCTACATGGATTAAAAGGCAAAATTTTAACGTTGCAATTTACAATTAACTCTTCCTTTAGTTATTCGATAGGATATGTTTTTACTTAAATATGTAAAAATAATATTATTGTCGTTATATTTTTGATTGTATGTATGACTTAATAGTTTTCAATACAATTATCATTGTATTTAGTGTAACTACACAAGATCGCTCTGCTAAAAGTGAAGAAGATTATATTCTTAAAACATTCTCAGTCAAATTTACTCCAAATGACAGTGGTCCAAAAATTGTAAATATTTCGTTGAAACAAGACAATTTGTTAGAAATGGATGAGGATTTCTATGTCTTGTTGAATGTGACAGATGAAAGTGTCCAAAAGAAAACGGATGCTGTAAAGATAACTATAATCGATTCCAGCAGTACGTGTTTTCATAGTGAATTATGAAATGATTTTAAGAAAGTTAACTGTCATCTACAATGCACAATTAGCAATAAAATCTTCCAGTAGCGTAATGTTTACGAAAATACTGCTTGATCAAGTCTACTTCTCATATTTTAATGTGTTTAAATGTTCAATTGCAAATTGGATTCTTGTTTGTTTTAAATGTGTTCTCATTAATGAACTCTTTTCTAGATATAGATGCCAATGTTTCTTTTGAAAAGCCACTATGCATTCCGTGAAGGCGAAAATGTGTCTGTACCTATTACGCTATACGGAAATATAACTTTACTGTGAACGTCAGGTAACTGTTTCATGTTTCGTCTTTGCGTGTATTCATACCGTTTCGTTGTAATTTGTGATTTCTCGTTTTTCACCTTTCGACTGTAGTTTTTTATCTGTTAAATATTTTTCTTTGACCAGACTCAATAAATAGAGATAAAGTAGAGAGCCGCATGTTTGGCTTGCTATTATATAATACACAACCATTATTGAAATCTTTTATTTTTGCTGTTGTTCGTATATCTAAAATTGTTAATATTTTACGATTAAGATACGTATACTGCACTGGAAAAGACAAATAATTTTCAAATCTGAGTTTGGATGAATTTTCATTGCATCACTGAATCGTATTTTCATAGCAATAATTGTTCTTTCTCCAGGATTATTTCAAGCTCAGAAACAGCAGTAGAAAAGGTGGATTACGAAATCAAAATCAGGTGATAACGTTCCATCCAGAGAACAGGAGCAAACCATCCTATGCAATATTACCATCAATGCAGATGATTTCGTCGAAAAAAATGAGACATTTTTTCTCAAAATTTCATCACCAACAGAAATACTTCATTTTCCCGAACCTCGCGCTAACATTACCATTATAAATAAAAATGGTATGCTCTAAATATTATTGTGCTATTTCTAGTTGTATAACTGTTTGATCATTCTGGTCTTCAACTGCTGTTGTTTTTTACCATCGTGAATTTAAAAAAAGTTGATCTTGTTTCTGATTTAAAATCGATATCATGATTATAATAAGCACACTTTTGTCGACATTTTATAATTAACACGAAAATATGGTAGCTACCTTCGAAATGTCTGCCAAAGTTATGTAAAACATGAAGTGAAATATGTCATATGAACGACAATTTTTTTGAAAGTTAACATGTTTTACCATGTTCATATCATGTTTAGTATTTTAAATATTAATTCTGCATTATTTTTTGTGGGTTTGCGCAAAATCTATTTTTGCATAATGTTTATTTATACAATGTCTATTTTTTAAATGTTCTATGTTTTTTTGTGTTTAAATTCTCTGCTTACAAAGAATGATGTTTAAAGAAAATGTAAAATGTGAAATATTTCTTTTCAGTTGCTACAGTGAAGTTTAAGAAAAGTTCTTATTCATTTTTTGAAAACAATAACAGCGTTTCAATGGAAATAATTCTTCATGGTAAAATTACGTTCGACATAACTGTCAAGTAAGTAATTCCATGCAATCTTCATGTCTTTCCTGTTAAACAAAAAGTCCACAATATAAACCACTATTTATTTATTTACACATATTCGACATTACATTTGTTTATTTAACTAAATTTTTACCTTGTTGTTCTTTACATATTTTGGTGTTTGTTACCTCTGTTTCAGTGATTATGTATTTGTTCTTGCGTCATGTTTTTTCAAAACTTACGTAATTTTGTCGGCTTACGTCATTAATTGTTGTCAAGAATCATGAATACAGGATGAACACCCGCACTTCTAAAAACTGCGGGAAACTATTAGTCATTTCCCAGCTCTTTTAATTTCACATTTGGAGAATGTTTTGTATGAGATTTTACAAAACGTATGATTGCATTTGCTTTCTCAATGACTTAATAGTTTTCTATACAATTATTATTGTATTTAGTGTAACTACACAAGATCACTCTGCTAAAAGTAACGAAGATTATATTCTTAATACATCCTCAGTCAAATTTACTCCAAATGACAGTGGTCCAAAAATTGTAAATATTTCGTTGATTCGAGATAACTTACATGAAATGGCAGAGGATTTCTTCGTCTTGTTGAATGTATCAGATGAAAATGTCAACATTACAATGGATAAAACAAATATAACTATCTTGGATTCTGATGGTATGTGTGTTCACAGTGAAAGAAAAACATTAATATTCGAACGAAGATTACTGTACGCATGCTTTTTACTGCATTTTCATGGTTCAGTTATTTTTCAATGCATATATAATTAACAAGAAAGATCTATTGTCGACCTCTGTCTGTTCGAAATGTGTCTTCATCAATTGAACTTTTTTCTTAATCTAGATGTTGCTGTTCTTTTTGAAAAAAATCATTACGTATTTCATGAAGGCAAACTCGTGTCTGTACCTATAAGTCTAGACAGAAATATAAGTATTCCTGTGAACGTCAGGTAACTGTTTCATGTATTGTCTTGTAACTGGCATTCGTGATGTTTGATTGTACGTTGTGATATCATGGTTTTCAAATCTTGACTGTAATTTTTTTTGTATTTGAAAACATTTCTTTTTTCGATTGCCAGATAATAAATGTAGTAAGTTTGTATAGTAATAAAGTAGTGAGCTGCAAATTTTGTTCGCTATTATATACAATACAATCATTATTGAATTATTTCGAAATCTACATTCTTACTGTTATTATACTGTTAAAATTTAACGAGCTGTATGTGATGAGTTGATTCTGTTTTGATTCTGAGTCAAAATGAATTTTTTTGGCATCACTGAATCATATTAATTTTCATAGCAATGGTTGCTCTTTCTCTAGCATCGTCTCAGACTCGTTCAATGCAACAGCAAAAGAAAACAGTGATTACAATATAGTAAATCCGATAGTTGTGTTTAAACCAAATGATGGGAAGAAGACCATTGGATGTAATTTAACTATTTTCGATGATGGTCTCGTCGAAAGAAATGAGACATTTTTTCTCGAAACTTCGCCAAAGACAAAAGGGAAACAAAGCACGAAAGTTACCATTATATCTAAAAATGGTATGCTATAAATATTGTTATGCTTTATGTCAATTAAGGTGCTTGTTCTATGGTTGCATAATTGTACATTTGAAAATAATTTATCTTGCTCCTGTTGTGGAATCGATTTTGTAGTATATGTTTTTGTCGATATCGAGCTGCTACTGCGTCGAAATGTCAGTAAAAAACAACTTAGAATAGTTTTGTTAGCTAAATTGTGTGTTAAGCTAAACATTTCGTGATGAACGACGATTTTTTTCAAAGTTAACATGTTTTTTCTGCATTATTTTTTATGTATTGGTCAATGTTTCTGATTTGCAAAATGTTTATTTTCATCCTTTTTATATATATCTGTTGAAACTCTCAGCTGACAAAAAGCATTAGAATTGTTTTGTTTACACGTGAGTGAAAAGAAAGTTTAAAGAAAATGTGAAAAGTTTAAACGTTCTTTCTTTTCAGTTGCTACAGTGAATTTTTCTAAAAGTTTTTATTCAGTTTTGGAAAACAATAACAACGTTTCAATTGAAGTAATCCTTCATGGTAACATTACGTTCGACATAACTGTCAAGTAAGTAACTACGATTTTCGTTCATTTTTCTTTCCTTTAACGTTATACTGTATATTATTTATTCACACACATCATCAGTATACTGCCTTCCCACAATTTTTAACTCAATTTTTCGTTCTTTTCATTTGGAGATTCTTCTAAAGTGTAAATAATTTCATCATCAATAATTAAATGAAAAGAAATGTGCTTGTATTTAAATCCTTCAGTCTAGTTACAAAGAATGGCTCTGCCGAAGAAGGTGTGCATTACAGAAATCCAACAACTAACTCCATAACATTTAAACCATCTCAACAAGAGATTAAAGAGATTAAAATACCCGTCATTAACAATAACATCAGTGAATCTGAGAAAAACTTTATAGTAAAAGTTGAGTCGTCCGATCTGAATGTAGTCAGCAACGAATCAGCCACCATCTGGATATTGAAATATGATCGTAAGTAACCATATATCAACGTAATCAATGTAGCTAATTAAGTACAATAATCTTAACGAGTTTTATTTATATCTGAAACTATGAATTTGAGAGTGAATTGCAACAGAAGTATTTCATTGTTATTGCATTTAGATTTTCACGACACAACATATTTCTTGCTTTGAAAATGAACTTCTTGTTAATGAAGTTGATAAAAATGTTTATTTAATTTGTATATAGTTTTCACTGAGTGGAGTGGCTGGAGTAATTGCATTTGTGGTGTCAGAAATAGAACCTGCCGCTATCATTGGGCAGTAGGAGATTGCTTTGGAAAGCTCATGGAAACAGAACCATGTGATATTTCTTTTTGTTCTGGTGAGTTAGTTTGTTTATAAATGAGTTAAAATATTTTGATAAATCTGCATGATGTTGCATCTTAAACATTACAAAAACTAACTGCCTGGAATCAAACGTTTTCTTCCCCAAATGTACGTTAATTTGGACGATTAAATTTGTTTTATGCTGGCATGGTTTTCTATGACTTCTTTTTTCAGAGTCTTTGCACTTTCCATATTCTTATAGGTGTAAAACGATTAATCATTCATGCAAAAAGACAATTTGCGAAATTCTTGGTATTGAAATACTCTTTACTCTTTGCTCGGTGCTCGTTGCAATAATGCTCAAGTATTAGTGTTGGCCATTTCAATTTCAAACACGCTGAAACGTGTAAATCTTTAAACTCTAAATCGCCAGATGTGATTATTGATCAGGCATTGAGTTAATGACCAAGAAATTAAACAAGGCCCTTTCTGTTGTTACACGATTGCAAGACTACGTATGTGGTTTAGGATCAACTACATTGATATTTTGCGATATCTCAAAAGTGCATGATAAGATTATCGGTATTCCCACTGTTCTTAAATTATTCAATTGACATTATCCAAGATTGGATGGTTTTTCTATGAGACTTAAAATCTTGTCAGTTTTATAATGAAAGATTTAAAAGTTGGGAGTTTTTTGTTCTTTAGATGATAATAAAGAGTGGCCAAACAAGGAAGGGTGCAATGTTACATGTATGACTCCCGTTGAGACAAAAAATTGTTTGAACACTACTCAATACTCTTCCAACCTTCCAGTGAAATGTCCGTTTCGACATTGTCCAGGTAGAGATTTATCCTTTTATCTAAACTTACAATTTTATGCTTGTTTAATGTTTAACTTACCAAATTTTAAGACTTTTTTATCACTGCATAAATCGGTTATCTCCACACACAAAAATTAGGTATGATGTTTAACCGCAAAAAGTTGCTTGAAAATTAGTGAAAATACATATGTAGCAAAAATGTTTGTATTTCAACAAATGTATGTCGTGTTTAAATAATTGAAACATTTAAATACTTAAGTTTACTTGCTCTTAGTGAAGCTTTATATGCATTAATTTAATTATTTATAATTAAATAATTGAAACGTTTAAATACTTAAGTTTACTTGCTCTTAGTGAAGCTTTATACGCATTAATTTGATTACTTATTCTTAAATAATTGAAACATTTAAATACTTAAGTTTACTTGCTCTTAGTGAAGCTTTACACGCATTAATTTGATTATTTATTATTAAATAGTTGACACATTTAAATACTTAAGTTTACTTGCTCTTAGTGAAGCTTTATTCGCATTACTTTGATTATTTATTATTAATAATTGACACATTTAAATACTTAAGTTTACTTGCTCTTAGTGAAGCTTTATTCGCATTAATTTGATTATTTATTATTAAATAATTGACACATTTAAATACTTAAGTTTACTTGCTCTTAGTGAAGCTTTATACGCATTAATTTGAATATACCATTCAATTACAGTCGATGGTTGTTACAAAGAATGGGGGAAATGGTCACAATGTAGTAAGACATGTGGAAGTGGAAAAACCCATCGTACTAGACAATGTAGTGAACCTCTGTATGGTGGGAAAAACTGCCATGGTGATATTTTCTATGAAGAAAAAATATGTACAAACCCAGTTATTTGTCCTGGTAAGATGCGATTATTAATGTTTTTTGTGCAATGATTATTGATGATGATGGCAAAATATCGAATCATGAATGAAATAGTCGACACAAAAATAATCAATACAAAAAAATTGAAGTCACCTTAAGATATATTATTTTGCGTTAGACGAGTTTAATTTTACATCATGGAGTGAATGGAGCATATGTAATGTATCTTGCAACTTTGGACAAAGAATACGTACTCGAGTGTGCAAAGAAGAAAGTAGTAAATTTTGTAAAGGAAGAACTAATCAAACCGAAACATGTAATGCAGGCCCATGTCCTCGTAAGTCAAATTTTTTCAGTGTGCTTTTTTATCAATTTTCACAAAGGCGATGCTTATAAATGTGCTTCTAAATGCTATGCTTTTTCAGAAAATGGTAATTGGAGCACTTGGTCAGAGTGGCCATATTGTCCAGGTTCTTGTGGAAGTGCAATTTTGAATCGATCACGAACATGCAATAACCCTCCTCCTAAACACGGCGGAAATAATTGTTCTGGTGCAGCAACTGAAGAAATGGCCTGCAACCATACAAAGCCTTGTACAAGTAATTTTAGCTGTATACATCATTTTTGGCTATCACAGTAACCACGCAGTCGATTTGATGGCGTTTTTTTTAACTATTCCATTGCTTATCAATTACAATATTTTATAGATGAAAGTGGGTTTACTGAATGGAGTACGTGGTCGCTTTGCAGTAAAACGTGCGATAATGGCGAACAAGTTCGAGAGAGAAATTGTAGACCTGGTCAAGACATGTATTGCACTCTTGAAAGTTTGCAAAGAAAACAGTGCTTTGAAAAAGCGTGCCCAGGTTTGTTCTATTCCATTTGATTTACGTATATATGAAACAACAAAAGTCCAAAACTGCTGAAAATAGCACATAATATAGAGAGAGTACGAGTAGGAGTACGAAATTCGACAGTTTAAGAGAATGGCACGAGGAAGTTTGTTGACGTTGTCGCTCATTGTCGCTCCGTCAAAATTTTGTTTTATATATAAACAACAGAACGAGCTTTTGGAGCTTTGAAAGATAGTATACCATGAATTAGGTAGTAGCAGCATTATAAGCATGTGGATAAACATCTGGCTGCAGGTTTTCCATCATATCAAACTCGATTTTCAGGTTTTTTCCCTATTTATTACCTTAACGTGAACACAATTGATTTTTACGACTGAACTGACTTCACAAGACGTGGTGCTCTTTAAAAGAATCTGTTTGTTTTCTTAAATTTTAGTGAACGGTGGTTGGTCACAATGGGGTGAGTGGAGTCGTTGTAGTTCCTCATGTGGTTCAGGTGTAAAATATCGCGTGAGGTTATGTAACAGTCCTAAACCCGACAACGATGGCCTTAAATGCTATGGAAAACAGAGAAGAAGAATCGTGTGTTATGCCTGAACTATGCAAAGGTTTGTGTTATTTTTTTATGCAAAATTGTTAATTGTTGAATGTTCGGTTCAGTAATATGAAATATTACAGCTGAACCGCTTTTACTGGATCTTGTCGTAAAAAACATGCGACAAATAAAAGTCAGACTGCTTACAAGAAAGAAATTTCTCGACTTTGATTAATCATTGTGCATTGTGTTTTACAATTTTGTAATTTTATAGCTAACATAAGATAACATTGCTTTCAAATTACATAGACAACTGTCAATGATGATCATGTAACGACCTCATAACGACAATCAAATTATTACGTAGACAATCCTCGATGAAAAACATCTACTGCAACCTCATAACGACAAACCCAATTACACTTTTTTAAGTAATCACTTATTCAGAATGAAACATCTGCATGCTGGTATTTTACTTAGTTTTGCCCAAGTGAATAGTTGTTTGAGCATATTTTTCTTATGTTCTTGTGGATTTTAGTGGATCATTTTTACACTTCATGGGGAAATTGGAGTGCGTGTAACGCCACTTGTGGTTATGGTACTAAACAGAGATTGAGAAAATGTACTTTCTGCCTAAATACCCACCTGAAAATCCTAATCCAATATGTATATCACCAGAAAAAGATTATCAATATTTGAGCTGCTATGATAAGTCATGTAAAAGTAAGTGTACTCCCCCACTGATTAACGAATGAAAATTATCTTTAATTATCATCCTTCATTCTTATTAGTTAAATCCTGTATGAAGAAAAGTCATTAAGTTACAATTTTACGTATATTTTATTGCGAATGAGATACTGTAATTTACGTAGGCATGCATTTTTTATTTCAGTTGATGGCAATTTTAGCCATTGGTCATTCTGGTCATTGTGTAGTGTAACGTGTGGAGGAGGTATACGCAGAAGGAAACGAATGTGCGATCATCCTTCTCCAAAATATGGCGGAAAAGATTGTCCCGGAAAAAGATTGGATGTGCAAGATTGTAACGCAAGTAAAACCTGTCCAGGTGTTTACAAGATGTTTGAGATTTTCGTGATTATACAAAAAATGTTAACTTTCCTTAAACATTTCTTTTTTCAGATGACGATTCGTACAAACCTTGGACTTCCTGGTCAAACTGTTCACGTGGCTGCGAGGGAACTACGACGAGGAAACGTGATTGTAAAGAAAACTGTTCAATTTCTCAAAATCAGACCAAAGAATGCAACACTGAACTGTGTGTTGGTATGTTTAAAGTAAATGCATGACGTTTGCTTTTTTGGAAATGAAAAATTTTATTAAGAGTCCTATTATTTTGGATAAAGTTCGAATATTGACAATATTTAATGCTATAATATGTATTTTATCATAAAATATCTACTACAGCATAGGTTGTCTTTGTACTGCATAATTTGTCCACTCTACTATATAAGTAGTCCATTTGTAAGTTGTCTGCAGAACATGCAGAGTGTATAGAAGTAGATAGTTGGAAAAACGTTGCGAAAATAAATGGAGCGCGTGGTTTCCAAAAACCGTTAATGGAAATATGGAGTTGGACTTGTAATGATTCATCTTTTCGGATCAATTTACCGCAACCAATTAACAATTATTAGATCATGTTTAGCATGATATCAACACTTAATCAGACTTCCTTAACTTAGCTTTGGTCGATAACAGTGACATAACATTTTTCTGTTTTAGTTTGTTGCCAGCTTGAATTTATGCCCGTTCAAACCTTTCTTCTGAGCAGAATGGAATGAGAACATACTTTATACGTATAATGCCGACTTTACCCAATAAATTTCTGTTTGCACACGAAAAGAGAGGTTCCATGCTCCCTGATCCCCTACTTCATAGTCCCTGAAATTTTCTTTTAGATGCAGCATTCCAAGTCCAACTTACTTATTTGCACCAAAGGTTTTGATAAAATTTACGCCCTGATGTATTTAGTGACGTTTTCCCAACTGTCTAATTTTTATACATCCTGTAAAGTGTAATTTGTCTTCTCGATGATAAAATTTGTCTGTTAATTGTTATAAGTCGTCTACTCACTTGAAATCTAATTTCTGGGATTCGTCATTAGTTAATGGTAGCTGGTCAGAATGGACAAGTTGGTCATTGTGTGATCTGAATAAATGTGGCGAACAAAGCGAGCGTAGAAATCGAGTTTGCGACGATCCTAAACCACAAGCTGGAGGAGAGCAGTGTATGGGTGATGATTTTGAGACGATGCCATGTCGATATGGACAACCTCGACCATGTAATAAAAGTACGTTTTTCCTTGTTTTTACTTGTTTTCCTGATCAATTTTCTGCAAAACCGAAAATTTCAATTTCTCCCTTAACCGTAAATGGATATTGCATGTTTGAAAAGCTATATGGACAAATGGTGCGCGATTTTAAACATTTTAAAAAAATCACGGTGATGATGTACATGAAACGTTTCAACTTTTGTTTATACTCAAGAGAAGTGGGAGCGAAGTTCAGTGGAGAGAATGAGTGGAAGCGTAATCCAAGAATTGGGATTCTCAGTTTTTGATCGGCACGCTCAGTGTCCCCGCTAATTTTTCGGAAAAATCAACGCTTCCCCTTGTCTCCGCTCACGACTGTCATAATTTTCTTCTGTTGTCTGAAAGTTTGTGCGATCCTTGGAAATCCAGGCGTATTTTAACTTTTCTATATAGAAATTACCCGCGCTGGTTGGACGGATTGGTCTTGGTGGAAAATTTGCTCAAAGAGTTGTGGCAAAGGAGTAGAATCAAGATATCGCAGATGTATCAACCCACCACCAACATCTGGAGGTTTGAAATGTTCTGGCAAATCGAATGAAACAAAATTTTGCAATGATTGTCCTTGCCCAGGTAATTACGTAATATTTTAACTGAACTATAGCAGACAATATAATTTTATCGGAAGTGAAAAACAAAAAAATGGGTGATGAGAGAATAAAACAAACATTATATGAAAATAACATAAAATATTGAAATAAGAATTTGAGGCCTGCACATGCTTTTCCTCCGTTACAAAATGTGGCATGTACACGATTTCCCTAGATCACAAAAACCTGTAAGGCAGATGACTTGCTAGAAGACCTGTATTAAATAATCAACCTGTCTAAAGAAATCCCTGAAGATTAATCCCTTAATACAGCTGGGTTTAATTTTATGTTTTCAGTTGATGGTGTATACTCGAATGGTCGAATTGGACAGCGTGTTCGCAAACGTGTGCAAATGGTACAAGAAATCGCAGTAGAACATGCACACCTCCGATGCACAAAGGAAGGAAATGTCAAGGCGCAAACTTTACGAGGAGAATTGTAATCCTAATCCATGTCCGAGTGAGTTATTTAATTTACGTCGTTATTCCTAGCTTGTATAGACTTGATGTACTTACATAATTTTGATCTACGAACTTCGATTAATTATTTTCCATCGAAAACATACCACTGAATGTAGTCGCAGAATATGCAAAGATGGTCGAAACTAGTTTAGATGAGTTGATTAAGTTCTTTTTTTACACATCATGTACTATTTTTATACATTGACTACCATTGTAAACAACAAACTATATAAATGAAGTGAAAGTTGACGTTTTTAAACGCTCATTATATTTTGTAATGTAATGGCAAGCTTTAATTTTGGGAATATCAGCGCAAATCAATGACTCTGCAATGCGTGATCTGATGATTTGAAAATTACTCTTATATCTGTGATGATTCGTAGTCATGTCTTTGTTTTTGATTTCAATTGTTGCAAGATGCAAAGATAAAAGCAATATTTTATTTGTAATAAAATCCAAGAAAACTCCTGCCATGTGAGCGGATGATTGTTTTAAATTGATCTTTTTCATTTTTCTTAAAATTTTTAAGCGACTTTAGCCCCCCACACAAGAAGTATTTTGTAAAGATAGATTCAATGTTTTACAGAGGTTCTGTTGCATAATATTTCCAACTGTGAAAACACCTTCAAAAACATTGTTTATAGCCATTGTCTATTAATTAGAACAGTTTTTGGAACCTAGTCTAAATCGATGGAACATTTTTACGCGACTAAGAAAAAAATTTTCACTGTGGTTATTGGTCATGAGTCTGGTGCTTATACATTTGTGAAATAATCAATGAAACTATTGATTCAATAAAATACATGTGCATATTATAACAAGCTGCAAACGTTGTTGATTTTTTTCTTTCACTGTTTTGACAGTTCATGGTAATTGGTCATCTTGGTCAAGCTGGTCTTTTGTAATAAACCGTGTAATAACGGTTCTTCCGAAAGAACTCGTTCTTGTACTAACCCAGCACCGAAATATGGTGGCAAAAATTGCTCTTGTGATGAAACTTCTGGAAGTAACAATTATGGAGACTGTTTTAAAGAAGTTGACTATTGTAACGAATTGACATGTCCCCGTAAGTTCACTATTTTAACATTGTAAAGGATGTTGAATTTTGTAACATTGTAAAGGATCTTTGCGTAAGTTGCACATTGTAACATTGTAAAGGATGTTTATGTAAGTTCCACATTGTAACATTGTAAAGGATGTTTATGTAAGTTCACCATTGTAACATTGTAAAGAATGTTTACGTAAGTTCACCACTGTAACATTGTAAAGAATGTTTACGTAAGTTCAACATTGTAACATTGTAAAGGATGTTTACGTAAGTTTATTATTGTAACATTGTAAAGGATGTTTACGTAAGTTCACCATTGTAACATTGTAAAGGATGTAAGTTCACCATTGTAACATTGTAAAGGATATTTACGTAAGTTCACCATTGTAACATTGTAGGATGTTTACGTAAGTTCATCATTGTAACATTGTAAAGGATGTTATGGAAGCTCACCACTGTAACATTGTAAAGGATATTTACGTAAGTTCACCACTGTAACATTGTAAAGGATGTTTACGTAAGTTCATCATTGTAACATTGTAAAGGATGTTTATGTAAGTTCATCATTGTAACATTGTAAAGGATATTTACGTAAGTTCACCACTGTAACATTGTAAAGGATGTTTACGTAAGTTCACCACTGTAACATTGTAAAGGATGTTTACGTAAGTTCATCATTGTAACATTGTAAAGGATGTTTACGTAAGTTCACCACTGTAACATTGTAAAGGATGTTTACGTAAGTTCACCACTGTAACATTGTAAAGGATTTTTACGAAAGTTCACCATTGTAACATTGTAAAGGATGTTTGCGTAAGTTCACCACTGTAACATTGTAAAGGATTTTACGAAAGTTCACCATTGTAACATTGTAAAGGATGTTTGCGTAAGTTCACCACTGTAACATTGTAAAGGATATTTACGTAAGCTCAACACTGTAACATTGTAAAGTATGTTTACGTAAGTTCACCATTGTAACATTGTAAAGGATGTTTACGTAAGTTCATCATTGTAACATTGTAAAGGATGTTTACGTAAGTTCACCACTGTAACATTGTAAAGGATGTTTACGTAAGTTCATCATTGTAACATTGTAAAGGATGTTTACGTAAGTTCACCACTGTAACATAGTAAAGGATGTTTACGTAAGTTCCACATTGTGACATTGTAAAGATGTTTATGTAAGTTCACCATTGTAACATTGTAAAGGATATTTACGTAAGTTCACCACTGTAACATTGTAAAGGATATTTATGTAAGCTCAACACTGTAACATTGTAAAGTATGTTTACGTAAGTTCACCATTGTAACATTGTAAAGGATATTTACGTAAGTTCACCACTGTAACATTGTAAAGGATGTTTATGTAAGTTCACCATTGTAACATAGTAAAGGATGTTTATGTAAGTTCACCATTGTAACATTGTAAAGGATATTTACGTAAGTTCACCACTGTAACATTGTAAAGGATATTTATGTAAGCTCAACACTGTAACATTGTAAAGGATATTTACGTAAGTTCACCATTGTAACATTGTAAAGGATATTTACGTAAGTTCACCACTGTAACATTGTAAAGCGATATTTATGTAAGCTCAACACTGTAACATTGTAAAGGATATTTACGTAAGTTCACCATTGTAACATTGTAAAGGATATTTACGTAAGTTCACCACTGTAACATTGTAAAGGATATTTATGTAAGCTCAACACTGTAACATTGTAGCGATATTTACGTAAGTTCAACATTGTAACATTGTAAAGGATGTTTACGTAAGTTTATTATTGTAACATTGTAAAGGATGTTTACGTAAGTTCACCATTGTAACATTGTAAAGAATGTTTACGTAAGTTCACCATTGTAACATTGTAAAGAATGTTTACTTAAGTTCACCATTGTTACATTGTAAAGGATGTTTACGTAAGTTCAACATTGTTTTTCATAATATCTCTACGTAAGTTTTCACGGTCGTAACTCGACTGTAAATGAATTTATGTGTACATTATGTACTTTATAGCTGTGTTGGTACGGGTTGAAACAGTTGTTCGCAATGTTACATCATCCGATTCTAATTTTAAGAAAGAATTTGCGTCATATGTAAGTGAAGTCTTCAGATTTCTATGAGTCGTTTGTTTGTTGCTGAGTCAATAATTTATGGTAAAATATAATGACGTAATTCATATTACTCGTAACATGTTAAAAATGCAATAGAGATGCTTTATTGATCATGACTTTGTTGCATTTTACTTCAATTGTTTCCTAACAATTTTTGTCGATGGCTTAAATATTCTCAAATACCATCTCACTTACCAACATGTGTTTATGAAACTCTTTTTGGTTTCAAAGTTCTCCTCTTACGAACGAAATTCTCTTGAAATTTTTTATTTCATATCTGTTCATTATATTTAGATCGTGGAATCATATGGAAATGTTACTCCTGTGGTCGGATATTATAATCTCACGTAAATGAAAACATACAATATTTATGCAAGCACGCATGTGCATTTTTTTTTGAAACGGAAAATGTTTGGTTGGGGATTGTGACGTCAAATTTATATAAAGCCATTATTAATTAATACATACATGTTAAATATAACTGTACTAATGTACCTAGTTCTTATTACCTATATTTTCTCACCATACGAAGTCATTGCATATAAATTAATGGTCAAATCATTATAAAACCTTTGCTTATCCATTAAATTTAGCCTTGAAGACAATACAGCGTATTTTGTCGTTACTGTTGGGTTTAACTTCTCAGATGGAGATCAGCTGCCAATTCTTCGGGATATTTTGGATCATACACTTCACGGCTACTGGAATATTAGTTTAATGTCCATGAAGTCTGATGTTGGTAATGTGTTTGTTCGCTTGTTTTTTTTCATCTAATGTCTTAAGATTAATCTTATTTTTTTGTTATTTTTTACGTGATAGTAGGTTGACCCATGCACTTACTGCCCCTTTTCTTAGTTATAAGAATAAATATTTTCTGAAAATTTTTAAAGATTTATTTTAAACTGAAATGTTGCATAATGCTACTCCCTTCTTCGAAACTATAAAGCTTTTGTTCTTACTGTATATGCTCGCTTAAACGCCGCGGCGCTTATTTAATTTTCCGATTCCGAATGCTTATCCGGGATCGGTGCTTAAGTGTGAGCGGCGCTTATTAAAATTTTTCAACCAAAGTTTCACACCTAAAATTTTTATTGCTCCAAAAAAATATCTCTATCAAAATGTATTTAAATGATATGATATAATATGGCTTATCTTAATATTTCGCTAGCTATTGTGAGTAAGCGCCTCACTAAAGTTTCTCAGTTAAGGCGCCCAACCGGAAGCAATGCTAAATAACTTTTCTGGATCCCGAGTGCGGCGCTTATGGGAGCGGGGCTAAAGCGAGAATTTATGGTAGTCCATTTTCCCACTCTAGGGAGCATTTTATTTACTTTCTGTTTACCGTATTTTCTTTTAGTGTATTCAAACGAGCTGCAAATAACAACCGAGTCTCTAACTTCAACCAGCATCCGTGTTACCTGGACTTTGTCCGAAAAAACGGAGATAGTAGAAGGAATTATGATCTTTCATAGAACGATGGATGGACATGCGTCATTTGTTCCTAGTTCACAACCTCCGTCGTATCAGGGAAATTTCACAATAGAAAATCTCAAAAAATACACCAATTACAAAATAACAGTTTCTCCGGCTACAAAAAATGGCACAGGAATACCAAGTAATTTTTCTACGTTGAGGACGTTAGAAGATAGTGAGTAAACAAACACTTATCTTGTTGATCACTGAATTATTGAAGATTTCAAGCGTTGTATCTATCTTTAAGATTGATATATATGTACAGAATAGACTTTTAATCGGCTTTGATTGCATGATATTTGTGTTGATGAACTGCCCCTGCCTAACTATAACAAAACTATTGCTTTGATGCTGACAAAATTTTATTATTAGTTTCTGTAATTATTGATTTTCAAATTCTCATTTACAGAGCCTAGCAGAGCTCCAGAAATACAAGTTCATTCTCCAAATACATCATCACTAATTATTTCGTGGAATCGTGTTAACAGCGAGTATTTGCACGGCATACATCGCGGTTATTGTATTTATCATAATAATGAAATGATACACATAAATAATACTTCTGTACAAATGAAATTATTGGAAGGTTTTAGACCTTACTCAAAACACACGATTCAAATAGCTGCTAAAACATCTCCTGGTTGTGGAATATTTACTCCAATGGAAACATACTTCACCGCTGAAAGTAGTAAGTTTTTTTTTTAATTTTTGTGATTTATCGAAATCATATAATTTCTTCTTTGGGTTTCAGCTTATGTTTATTTGTTAAAACTGAATTAAGCAACTATATTATTTTAAAACACGCAATTTAATGTCTGAATGAGCTTATGCAATTAACCTTTCTATTTTCAAGAGCAAGAGAAGTAATAACATCGTTAGCTGTAGACGCGTTGCCAACGGTTTGCTGCGGGGGTTGGGGCTTAGCAGTTGTGATACTTCCCTCTCTATAATGATTATTTGTTTGCAAATGAATAGTTTGTCGACAATGCAGTTTGAGCTTGAAGATGTCGTTACAAACAATATAAATTCATCTGCAAGCCAACAAAATTAAACTCCACCCCCCTGAATTAGTGTAATCGGGATGGCCTTATTAGCATCACTGGTTTAATGGTTTCTACCATCAAATTCATCGTTATTCGAAGAATGCGTCTCAACAACAATAAGTTACTTTTGTAGTTATTTGTTTGATAAATTTTCTCTGAAAACTTTATTGAGCATGAGTTATTGTTATGTAGAACCAGATGGGCCACCAAACAACGTCTCAGCCTGGAATGAAAGCTCTACAAGCGTGAAAGTAAGCTGGCAGGAGGTTGACCCAAAACTCAGAAATGGTATTATAATTGGCTACAATATAACGTACAACTCTTCTCGTGGTCCTAGTGGAAATATAATTCTTAATTCATCAAAAATATTTCATCTTGTCATTGAAAATTTGTCTGAATGGACATGGTACACTGTCTCCGTCTCTGCCTATAATAAAATTGATCATGGACCGTCGTTTTCAGTTGATGTGAGAACCGACGAAGGAAGTAAGTGTCATTTTCAATATAGAACCCGATGAACCAGATCTTTTATGATAACAGAAAATACGTCTCAAAATTGCATTGCTGGATTTGTGATTCCAAAAACAATGTTATAAAGCTGATATAATTATGTAAAGAGGCTCATAACATGAAATCTTCTCTAGCTCCTCGCGATCCTCCCGACGTTTTTGAGGCAAGAAACTCTAGTTCATCAAGTATCTATCTGAGATGGCGTTCTCTTTAATAATTCTGTTAAAATGGAGTATTTTTGGCTACGAAGTTACTTACATCCCGTTGAATTATAAACATGCGAAAAGCGAGACGATACGTTTAAAAGAAACGGAATACAACATTACTGGCCTTTTTTATTATTGGCAATATAAAATTTCAGTTGGAGGATACACAAGATTTGAGTTGGAAAACAAGCAGTGCTAACAATTCGTACGGATGAACACAGTAAACGCTTAGTTTTATTATTTATTGTTTGTTTTTTTGCATGAAATAAATTGAGACAAAAGTGCCATTAGAAAACCGGCCAAAAATATGATTTGTTTTTTGGATTATCTAAAAAACTTTTTTTACATATATATGTTAAAAAATAGTAGAAATAGTTACTTTCCAAATGAAATTTACCAAATTTTCCATAAAAAGTATAGTTACAAATTTCTTTTCTGACATTTAGTTCCAAGACGCTCTCCTGAAAATGTCCGTGCCGAGGTAGAAACCTCGACTAGTATCTATGTAGATTGGGCAAACGTTACTTCCAACTTCGTTCATGGAATACTGCTGGGTTATAATGTCGCAATTCAGAGAACAAAGGATGAGTCAACACGCTATGTGGATGCTCCTCCCGGTGAAAAGGATAGACCCATCTATGTGACAAATTTGAAAAGTACACGGAGTATACAATTTGGGTGCGTGCAAGAAATTCGAAAGGCATAGGTCAATTGAATTCTCCCGATGGTTTTCGATTGAGAACTAAGGAAGATGGTATGTTCATTTGCGGTCACAGCTTTTATAAACCAAGATCTAGAACAAGAAGGGTAGAATAAAGTTATTCATACTGATGCTGAGTATAGGTTTTCAACCAACATTATCCTTCAAGGAATAAAGCTCATTGTGCTGCTCGTTATGAATGATCACTTCTGCATTTGAAATTTTGTAGCACCGGATGCAGCACCTTCCAATATCAGAGTTTCATCCATGGTATCCATTTCAGTTATAAAATTACAATGGGATAAAATCCCGAGGATAAAGCAAACGGTATAATACGTGGATACTATATTGAATACACAGCAACCAATCTAAATGGTCAAAATGTGGAATTAAATGAAAGGGTGACGAAGACAGTCCGTGTCAGAGGCAATCGCGATTCAATAGACTTAGAAAATCTTACACCTGGATCATCTTATGATATCACAATATTTGGCTACACAATTAAAAACGGAACAAAAAGTAATTTGAAGAACGGACGTAAGTGTACACTTGTGCAATTACTACGATGCCCTTATTGTTGTTTATACTGTTTTTAATGTCGATTTTATTTTTGCTCTTGACTTCCATTCTCAACTTTCGTGATAAAGTATCCTTAAATTTGTCTTACATGTAATATCACCTAAGGACTTCACATTATTTAACATCTTTGTTTGCTGTGACATTTACAGATAATTTAATGAAAAGCTTGAAGTTTCAACAACATTATTGATTTTATAGGTACCTGCAATTGTCCCGAATATATAAAAGTTAATTGGTGGAATATTCCTCCATATACGGACCAAAGTATAGAGAGTCCTGGAGGTATATTTGCTCATACAGTCGATTTTTTAATTGACATGTGTGGAGATTGTAAAAATGGTCATGGTAAGAGTAAACCTTGTTACCGTCCGGGCTGCAATCAACCGTCTTCTCGAAGACGTCGAGCAATCGACTCGTACCATCAAGAAAGTTTTCAGAATTTTTTGAATAATATCAATGACGATGTAGACGTCAGTTTTCCTGTTCAAGGAAATAAGTATTTGACACATCATGGTGGTATTCAGCCATATGTTTCAGTCGTAGAAAGTACTGGATCAGTTTATTTTACTGTCAAAACCCCATCAACTGCTCATGTTATTGTGAACGCTGCGGTTGAGTCCATTCCATTGTTACTTTTATTCTGCTTTTATCAATTCTTGCCGGTATGATCATTTGGATATTGGTAAGCACGTTTATTTATCTCTTCCTAATTTTATTAATCAAATCATAAAATGCTTATGTTGCACTTCTTCGATATGTTTGTTTATGTTTCTTGTTAGGAGCGTTCTTCAAATCCTTACAGTTTTCCATTGTCATTCGTGAAAGGAGTAAAGGAAGGATTTTGGTGGGCTTTTATTTCAGCCAGCACTGTCGGGTATGATAAATAAATTTCAACCTTAGACAGATATAATGCAATTTGGAAGACAAAGATAAGAACTCCAAAGAAAAAGTAATACATTTATAATCCGATGAAAATTGCACTTTTTTCAAAATAATTTGGATAAATAGTTTAGGTGGAAAACTCTTAGCTATATATTTTATGATAAATTGTTTATAAAACTAATTATACGTTAGTGCTAACGTTTTTAGACTATAGGATATTGGAGTTGAATGTTTGCTTAAACTTTGACAAGTGACATTTAGTTTATTATCCAATACTTTGAAAATCACTGGAATAAATTTGAGGAATGATTACCTATAGAGCAATGATTTATCCTAACGGTTTTTAAAGAATGCTTCTGGACGTTACTTAAGTATTTTGTTTGTTTTAGTTATGGTGATAGACGGCCAGTTACAATACCTGGTAAGCTTTTTGCCATAATCTGGATATTAATTGGTAACGTCATTATCACATTACTCACCAGTTGGATGGTCAATTCGATTACTTTGGTCCTTGTTGAACAGCGTTACTCTATTTACGGTTCAAAGGTGGGTTATGAAAGAAACAGTTTTGCACAAATTCTAGGCTATGTATATGCTACAATACCCAAATTTTTCATTTTTGATTTTTTTCTACAGTTTTCAAACCTAACTTTGTATGTAACAATTCAATCATTTTTTTGATATATTGATCTGTAATGATACCTCGTAGATTGCAGTTGTAGAAAATTCGACTGAGTACGGTCGTGCAGTGCGGAAAATGGCCTGGGTAAGAAAAGTTTTTTATTTTATTCTGTTTCATTACTTTTTTGCATACATGGGTTCTAGTAAACTATCATTTGTTTTGTTTTCATCATGAAATTTATGAATATGTAGATGTTGCGTCTAATTTTGATGCTAATTTGTTCCAGTGGTAGGATATCCTAATGTGGACAAAGTTATTGAAGCATTGAAGAAAGCTAAAGTAGACGGTGCATTGCTGGATATGTATGCTGCAGCGACAAGAAAAGATTTGTTTAGTAGTGGTGAGATCAAATTGAATAGACAGGTCCAATATCCATCTGGATATGGTATTGTTTTATCGGGAAGAATGAAAGAGTCAGCGCAATGATAAGGGAATGGTTTAAAGCAAAAGCTAGTGAATTATTTGAAATCATTCAAAATAACACTGATGTAATAACTCAGGTAAATTACTCACGATAATCATCAATAGACGACTTACAACATCAATGTACTGTGGACCTAGTTTACAATGGACTATAGCCATCTTATTTTTATTTGGAATTCTTGGATTACAACCAACCTCCAGGGAATCATCAAAGAATGTGGTTTGCCCACACCGGCTGGTGCCAACAATAGCATGAAAACCTTTGTGTTAAACCACCAACGTGGCGGCCGTGACTTAACATGCACACCGAGAATATATATTCTTCTTGCTTTTATGTTTTATTTATTTTAATCTATTCTGTTATTTTCTCAACTCAAAATCTTCTCAAATTAAAAATTACATAATTCAAGTTTTAATTTTTTGCTCACAGGAAAGTATTGTCGATGGCCAGAATTATTGAGAAAACTTAGGACAAAAATTCCCAGACTGGTCCCCTCCCTGACAATCTAGAAACTCTTTTCTCAATCTAAAATGTTACGCAGATTTCGATGAACTGTCAACAACATTTCCAATCAATTCTATTGTATTTTCGTCTTATAGAAAAACAACAGAGTAAAAGAAGTGGCGTCGATAAAATCCGGTTTATTTGATGTGTCATCTCGAGCTTTTCGATTGAGTATTGTCATTATATTTTCAATGCTTGCGTTCTGTTTCTTGGCTGGATTGTATTGGCAATACAAATACCACTACAAGGCTTCAAAGTCTGACTTCAACTACAAAGTAAGTTTTCATAGAACCTACTTGCAAAATGATAAAGTTAATCTTTCTCTCCGGAGAGCAATTTTTTGTTATGAAAAGAGGAGTTGCCTGAGCTTTTTCATTTATTTTGACTTTTTAACGCTGATATAGCCTACACGTGTTGCTAATATACGACCATATATGTGTATTAAATGATCACTGATTTTCTTAGTTCATCCAACTGTCTATTTTCACTCTTTTCTTCCCTCCAGGTGAAGCACCTTCTTATCCCAAGTACAAAATATTGCGAGAGGATTTCAAACGATTACATGAAGAGGAATTAAAAGATCTTAAGAACAGATTAATCATGTTAAAGGCAAAGCATATGAAAGAACTGAAGCTCTTAACCAAACTTAAAAAGGAATCAGTTCACTCTTTGCCCACATCCTCACAGAATAAACAAGTGTCTGGAAGCGTCAGCTTTGTAATGAAGTACACTTCTGTCTTCCTCGTTGTTCTGCTTCCGTTGCACCAATTTCAAACTCACAAACCAACATTGCGTTGAAAGTTATGGACTTAGATGAAGGACATGGTGCAAATAAACTGTCCGAAGATTCTGAGGTTTAATGAGTGCTGTTTTGATCTTCATGCAAAATTGAATGTTTTATAGTCTGAACTTTGTTACCTGTAGTTTTTAGTGTTTATAGTAAATGTCGTACTGCATGTTGTAGTTTAAAAAAGATGACTTTGTCTATAATGATGAAACCTAATATAGGTAAAACTATATGTATTTAATTTCTGGTTTCTTTACCTTTAAAATTAGATTTAGCCTACATAATTCGATTTAAAATCTAATACAGCTGTCAGTCTAAACTGCCAATGTTTCAATTTAGTAGCAACCTCTCTTCTCCATTTCTTGGTTACCCAAGAGGAGCCAGAGATTTTTAATTGCCCCATACGACCGTCAAATTAAGAAATAAAATCTCTCATATAAAACCGAGTTTTACCTAAAACTGGAGATAAGCAGCTTCAATATAACAGGGACAGGTAGCGTTCCAGTGGCTTTACCCATGTTACCATACGCTTTGAATTAAATATTGACAAATAACCCATTGGACCTCATTGGACCTCATTGTCATGGACTCTACCCCAAAATTTTAAGGTCAGTGAGTTTTGTAGATTTCAGGGGGGGGAGACGTACCGAAGTATATGCAACATTATATCGGAAAAAAATAAAACTATGCTAGTTGAAAGTATTTTAAAAATTGAAAGTCTAGTCAGACTAACATAACGGCTAAAAAAAACAAAGATTTAATTCACAGATCAAAGTGCATGTCTATTAATTACACTGGTCAACAAAAAGAAACTTTTTAAAAGGTGTCTGATATTTTTTGACAGATTTACTATATTTTTGCTATGCTAAATCTAGAAATAACATTCATTTTGCTCTCGGAGGTCAAATTTTTTTGCAAATTTGAATTTAAAATTATGCGACTTTAGTTATATTTTTTTAAAACAATGTTTTCAAGATTTACATGTTTTCAAGATGTTTCAAAACAAAATGTCAGTTTTTATGATAAAATTGCAGTATTCCAAGAAAGAATCATGTACACTTCATGTACAGTACATGTAACTAAAAATGAAAACTTAATGTTTGCATTATTACGGTCTAAATTTTCGTTTTTTTTGATTGTTGCGAATGTTTTGGTGCTTCCACATCTCTTTTTAAATTCCAACAGAAGTCCGCCATCATCACCATGTCCCACCTTTCTCTTAAGTCATGGTGAAAGCGCTCTCCTTGCTCATCGCTTAAAGAGCCAAGATTTTCGGGATCAATACCAGCTTTTAATTTTTCAGTTGACAAATTGGGGAAGGTTTTACAACGAAACTGAAAACACCGTCCATCTTTATCCAAAGTTTTAGTGAATTGCCTTATCAAACCGAACTTTATGTGCAGTGGAGGAAATAAAATACGTCCCCTGTCAACTAGAGGCTTGTTTATCACATTTTTTGCTCTACAACTTGCAAGCTCTTCACGTACTGGCCATTCTTTTTTCACGTAATGATGAGTACGATCTCTACTATCCCAGAGGCATAAAAAGCATGGGTATTTGGTATATCCAGACTGTTGACCAAGCAAGAAGTTGACCATTTTTAAGTCAACGCAAATCAGCCATTTATGTTGGTCATAAGAAATTTTTTCTAGGACGTACTTAATTGCTTCATGCTGTTCTTTTAATGTTGTCGAATGTGCCAATGGCACAGATGCAAATTGATTTCCATTGTGTAACAACACACATTTCAAGGACCTTTTGCTGCTGTCAATAAAAAGTCGCCAGTCCTCTGATTTGTATTCAGGTACGCCGAGATGTTTCAGTAGCTCTACAATGTCATTGCGATAGACTAATTCTTTTTCTTGAGCAAAATATCTTAAAAATTCCTGGTGCCTTGTACGGAAGAAACTTACCTTAACTTTACCATTTAGCATGTTCTTGTCCTTTAAACGAGATGCAAGAAGTTCGGCAGAGTCTTTTGGCAAATTTAAATCGCGAACAAGATCGTTTAGTTCGTTTTTGGAAAACAATTTTGGCTGCTCATCATTGTCATTGGGAAAGGATGCATCATCGGTAGTGGCAATGCTTTGAGTTTCATCCTGGCTACTACTGCTTTCTTCAATACTTGTATCTTCAAATACAAGTACGGGAATTTCTTCACTATAAGGAGTAGGGCGCATAGCTGACGGTAGATTGGGATACTCCAGTGTTGTGCGATTTTTTCTGTTAATTCCCATGACATTGATAGCACAAAAGTAGCAATCGGTTGCATGATTTAAGGCTCTCGCCAAATCATAGGGATGCCAAAGTTCATGGACTTTGCGTGCCTTTGATCCATTGACGGATATGCTCTGTGCATCTTTTGCAAACCATGTGAGGTGCCCAACTTTGTCTTGATCGCCGAGCTTCATGCCAAAATATGCATAGTAAACGCGCTTGATAAAGTTGGTGACAGTATTGCGATTTGGTGCAAGTGTGTATTCACCACAAACATAGCAAAAAACATCTGGCTTATTTTTATTATTTCTACTTTTTATTATTTTTTACTTACATTAATATGTTGGTGTGTTTTAACAAGTTTTACCAATGAATTCCAGTATGGGCTAAATAAAGCCTTATTTTATCTTTAAATATCCCATAATAATCGCAAAACCTAAACTCCCTAATTGAAATTCAATCAATAATTGCTTATTCAAATGCTTTCTTCTTTGTATTGCTAGTGCTAAAAAATTTAAATTTGTTCAGATAATAGAACTTTAAAAGGTAAATGGTTAGTACTTCTGTTGTACCTTTCTCGGGTATTTAAAAGTTAAAAAATAGAAAATTAACGATAGCTTAAAATCTCGACCTGACCCAGCAAAAATAGTGTTATTTTTGGACTCAGCACATCAAAATTGTCCAAAATCAGTTTACAAAACTGAGACACCAAATTTGCTGTTGACCAGTGTTATTGAAGTGTTCGTGCAGCAGCAGGACAACAGATCAGTCTGTGTATCATTAATCATTTATCATTTCAGTGTCATCATTTGGAGCTACCAAATGAACTTGAACTTGGCCTTCTTTACTTTTACACATGGCCGGCACCGATTGGCACCTAAAAAAAATTGTTTGAAATGGTCAACGGTGATACCATTACAAAGTAAACCTTGAAACCTTTTAATATTAAATTGCTTTTCCTACCGTATTTGATCCCGAGCTTAGAACTCAACTGCTATACAAGATTATATTTTGTGCCGGCTAAAGCTATGGTCATGGTAACTGTCAGGCCCTTTTAGCTTAGCAAGAAGTTCTCTCGATTAATTAGTTCGACTATAGCCGGAATTTTTTACCAGAATTGCTTAGACGACAGCTAGATACACCGACAAGTATACCAACTTTAATATCGCATATTTTATTAAGTTTTATAAGACTATAGGTAAACCACTAAGGTTAATTTCAATTTTGTGGATTAAATCATGACTTATATCTTTATTGCAGAGCGTGTTTTTTAGAAAATATTGGTGTTTCTTTATAATCGGACATAGATGTACGGTACGGGTAGTAAGTTGTTCATGCTTTAAGGTGTTATCACCAACGAAGAGCATTCAATTGATACTATTGAAATTTAACACATGATCAATGCTACTGCATAAAACTTTTGCACAACTGTAACAATACTACTTCAAGTGCGAGCTGGATAATTCTTCATTAACAAGTGTTAAGCGACTATGAAGAGATCATGTGTTAAAAGTTGCTCTTCGTGCGTCAGAACTAAGTGTTAAAAATGATAAATAGTATTGTACAAATGAATAAATACCAATGAATACATGTCGTATTTCGTACAGGAACTGAGAAAGTCGGAAGAGTAAATTTAGGCAGCTTGCAACGCGGCTAATTTAATTTAACCTGGTCACGCAAACTTTGTAAAGCAATACGCAAAAATCACGTGGTAGAAAGCGCATGAATTTCTCTTACGCACGATGGTCAAAGTTTGGTGAGCCAGATGATATATGGTTGGATATACTGAGGTATATTTTGGTGCGTATATGGTTTTAGAAGCTATGATTAATTCTAGATCGTCTAAGGAGCTTGTAGCCGAAAATTCATATGACTTTTTGGGAACTTTTACGGAAGGCAAAGTTTTGATTTGGACTTATTTACTGCTTGCTCTGTTGGCAAATTTGAATACATTCAACAATTGCTCAGAAATGACTCGCGCACTGATATTGTTAACATAAAAAACGAAGGAGGCTGGTCACCATTGATGTATGTGTGCTATATTGGGAATTATGAAATCACCGAATTACTCGTCCGTGAAGGTGCTGATGTTCTGTTTGAAGAGAAAGAATATGGTCGAACGCCATTGATGCTGGCTTCATCTTCCGGCAACATATATCTGGTGAAATTTTTAATAAAAGTACGTTATATTTAAAGTATTTGATAGTCTTCATGTGTAATTGCTTTGATTGGTTTCTTTGTTCGAAAGAAATGCTATTGACATTCAAAATGTGGTGGCAATCACAGAAAGTGATTTTTTATATCAAGAAATTTACTTAAACTGTTGAATTGTTTTTTATAAAGGCACAATTTATTTAATATAGTTATTATATTTGTCATTTTCTAGAATTTATGATCTTGTTTGTAAAAATTGCCTACTGTGTATTGTGTATGAATTTAGTATTTTCTAGTCAATGACATATTTTATTAACGTGTTCACAGAATTCAATTCATTTGGGGCATGAAGTCATGTGGCCTAACCGGCGTAATAGGAAAGCGGAAATTAAAAAAAAAGACAACTCAAATGCTCTTTTTGCACTTGGATTAAACGATGGGTTTTGAAAACTTTTGCCAAAGAGTGTTTTTGTTGACAGTAAATTTTGTGTTTCATTCATTATTGCACAAGACAGGAAACTCATAGCCACATTGCTTTCAGAGATTAGAGATAGTTATAATCACCAAAATCCTTCCAAAATATTTTTATATTTTATTAAGAATAGAGCCCAAATCAACCAAAGGGACAGACATGGCCAAACTGCTTTATACCATGCTGCTGAACATGGTCAGACAAAAATTGTTGAATATCTACTAAGTATTTCTGCAGATGTTTTGATAAGGTATTTTGATTTTTGCTTATTTCGTAATGTAAACCCTCATGAGTATTGACAAGCTAGGACAAAAGTTTTCAAATGTTTGTTTTTATGCTACTATTATTGACATGTGTTTTTAGTGCAGCATGAACAGCACATTGATCATGACACAGTTTATGGTTGAATTATCTATGCATGATATTTTTCAAGCACAGATTCAAACTAATGTCATATATTTTAAATGTTAACAATATTTTAGGCAGAATGGAACAGGTTACACTCCATTTATGGAGGCAGCAAAACAAGGACATGAAGCTGTTTTTAATGCATTTTTGGATCATGTAAGTATACAATGCTTGCTTACAAGAAGCTATACCTTACAGATATTTTGTAGCAATGTTGTGGATCATCAAACACTATCTTCATACTGAACAAAGTTATGTGAGTCTTTTTAAATTCTGGTGGAATTTGGTCTTTTATAGGATGTTGATTTGGGAGTTTTATCCAGTCAAGGTTACACTGCTAGAGACTTGGCAGAGCAATGTAACTCTCATGTAATAGTGAAAATGATTGACAATCATCAAATCAAGTCTCGATATAAAACAGGTAAAATAAATTTAACACAAATCATGTATTTCTAGGCTTACTAATAAACTCTTTTCAAAATGCAGTTCTCTATATTCGCAGACATACATTAGAACTCTGATAACTTGAACTCCCAAAGAAAATGGGAAATTGCTTATGTTTAAGAAGGTTAGAGTTAGCAAGAGTGTTTTTCAATATTGAATATTAGGTCAATATAAAAGCATTTGGAAGTTTTACTGTTTGCTTACAATTGTGAGCTATAGCAAAGCAAGACACATATGTACAGATAATTCAAGATGATCTGTGTTTTAAGTACAAACTGGGTACATAAGCTGATCAGTGATATCAAAGTTGTATGCTATTGAGGCAAATTGTTCATAATGATTTCTTGTTATTTAAGTGAAATTTAGACTTTTGACTTTAAAATTTCAACCTTGAGGACCCTCCAAGGAAGGGCAGTTGTGAAATAACTTGTGAGTTTGCTAGGATTTATGTTAAGCAAGTTTCAGTTTTCAGGGTTCTACTGTACAATTCCTTTTCAATGTTGTCCTTAGAGGTTTAATGTCACTCTTAATAAACATGTTATAGATTTGAGTTGTATTGGCAATACCAAACAACCACATCAAAAGGTCAACCAGTGGCTAAATGATCATAATCCAGATCATTTTTATGATGATATTCTCACAAATAAATTGTAAGCATTGTTTTTTTTGTGATTGTAGTTAATCAATTTTCATTATTTCATTAATATCAAAAATGACAAGATAACTTAACTATTTGCTGATTTGATTTTCTTATTAATTCATGTGTTTTTTTACTTCATGTAGTGATGTATGTGAAGACATCAACTCACGGCTACCTATTTACTGTATTTCAACTTTTACTTTTATGAAGAAAAGTTTTTTACTGTTAAGGTCTATTTACTCTGCAAAATCAGGCGCAAACTGGCTAATTAGGTGCCTTGCCATTTCAACAGCGAGGATCCCCAGAAAACCATTTACAAAAAATTTGGAATTTGGGACTTTGGAGTCTCTAAAATGCATTTGCCTTTTCCCTTTATGCAATTTTAGATTTAAAATTTCATTTTTTAAAAAAGAGAAGTTGTTGCATTTCCTAGTAGCCCCTATGCTATGACACAGGCCTGTCCGAGCATATGTCTCAACTGGAGCACTGGTTCAGGCTGTAACTTTATCCAAGATTACATAAACAAGCTTTTAGATAAACTATTTGTAAACTTTAAATGACACAATATTTTTGTTTTATAAAGACCAATAATGCCCTCATGTGGAATTCCAATTTGTTCTCCTTACAAACATTATTCAGTTGAGGAAAGTTTGGGCAAATCATATGGAGGTAAATCCAAAAAATTGATTATCTACCAATGAGTGCTTATGTCTTTGTTAGAATAGGTCATTTTCGGTTATTTTCGTAAATTTTTAGTACAAACATAACAAAATTTACTTAAAATATGTTTCTTGAGTAATTTTATGCAGTTGTAGCAGTATATGATATCAAAATGCTTGTCAGAGAATTTGCCAAATGTGTTAATTACTTCTCCAATTGTTTAATAATTAAAAATAGAAAACATTCTAGCTTGATTCTATATAGTATTAAAATACCCTGGAATGTTTGAGTTTGGGAGAAACGAGATATTGCGTGGCAATGGGCAAACACGAACACGAAGTGCAATAGTGTTTCAAGCGATTTCGAGTTTCTCTCAAAATTTCATTTGTTCTATTGTACTTTGTTTTGTAGAAAACCTTTATTAAATGTCTTTCTCAATACTTTATTGGTAGCTGCATACTTTTTGTTTCCTAACATGTTTTTTAACTTGTCGGCAATGACGAAATATACATTAATTGTAATGAATAATTTTTTAATCCAGACATGTGTATATGTATATATTTGTGTGTGTAATTAACTAACATGAAATTTTGTTTTAAAGATTCGACGATTGTTGACTCTGATAGAACACCATTGGGTACGCCTGTAGACAGCATGTTTCAACAGTACGTGTGGAACGACAGATTTTTACAGACTAACTTATTTATTTTCTCTAATAGTTGAACTAAGAGTGATTTTTTAGCTTCATAACAACTTTAACAAATGCGAAACATGGAATAACACATAAAAATTTTCTAGGTATATGTCTGCTGATCTTTTTCTTCATCGTTCTTCTTATAATCATCCCACGTTGCAGACGTTTTTAAAGGATTTAGGCTTGGAGAAATATGTCAAAACATTTAAAGATGCACATATCGACTTTGATTTACTACTTTCGTCAACGGAAGAAGATTTTAAGGAGCTTGGAATAGTGTAAGTTGCAGTTTTTTATTTAAATGTAATGAGTAACGTATTCCGACGTTTTCTCCCGCTTTGCGAACATTTTTGCATTCACTGATTGTAAAAACAAGAGGTTTTTCAGCAAATGAATGATTGAAAATTTCCACAGAGATCTGACTACGCTACACTATATAAAATGCAGCTACTGTGGCGTAGTCGGCTTCCAAGTACGGTTTTATTAAGAAAAACAGATCATTGACATTATTGGTTTCTATAGAACACACAAATATTTATATAGCATGACCAAAGTATTTCAGCAGGTTTTCGACAAATCTTTAGGACACCTGCAAGGTAGTGTTACAGACAATATAGGGAACAAACAGTGGCATAAAACCACTGAAAAACAGTCAGCTGCATTTTATGACCAATAGTAACGCTGAAACAGCCAGCAAAATCAATACAACACATTTTGAATAGTCTTTCAAAAACTTTTACAGCGCATTATCACAAGCTTTCATAGAGCGAGGTTTTAAAAACCTTTACAGCATCATAGCTCACTATAAACTTTAAAAATATTTAATTAATTGGCACGTTTTATTTTAGTAAAGTTTATTTACTTGAAATAGAATGAAAGTCTCCCTATAAAATAACCATAAATTTTAATTTCACGTCATAACAATTTGCAAACAGGCTGGGTCCAAGACGTAAACTGAAAATGGCCATTGATCAATGGAAGGAGGACAAAGGATGTGTATGTAGTCATATTGATGACACACGAATATGTGATTCATCATGGGGGGAGGACAAAGGATGTGTATGTAGTCATATTGATGACACACAAATATCTGATTCATCATGGGGAGGACAAAGGATGTGTATGTAGTCATATTGATGACACACAAATATCTGATTCATCATGGGGAGGACAAAAATGTATGTGTATGTAGTCATATTGATGACACACAAATATGTGATTCATCATGGAGGAGGACAAAGGATGAGTATGTAGTCATATTGATGACACAATGAATATGTGATTCATCATGGGGAGGACAAAAATGTGTATGTAGTCATATTGATGACACACAAATATGTGATTCATCATGGGAAGTAAATTGAAAAGTGGTTTTAACCTGTGGTATCGTGTACGACCAACGAGTGTGGTTTTGGAAAATTGCATAGTGAAGCTGCAAATATCGAATCCTCGTGTTAAGAAAACCATTTTATTTATGTGCAACATGAAACATTTTTAACATTCATATAATTTTATTTCACACAGACTAAAGAAAGAAATACACCACTTGTCTTGAAGTGAACGATGTTAAAGTGCAATTAGCAGATGTAAGTTAACAATAAATATACTTTTAATGCCTTCTTAAATTTTTAGACGTGAAATCAACCATTTGTTCGTGTGAACAATGTGTTCTTTACAAATCAGGGACAACGGTGCTTGACAATTTACGTAGATATTGTGTTTCCATGAGAAAAAAAAGAGAAACGTATTACGTATTTCTTTTTTCATCAATTCTTTACAATCTGTTACATGATTAGTTAAATAGGATGCAGATATAGCTCTAATCTTCTCTACATTGCTAAAATCATTTCTAATGGTTTATGAAAGTGCTCATTATTTCTGTAGATTGAAAATGATAATGAATTGAATTTTTTATGATTAAGGTTTATTCTAAACTTGAACACATAAATGCAGAACTCGTGCACGAGAAAGAAGCAAGGCATCACTCGAAGCTGAACTAATGGAAGGAAGAGCGAGGAAAAATCACATGTATTTCATTGGAGAGAAAGTCATAAGGGCCTGTAAAGATATGTTAAATGTAGCCAGGATATGAAGTAATAATATGATGAAATTACTAAAAGTTATTTTTAAGTTCAATTTTACTCTATCCAGGATTAATTTGCCATGTACATTTCTGGCTCACTGAGAAATTTTTTTTCAATAATTTTTGTAGAAAACATGTTGATGAACTAAAATTAGTGGCAGCAGATTGCAAAGAAGATGAAGTAAAATCAAAACTAAACGAACTATTTAAACTTATGAGTGAGAATGTCGTCAATACCAACTACACTACCGAAACAATATCACGAAGAGTGGAAAAGTTATTATCTGACGGCATTAGCGAACAATCAAGCAATTCTGACTCACCAGAATCGTCGTACTTCCTTTAGTAAATCTGAAAGTGGTTCAGGGAATGTCGAATAGAAGGATAAGTTAGCATCAACTATTTCTATTTTGTTATTTTCGATGAATTTCATGAGGTGCAACGGCAGCGATATTGTTTAATAACTTCAAGACTGAACATTATTAACAAAACCGTAGATTGAACATAAATATACGTTTATATGTCCTCGTTGAAAAATCTGCTGCTTTTATGTCTCGTAAATTTTCGCTGTTTGATGACATAGTTGAATCACGTTGATAACTAGCCCAATACCAATACATGAGATGATTTGTACATATGTCTTGATTTGCTGTGGATATCTATTGTTCATTCGCAATTACGTTGTACTTTGTTATTTAAGATATTATTTAGTATCGTGTAAAATAAATTACAAAAACAAAATAATATCTATAGTCCATCAATGTGTGCATTTGTTTATACTCCTTTATAGTAATTTTGGTATTAATCGGTCGTAATAAATGGTGAGAGTAGAACCGAGAAAAATAGAGTTTGGGACGATTTGTGTTAAACCAAGGTTTGGATGAACAGAAATGTACAATAGGATTGACTTTTCACCATCGCCATGGTAGGGTTCCGACCAATGGTTCCAACACACCGGATCTTTAGTTTTCACAGTTTCCACATTTATAAACACGGTTTTATCACACGTTAAAATGTGTGATAATCTCGAGGACTTCTTACTTTTCTCAACGTAAGCACAGTCACGTGACATCAAGCGTAAGCAAGGACGTTTGGCAAATGACGACAGTTACGTACTCCGTCATTTGATTGAACAATGAGCACAAAGCACGTTTTTTGAGTCTCTTAATATTTTATAGAGAAATATTAATTATGCGATTATTGCAAATATGTTCGCTGATCTGCTTCATTTGGAAGCTATAAACTTATTAGGCTATCCATATGCACGCTCGTTCCTTTTAGTTTGTAATTTATATTTATAAAATGCGCCATGATCACTGGTCATGATGCTCTGTAAGTTTGATGTAGTTTAAAGGCAAGTTATAGATTAATGAAGATTGTCAGTAGCTTATGACTTCTTGTCCATGGTTGCAAGAGTGGTAGTAAAAAGTAGCCTGTGTGATATACGAAGAGTATACCATACGTCCATCGCTTTCAACTTGTTACTTCTGTGTTTGCATTAAATTGCTGACCTGTTTTATATTATGTTGTTTTATTTTACAATACATTCCCCGTTTGACAACTTAAGAATTGAAATTGATGATGCCATGATTGAAGACAATGCTCTTTGCGTAACCTATAAATGCACTAGATGTTAAGTTGCAACGTTTTAAACTCGCAACATATATAACCAGTAACTACAATTTTAACATATTAATCATGCGTACCTTTTGGATTTTATAAAATGGGCAATTATTTGCACATGTCTCAGGATTGCTGTCGAGCACTGTTTGGCCGCATGAGCATAAGGATGGCAATACACAGTTGGTGTTTGCAGTTTTTCTTGAAGTGTAGCTCGAAGTGCGTCGGTGTATCTATATGAGGAATCGTGTTATTTACATATATTTACTGCAATTATTAGCTATATATGGAGCTGTTTGTGGTTCTTTTCTTATGGCACCATACCTTGATATTTCTCTTTCTTTGTTGCTTTTGCGCTCTTTTTATGATATCACGATCATAATTGTGTTTCATTAGTGTTGTTTCTACCAATGACTAATAATAAAAACAAATAACAACAAGAATATACCGTCTCTTGAATCATGTTGAAAAAATACATCATCGACATTCGCACAATAAAACAAAACTACAGCTGGGATTTGAACCTTTTCCTGCGCAATTTTATGTCTCTTCAATTAATCCGTCAATTTTATGTTCGACTTCCCGTCGTTTTGACTCTGAGTTTTTAAGTCTAAATAAAGCAATATCACTAAAACTTTAGGATAGTGTTAAACGAAATGGTTGAACCCATTATTTTATTCATCACACCTAATCATCCGTTTTCTGTGTTCCTTCATCCGCAAGTTTTCCCGAACTTGTTCTTTCAATTTCCATGAATAATTTCGGTAAATTGCGAGTTGATTTTGCACCTGCATAAACCATAAAGTAAAGAAAGATAGACAAAACAAAAAGTTGTCATTCCATTCATGAAAATTACACATACTTGTTGTTTGACTGTTGCTTTTCTATTCCCGCGCGCATTAAATCTCCTTCATACTTCATCGCCTTCAACTTTGCCAGAGAAATATCCTATATAAATGTTTTATACATCACACGTCAAAGAAATTCACAATGTTTGATCACTAAATAGACGGGGAAAATTTTTATGAAATGAAATCCGTTAATTAATGCTCTACGAATCTTAATATTTTTCGATGTATAAAATTGAGAATTTTTTATGCTCTAATGTCGCTAATACAAATAACATATATTTACGACTGAGAATAGTTTGGATTTTATCATATCCAATAATTCATTAAGTTTGAACATATAAATAATTTGGACTGCAATACATTCTATTTTTTTCTAGTAAAAGTAGTTCTTTCTTCTATAATTTTGTGTTGAGTTTAAAATAACATCGTCAGGATAAGCATTTTACGTACGAAAAAGAATCGCACTAATTATGTATTGTTATTATCACCATTAATGTTACCAATTCCAGCTTGCAGGTTATTTGGTTCATTGTGATGGTCTCTCTCAAAGATAAATTTTCTAATTCGTCTGTCACTTGCTGACACACATTAGGCATGAACGCTAAATCCATCTTGCCATTCTTTATCTAACATGTTTGGTTGGGTTTGAATGTAGTATTTCTGCCAGCTTCATCCTTTAAAATGATACATATTTTTTCAAACATTTTGTACTGCAAGTTCAATTCAACTTTACATTATTAATCCAACAAATTTATTTAGATTAGGCATGTGAAGGGAAGAATGCTTTGTGAGATTTTAATAACCATAACAGCTCTTAAAGTTTTGAATATAATTGGAAATTGTGTTCTTACTTGAGGCAATAAAAATAATTTTTCACTATATCAAATCATTATAGACTAGTTAAAAGATGTTTTACTGGTTAATGAGTGAATTGATGATAATTTTAGATATTCAAATTGGTATCAAAAACTTCAATACATGTTTATGTGCAGTAAAGTCCCCATTCCACATGCCTCCAGGAAGTTCTGTTAGCTTGTCCTGAATAAAATGCAAAAATTGCAAATGTAAATTTTTAACATTATGCAAACAGATGGTAAAATGAAACACACTTACAGAATCAATATTCAATATTTGTGAGCCTAACACAAGCCGTGCATGTCTTTTACACTTATGAACCTATCAGTTGAAATATATTTGAAGTAAGAATTGATAAAAAAAATAAAATCAAAAGTTAAATGAGGTTTTCAGGTACCTTTGTTGCTTGTTTATCAAAGAGTTTGTTTGCCATGTTCACCTCCTGAGGATCATTTACAACGCTGTAACAATGTTTAGAGCTGCCTGGTATGGCAACTTGCAGTTTTGCATGTCTCCTTCATGGTACAGGCATGTGTCTTTTTGCAGTTGCTATTTTTTGGAAATGAGCTTTGGTGAATTACTTTCTGTTGAGTGGACACCTTAACAGAATCAAAATACCAGAATAAACCGCTTTCTACAGGCTGCTCTTTTTGTGTAAATTTCCATTTAGGCTCATACCACTTCATATGATTTGTCCAATTGCTGGAGTTTCTTCATTTTTTCGTGCTTTTATTCTTTCTCTCACGTCATGTTGAAATTTCGTTAATCTTTATTTTTCTCTGCTTGAATTGAAGCAATTTTTTGTTCTTCATTAACAGCAGAATACTAATAATCATAAATCAATCCGTTCAATAAAATAGACAAACAACTTTTATAAAGTAAGAGTAAAAATCAGTGTCGTTGACAACTAAATTTAATTTGTTGGAGTTACACAAATGGAGTTACTAATTCATGAACCATGAAAACTCTGTTTCCCATAACCAATCAATTTCATTTCAATGTACCTGTGCATCATGAACTTGGTAACCTTTATGGGTTTCCTGTTCTGCCCACGCTCGACATGGCATTCTGCTGGTTGTGGTGGTGACGGACGTTGGGCTAAAATTCCAGTCGACTTCATTTATACTTCGATATTTAAAACACCTGTTTGCAACATCTTCAATTATATTCTATAATCTTCGATATAAATAAATCTCCACCAAGCCAGCAAAAGCTGCTGGTAATAAAAGACAAGAAACAACCATTACATTTCAAAAGAGCCGCCATTTTTTAAAATGACGTCATTACAATCTCAACATGGCGGCAGCGGGGATTGATTTTGGATACACTAGTATAGTTATTGGTGCTTGTAAGGTGTATAAATTTTTGTGTTTAAGTCTAATAATTAATCTAAGCTATGCAGATAGTATATAGTTCATTCTAGAGTAATCTCAATATCGGACGAAAAGACCTCTTCAAGGTTGTGTCAGTGTTCAGCATCATGTCAATGACCATTGTTATTGATTCAGAAGTCACTGAAATCAGGAATGATGAGACCAAATGGCATAAAAAAAACACTTTATTTTATGATCATATTGCTTATGCATATCAAACATTGTGCTTTTTCACATCTGTATAAATATGTTATATTCATTCATAAACATTATATTTAGGATGGCCGAATTGAGATTGTAACAACCACAGATACAGGAGAGTGGATTACTCCCTGCAATGGCAGCATTTACTGACAAAGAACAGGTATGGTCATAGAAGCTCAATATTCCAGTAATCTAAATAAGAATTTTTGAGCAATTTTTTGGGAAAAAATTAACTAATATTTTCTTTTCTCATACAATGCATAAAATGTACCACTTTAAATACAAAACTTGACTGTTTTAGTTAGGTGATGTAAATAAGCATTTTATAAATTCAATTGGTTGAGTGTATTGTCCCACACATTACTTTTACATTGTTACAATATAGATCATTGGTACATCTGCTAAACTTGGTTTGATAAGAAACTCTACAAATACCATCACAAACATCAAAGCAATGTTGGGAAAAGAGGTATTTCTAGTTCTAGTGCTGTTTAAATATTTAAAAATGGTATGTGCAGTGGCATAGCTAGCCTTCATATCTGGTTGTGCTATAAAAAATTCAGAACATTAGCATCATTTATTTCATGAGAAATGTATTGTTTTTAGAGCAAAGTCCTCTTGAAAACCGTACCTAAAATATTAATCGAGGGATGTTTATCTCATATATTTAGTTGTGCTTGATTGATTTCATTTGAAAGAGAATTGTCTCAGAAGAAATTGGTCGGTCACAACTGAATATATGAATAAAACATCCCTCTTCATTAAAGTTCTAGTGATGGCTCTGACCTCATGGTACATAAATCAAAGTTGAATAGGAGTTAATGGAGAAATGTATGAAATATATGTACAATGAAACATTTTATGGTTGATTCAAATTTCTAGCCATTTAGGAGAGTCTCAATGGTATAAAGGTCAAATGCAATGCCTTTAAATATTGTTTAGTTTGTATGCCAAATTAGATGTTCCAATGAAATTGACCAAATAATAATGAGATACTGGCAAGTGCAATTTTAGTGCATGTTTGAATTGCAACATTTGTGATTATGTTTTTCATCGCCATTGTGGGATGGATGCAAACAGCTCCTATTTTAATAGTTATTTACAAAAATTTTTTGCCCTTTACTAATGCTGCGTGTATGTTTGTATTTATATATTTTATCATGTACCAAAGTGTTTATTTAAATTTTAAGTTTATCAGATGAATTTTTTACGATATGGCCAAACGTTCCCTGGCAAAGGTTTGTGTTTTCATTTCAATTATTGAAGGTAGAAATTTTGTTTTAGAAAAAAGATTTCCACAATAGATACATTTTTATGATGATGTGCCACTATGCCCTCAAGACAATATTCACTTTACTTTGTCAACGTCTTTCTTAGATTATTCGAAGAGTGGGTAATATTTTTTCAAGTCACTCAAAAGGAAAGCAGATTCTTGTATCACCATCTGATATCATCCTTAGTATGTTCAAGAACATTTTAAGTAAGTTTTTATGTTGATGGATTTTGATTTAAGTTGATGTGCAACATTGATATTCTTACATGTTTCTAAATGTAGATCATCCAGGTTGGTTTAGTCCTGAGAAGGACTGTTTTATTGTTGACTGATGTTTCGACAACTTTAGTCATCTTCAGAGTCAATATTACTTGGTTACAGGTATTTGACTCTGTTACACTACTGCAGCTGTCGAAACGTCAGTCAACAACAACAAAACAGTCCTTCTGTGACTATACCAACCTGCACGATCTACATTTGCAAAACATGTAACGATACTCCCGCGTTCAAACCATTTACTTTATTGATATTCTTCCTATGAATTAAATTTGGTTTTTTCGTTTTCCGGGTTTTTTTATTGTTTTTCGTTCTATTTGTCATGGTTGCTTGAATGTCTTGAGCTGTACGTTGTTAAATATATTATTATCATGCGTGAATATTTACATAAATAGACATTTTGGTGTAGAAAGTATCCAAGCCTGTCGATGGTAGCGAGGCTAATCAACTTGTCTTGACTGTTCCTTACATTTCAGCGAAAAGCAGAGATTTGAGATGAAGTAAGAACTTACATTGTGAGCTATGCGTTGTTCGCCTTTGAATTAAGTGTATTTTATATCCAAGATAAGGACGCATATGCGTATTTATGAGCATTAAGAATCGTTAATTTAGAAATTCCGCTGAGAAAGTTGTTTCATGTTCTGCGAGTGATTCACGAACCTACTGCTGCTGTTTTAGCCTACGGTATGTGTTATAACTCAGCTTTATTTACTTATTATTTCACGAACCTACTGCTGCTGTTTTAGCCTACGGTGTGTGTTATAACTCAGCTTTATTTACTTATTATTTCATGTCTATTTCATCTTTATTTTCTCAATTATTTCCTATATGTTGTATATACTGGAAAGGATGAGTTGTCGCTGATGTTATAGATTTGCTTTGAAATTTTAAAATTGTCTTTTGAAAAAATTCTCATAGGTATTGACAGGACGATCCTTCTGTAAATAGGTGCGTCTTCTTCGATGTAAATTTTTATTCTGAAATAGTCATGTTTTACACAATGGAAATGTACAGGACAAACTCCTATTTACTTTTCTCGAAAATTGTTTATAGTTTGGTTTTGGTTTATCATCTTGGAGGAAGAACATTACAAGTCACCCTTATTTCTGTAAACAGTGGAATGTATAAAATTTTGGATTCGTTTTATAATAATTCCATTGGAGGAGAAAGTTTTGATGAGGTTTTAGTTTCACATTTAGCAGATGAATTTAAAAGGTATATGTCGCTTGAATTAATTTCTGACGATTTTTTCCCATATCAACGTGGAATTTTATATCTTTTGTAATTGATGCAACTATAAAATATGTATGTTTATGAATGAACTATATTTTAATCTTTACAAAAATAACTTGTTTTGATTTCTAAAAAATATTCACATTTTTATTATACTTTTTCCTGCTTACTGATTGCTTTACATTTTATCTTACGTACGTATGTAGAATATGGAAAGACTATAAGAAAATAAAAAGCTATAGCCAAACTTCGCTGGGGCAGAAATATGTAAACATGTTTTATCGTCTCATGCTACGGCGATGTGTTCTGTGGAGTCACTTCATGATGGAATTGATTTTCAATGTAATGTCTCCAGGTAAGTTAAGGATATTTTCCTTGAACTTTGTTAATCTAAACATCCATTTTTACTCTGTCAATGTGTGCAAAAAGTTTATTCATGTTTAAAATAGTGTCCAAAGTTCATCAAACTAGCGCAATTTTGTGTAGTCTGCCAATGTTAATCTATATACTTGTTGTCAGCCAATGATACTTATTCTATGTATTGTTTTAGCCAATGATACTTATTCTATGTACTGTTGTCAGCCAATGACTTTAACGCTATGAAATGTTCTCAGCAAATGATACTGTCTTCAAACTATAGCCAACAATGTCAAGCCAACAACGCTAACTCTATATTTTATGTCGTCAGCTAATGATTCTTGCGCTTTGTATTGTTGTCAGGCAATGATGCTGCAGCTTACTATTTGATGGAAAATTTTCTTTTTTTCTTGGTGAATTTTTCATAGTAAAATGTTTTTGAATGCCTTGTATTTATTCTACGTCTATGCAGAGCAAGATTTGAATCGCTAAGTTCTCAGTTATTTCAAAATTGTGTAACCTGTTAACGATTTGATGGAGAAATGCAACGTGAATCCTGCAGATATTGATAAGGTAGAAATGGCGGCAATGCAATGTTGACGCTGATTTACATTTCTATTTCCAACACTGAACACATGTTATTTTCAATTTCTAGGTGATTTTGTGCGGTGGGTCAACTCGCATGCCAAGAATCCAAACGCTACTACAAAAATATATTCAAAGGAAAAGAAATGTTAAAAGAATAAGTCCTGAAGGTGTTGTTGCATATGGTGCAGCCATACAGGTACGTAATGCCATGGAAAATATTGGTGAATAGCATCTAAATTTCCTATTTATTTCATACACTAACCCAACCCAATGCATTGCAAACCGCATATATTAATCATATTTTTATCTAAGGCATCGTTGCTTCAAGGAAACAAAATGAAAACATTCATAGTCATCGTATTACTTGTACTTCTCGAGCAATTGCAATAAAGGTAAACAAATGATCAAATTAACAATAATTATTTGACACTCGGTTGTAGAATAGCTTTTCAACCCACAGTCAACGCGTGGAACAAAAAGTTTTTATTTCTATACATTCTTCGTAATTTTATTTAGGTAAAGATGATGACAACACAAATTATTTTATGACCGTCATTCCTCGTTTAACACCCATTCCAGTAAAAGAATTCATAAATTTATCTCTTCACAAGACAATCAGGTACTTATGATGATATCTTGGGTATTATTTTAAAAGTGTTTCTTAGGTACCAATGATGATATCTTGGGTATTATTTAAAAGTGGTTCTAGGTACTAATGATGATATCTTGCATTATTTTAAAAGTGGTTCTTAGGTACTAATTATGATATCTTGGGTATTACTTTAAAAGTGGTTCTTTAAGGTTTACTAATCTTTATTTTATGACTCACAATTATTACGTATGTTACAAAACTAAATTATTCTCGGGTTAGCAAATAATATTTACAAATAATAGAATAGACAGTTGAATGTTTTAGAGTATCATTGTTAACCATGCACTATATGCATCTTGTGCTTATTTTACATACAAATAGCTACTGCAATTTACACTTGCATAATTAACCAACGATAATTTTGATTATTTTTAATGATAAATTCCTGTCGTCTGATATCTATTTTTATAAGAATAGCTAGTAAACGGCGTGTTTCATATTACTTGTATTTTGAACACTCTTTTCTGTTTTGAATAGCTTTTTGATAGAGTTAAGTATATTCTTATACATACAGCGACATCTTTCATAGTAATAAATATCCTATTTTATAGTTAATTTTATCTTCAAATGAAGTTCGTAATACCAATATTTGGTGGAGAAGGAAATGTGTATTTTCTTGCTTAGATTAGATTTTACAAATACAAATACTGGGTTAAATCATTATTCTTATAACAAACACGATGGAGGTCTTCATTTTAAATCATTCGTAGAGACCAAGGACGTCCAATCAAATTCTATATGAAACGATTACTCTACAATACTATAAGAATTTATCTGCCAAACAAGTGGTTGCTGACTATTTAAATTTTAAAGTTCAAGTTAAACTCATTATAAAACTTGATGTTGATATTTTATTGAATTGAACGATTGATCAGCACATGTATGATTATTTTGTATTTGAATTTTGGTTTTAGGAAAGTATATGTGTCGAAGTTTATGAAATTTTGAAGATAATATCCAACAAACGAACGAGCTTCAGCAAAGGTGCTTTATCTCTTTTTTTTCATTTTTGACTTTTTTCTTTTGTTCTTTCATGTAATAAAAATGTTTTCTCTCAGGTTGTTTGGATGAGCTGCCATCATTACCAAAAGGGGAATGTAAATTTTCAGCATCCTTCCATGCAAAAAGTGTGAGTAATAGCTACATTATTATTTTATTTAATATAATGTTTGGCCTTTATTCTGGATAATATTTCTGTTTATAACTACCGAGAGGGAGGGCAGGAGATTTAATACGACATCAAGACTTATTAAAATGACTACCCGAGAGGAGGGGTGGGGGAGGGAAGACGGAGATTTGATATGACACCAAGAGCTATCTAAGCATATATATATTTAAGTCTATCTTAGGCTCACCAGAAATAGTGAATCTTACTATCTGACCCCATTCACTTTTCCATTTACTGCATGTTTGGAATTTGGCAGTAAAATTTCAATGGCATTGTCAATAGGTATCTTGACTCTTTCTTTTGATTGTGTATCATTTGTATTTTGTGTCATTGTGTGGTTTTAGAGATGGTTCCTTTCACATTCACATCTCTGAGAAAAACATCAGGAAAATCTGTTGGAGTTACTGTTGATCATAACTAGCAATTGAACATTATCACTAAGAAACATTTGTTTCCACAAAAAATTTATACATTAAAATTGCTATTTAGCAAAATATTTTACCTTTTATTTTTCTGCGCAACTTCGTGCGTAGATAAATTTAATGACTCAATGAAGAAAAATTGAAAACACGTGTTCCATGTCATCTTTCATACTTAAACATGTCAAATTTTATTTTCTGCGCAATATATGAGTAATCTGTTTGGTAAACGAAACAGGTTAACCAAACGCTTGTAAAAATCTGTTGGTGATCTATTCACTGGTGATTACTTTAATTTGACATTAAAACGTCATCACTCAGAAGTAGAACGTTCGATTTTTCTCAGAACATTTTTGTTATTCAAGCATATTTTGACGTATTTGTGCAAATTGTTAAATAGTTTTTCAGGTCCGTACATGCGAATGAGATCAAGATTCCAACTGTCAATTTCATTATTTCTTCTACATACCAAGCATGATATTTCTTTTATTTACCATTTTACTTCTCATTTCTAAAAATATGGAGTGTGTCTTATCATCGTGCACAGGATCATGTGTAGGTAATCAGCTTTTTTTGTTGTTATACTATAATTTTTTTTATATATTATACACATTAACAAAAAGGGCTTGATTCTGAGTAAATTAAGAAAAATTTTTCTATCATTAACATAAAATCCAATAATAATAATGAACAACTTGAAACATTTCTGGGTATCGTAGCATGCATAAATGAATAAAGAAATATTACCAAAGTTTTATATGTAAGTACTATCGGTTAATACTTCCTAATTAATCATTATTGCTAGCATAATACCATGCATACTGAAAGATGACTTCAAAGTTTTGATTCGTTTTTTCAACATGATTTTTTCATTGTCTGTAGATCATTTTAACTCTAACTACGTCAATGCATTGCTTGAATTTGCGTCTTTATCTCGTATTTTATCAAAGGCAAAACTACTTTTCTGTCAGCCACGTGGCGCCACTTAGCCAACATGTCGTTTTTATTTCTTTGTGAACATTTTCAAACAAAAATACTCAATAAAATCATTCGGTAGATTTTTGTATTTGGAGTATTTTTATATGACATAAGCATGGCTGCATTTATCAAAGTATAAATTAAAACTAATTGTTGCCTTGTGTAGAGGCCTGTTTAAATTGTTGTGCATTTGTTATGCATTTCCAAATTTTTTGATAGAATAGGTCTTCAATTTTCTTAGGGGATTTAGAACCATATAGGAACGAAATTAAAACGGTGTCATGAAACAGGTTGTTAACTAAACGCTTGTACAAATCTGCTGGTGATCATTCACTGGTGATTATTTAATTTGACATTAAAACGTCATCACTCAGAAGTAGAACGGTTCGATTTTTCTCAGAACATTTTTTTGTTATTCAAGCATATTTTAACGTATTTGTGCAAATTGTTAAATAGTTTTTTCAGGTACGTACATGCGAATAAGATCAAGATTCCAACTGTCAATTTCATTATTTCTTCTACATACCAAGCATGATATTCCTTTTATTTACCATTTTACTTCTCATTTCTAAAATATGGAGGTGTCTTGTCATCGTGCACATCCTTTAAATGATGCCTTATTCAAAACTATATACATATATGTATATATAAATTTAAATAAAAAAGTACACAAGGCATAAACACAGTGTTGTGAATAATTTCATGATATTATTTTTTATGATTTAGTACATATAGGTATATAGGTATCTTACCAACCATACAAGGCATACGATGACTTTTATGGTTGGTTAGATTGTAATGGAAGGAGAGGATAATAGACTTCAAAGCAAAGAAATAGAGTGAGAAAGGATATGCTGTTCAAAGTTGTCAAAAGTAGCAGGTCCTAGTGATACAACTCTTGGAGTGTAGAAGTGTCTAGAAGAAGTATCTGTTAAGTTTTTTACTCAGGTTGAGTTGGGCTTTTTTTGTTCTTGAGGGTGGGAGAAGACACTCGACGAATGGAGTAGAAGTGTATTGTACATCCATACAATAAAATTATGAAAAACAGTAAGAAAAGCTAGATAATGTGTAGAAATAGGCATCTCTGAGCATACATATACCATATGTAGAAAATGGAGAAAAGAATCAAGTGTGTTGTGTGTTAGAGTATCAGCTAGAATAAAAAGACAGTTTAAAAGATAGTTTAGGAAGAGCTGGAGGTTTCAGAGATGAAGATAGTTTGATGTTTTCTTTAGGAATAACAAGGTTAGACAGAATCAAGAATAACGCCCGTATTCCTAAAGGCTCACTCGATTGATTGTTTGATTTGAAATATCTAAGAGAAAATCTTGTCTTAGATGGAGAAATGACTTTGCCAATGATTAGAGTGTGATATTTATGTCGCACCAAATGAGTGTGAAGGCGTGTGAGCTTTATTGAGTGTGAGTGTGAGTGGAGGTTTTAGAATATGGGCATAAGGTTCAGCTCATGTTAGATGTTTTGGAGAAAAAAACCAGTGTGGCTATAGGGTAAGATGATTTGTCATGTACAGAGAAGGATATTGAGAATATAGGTACAAGGATGTTAAGTTAAGAAATTTTTCAGGTAAGAGGCTTAGAGGAAAGGTCTTAGAGGAGGTATGACGTGAGGACAATGTTTTATATTTTAGATAATGAAGCATTTATTTTCCAACACCAATCATGTTGCATCAAAAATCGCATTCTATTCATCACTAAGTTAAAGTAATAATGAGGATTTCTCTGAACAAAAAGATATCTCTGTTTTTGACGATAGTCAAATATTTTCTATTCTAAATATATTATGAGCCATGTTTACATTTCGATGTCATGCATGTGGCGCTCTTTTGTTGCAATTGTAATTGTAAAACATTTAGTGAATCTATATATATAATATAAAATAACGCGAATTCATGCTTCATCTAATAAAAATGTAGACATTAATCATATAGATACGAGGTCCACGGAAAGTTTCCGTAAGACATTTTTCCACAAAAGCCACTTGACCTGTCTGACAAATATTATCAACACAAAGAGATTGTGCAACAATCAAAATTCATCCTAATATCAGGTGCTGCTCCTCAATGTATTGATATGCAATTGTGTAATGGACCTCCTTTAATCCAACATGCGGTTTGCCATTACCCTATATGTTCTGTACCATCTCTTCCCGTCATGGAAGTACCTTCCGAAAATAAATTAACGAATGCTGTAAACACTGAAAGACCACCTCTCGAATCTGTAAAAGTCAACCTACTCCATCAGTTTGTGACACCAATAAATCTGATCCTAATTCGCATCTCTGAACTCAACTCCTAAACCGTCATCTTCATCCATTCCCACGGAAGGACCACAACCTTTTAACTTTTGACAACTAAACACCCTAGCGAGAGAGAAAACAACAGGAAGTTCTCAAGCATCAAGTACTATTTATCCGCCAACACAACCTTTTAACTTTTGACAACTAAACACCCTAGCGAAGAGAAACTACAGGAAGTTCTCAAGCATCAAGTACTATTTATCCGCCAACACAACCTTTTAACTTTTGACAACTAAACACCCTAGCGAAGAGAAAACAACAGGAAGTTCTCAAGCATCAAGTACTATTTATCCGCCAACACAACCTTTTAACTTTTGACAACTAAACACCCTAGCGAAGAGAAACTACAGGAAGTTCTGAAGCATCAAGTACTATTTATCCGCCAACACAACCTTTTAACTTTTTGACAACTAAACACCCTGGCGAAGAGAAAACAACAGGAAGTTCTGAAGCATCAAGTACTATTTATCCGCCAACACAACCTTTTAACTTTTTGACAACTAATTACCCAACCAAAACGACACAAACAGAAAGTACTCAGGCTGCAAACACTGTTTATGAAACAACTAAACATCCAGTATTTACCCAACAACCAAGCAGTAGTACCCCTTCACAATCCAATAACAACCAACACAGCCAAGCAACAACACGCAAGCACATCCCATTGTCAACCAGCAACGTCCAGGTAAAAGCAAGTATCGACAACCTTATATCAATTTGAATAAACCCGTGACTACAAATGGTCTTTTTGTAGTTCCATGCAATGTTAATAGAGAAGTCAAAGCTTGTGGTGACAAAAATCACGTCATAGTTACTATTGATGTACCAGTTGGTGCTGTAGCGTTAAAACGTGCTTTTAAATTGCGTAAAAGGCCCACAAGACCCCCGATTTTAAATGGTAAGTTATCTTCGCCACTTTTGAGACATCTGGCATGTAAATCAAAACGTTTCTTAACTTTCTTTACGCTACTTTGAATGATAACTTTGATCCCCGTTCTTGTTAGGTGTAGGTGAATGAGCATACGCGAACGTTGTGTAATGTTCATAAAATGCTACGTAAAATTTTCTGTTGTAGATATCTTCAATTTTTGTCCTGTTTCATTTAAGAAGAAAGGCTGTTATCGAAATAATCATCACGGTGATTATCATCTTCACGAGCTACTCTTCACAGATCGTGACAGCTCTTCCAGTGCGTTTTCTGGAATCAAAAGTTTAAAATGACTTTGCAAAATTATGTCTTAAAGTTGATTTGTCGATGTGCAGAGAAAGCTAATCAAAACCAATTTACATATTTTGCCATTCAGCACAATGGTATGATGATGCTATACTATTTTATACATCCGTTATCTTTTTGTAGTCCCTTCGCGAATTTGAAACAAATAAGAAACTAGCATGGTCTAACATAGGCTAAAGATAACGTTAGTACATGACTGCATCGTTATAGCAACCAGTGGGCTTGAGCGTAACCAGCTTGCAGGTTTTAGTACTGCGATGTAAAGATGAGGATATTGCCATTATTTTATCGGCAAAAATATTAATTTCAACACTCACTCAAAATAGTTTCGTTTGAACGGTGTTATTTTCATCGAATGTAAGATTTTTCATAAAATGTGGTAATCAGTCGTAAAGATAAAACATTTTTTGATGTTTTTAAAAATTACCGTTTGATACAAATACATCGATAAAAATTTTACTCATTTTTTTGATTTGTTAAATTGTGTGTTTATTATTTATAGGAGATTGTAAGAGTGGAGATCAAACATCGCTGAACAATTATAAAAAGTGTAGAAAAGTCGAAAGCATGCATTTCTCATGATCTATCACCTTGTGAAGATATTAGTTCTGTATGTGGGAAAAAATGGTTCTAACTTTGTGTACGAGATAACTGGTATGTCTTGCTTACAGTTAATATTAGTGATAGTAAGTACATATATTATTCACAGCAAATTCGCAGTCTTTTTCTATTCCATAATCACTTTGTTCATTATGAATCTGTCTTCCTTAGTTTTAAAAGTGATATTTTACTTCATGAAATTTCTATTTTGATTTTAAAATAAGTCGCGATAAGAGACAAATCGACTTTTTTGTCCAAACACACGTGCTTCCAGGAAGTCGCCATTATTGAACAAGAAAAAAGTGCGAAATGCTCAATTCAAGTGGCCCATACCCTTTTAACGTCGCATAAACTTGACCCCGTGCATCTAGGCCTGCATATGAACCATACAAATTGCATTACATTATACATTTCTAGGAGGTCCTGGCCCTGAGAAAAAGAGTTTTATTGCCTTCAAAGAAACTGTAAAAGAACGTTGAGAAAAATATGAAACACGAGCTTAGAAATCGCAAATTGAATTAATAACGTAAATTGTAATATGGTTGTTTGATTCTCTAAGTTACCTTTCATTTACAATGACTCAAATTTCATCTCATTAAAAATCGTATGATTATAGTCATTTATAGTTAATGAGAGCCAGTCAGAGATTCTGTGTTATTATTTGACAGTGATCCATTAGTCAAAAGCTTAGATTGTTCATAGTTTTGGGCGTAGGCAGAGCAAGCTGTGGATCAGAGAAACAACAGGATTAGTGGATTACAGGTTTTCGGTTATTGGAAAAAGATCGTGTCTGTTGGTGGACCTTTCTTATCGCGACACACACGCCGCTCGGCTCCCGGCAATAGACGGGAAAATGTTTCTAGATAGATTTAATGCACTCTACTACTAATGTCCGTTAATTTCTATAAGCTATACACTTCTATTCCTTCGAAATAGACTGTTGTATGTAAATATAATGCATACTGATTTCAGTGGCGTCACCACAAAAATATCATTGAGGAGATTCTCAAAGTGAGGAATATTGCGAATCCAATATTTTAGGAAACGGCGAGTTTCACTTTTGAAAGCACATTTAAAGCTGCATACCTACTTTATATGAACGGGTTTTCCGGTTGAATGAATAAGGTAATAGCTAATAATTCCCAATTCCCAAAAAGAAAATCATTAGCTTAGTGTTATTTTTGAAAAATTCAGTCTAATAGCTATGATATTTTAGGATTTCTAATACCGTATTGTACATCATTGCAGTTCCAACGAGTCTTAAGCCCCGATCATATAGGTAGACACTGTTGGACAAATTAGATACACGAATTTTATTTTCAAAGTTACACAGCTTTTTGTTTATTGTGATATTGTGGATGCTTTGATTCCACAAGATATTCTCTCCCAAGAAGTTTGAAGATTGAAAACTTGGGTTGATTTTCAACGTTAGTCGGGCAAAAGTACAAGTGAAAGAAATTATTACGTGTAATTTGAAGTCAAGAAATCTGGTGAATGGGAAAAATATTTGCTGTCTCCTTTCCTCTCCTTCCTTCCCCGAGAAATTATAGATCCCTGGCCGTATGCGTACCTTATTTAGCCCATAAGACATACCGGGAGTAAACATTAAAAATTGTGGTTGGAGAAACCGGAAACGCCTTTTCTATATTTGAAATAGTGTCTCCTAATATCTCATGTAATTCCCATGTTCACAGTAATATACATGTCGACACCAATTTCTAAGTCACGTGATGAGTAAATATTTGTTATTTACTCATATTCTTAGAATCTTTGTTGCGAAAACTTAGATTGAGTTTGCAAGCTCGTAAGCTTCATATCGTGACGTTTCCCAGTCTATATTTGCCATAAAATTCAGGTAACATTCTTCAATGTGCATTTTGTAATACCTTAACGTAAATGAGTTCATTATTTCATATTTATTTCGAGCATGTTGAATTACTGGAAATACTTTAGTCAACTGTATATTATAAACCCTAACAACATCTTTCCAAATTCTAGTCGCTTACTCATTTTGTTTTTGTACGGAAAAATATTGTCGAGGCTTAGAGAGTTTCGGTAAAACTATACCGATTGTAATGTTTACGAATAAGATTCCAATTGACGTGTATTACGAAGATAAACAACGGCATCAGAACAGCAATATTTGAGAAGAAGCGTAGTCAGCCGTTCTCTTTAATGAACAGAATTTATATTAATGTTGATCAACGACCATACGACCGATATTGATCTATATTTAAAAATAAAATAAAGTGAGTGTTTGAGATAATTGGTAGAACAAGTAAGACCAGCAGAACAACAGCGCTGCCATATGGTTCTCTGAACACAGCATTCTACCAGTGAAATTTTAATCATTAACCAAAAGTAAACGCTTGCATTCCAAACTGGTACTGTTGGCAAACTCGTAGATTCTAAATATTTTATATGGTTCTTGTGACTTCACACGATCGCAATGTAGTAAGAGCAAAACGAAAGGAGAATATAATTGCTGATGAAATTGAAAATATCAGATGATAAAGTCCCAGCGTTCGAACTTATGTTAAGTTAAGGTTGGCCTCATATGTTAGAGAGGGACAACGTTGGTGTAAATTCTTAAAAACGACGATGAGCTGAAACTATTTTACTTGAATAAATCATGAATAGAAATATAAACAAAGAACTAACTTGCAGCTAAATCAGAGATCGGAGCACAGAAGCCATATTGAAATTTTCACGTGAAACGTGAACTGAAAGATAAATATTAAATGTCACCATCAAAGTTACGCGCGAATTGTTTTGTCGTCTGGCCGCGAAATATGATTTTACCCACTTTTAACTTTTTGTAAAAACATCATCGTATGCGCATCAGAGGCGGATTTAAACTTAGTCAACTAAGTCGGGCGACTAACGTATTAACGTGTCACTTTCAAAAATTCCGTGGCTATTCCTTAAATTATAACACTTGAGCTTTAAAATTTCTAGTCTGAAGATCTGAAGATTTCTAGTCTAAAGATCTGTTTTATTAGATCTGAACCATGTGGAAATTGTCTATACAGCTCTGCTTCTCTGGCCTTGGTTGAAGCAATGCTCTCATTCACACTTTGAGAGCTATGGTATCTATAGAGCTTTTATATATGCAAATTATTATTGTTATCATCCAATATTCACTTCCACCTTAGAGAAGCATGGTGACAAGGTCTCTGTTAGTGCAAAAATGTTTTGGCTATGTCCTGTTGTTTTGAAAGTGTGGATTCACGTTTATCAGGGCTTGATCTTGTTAAATGGAAGCTCTTTGCAACTGTAGAGATAAAATTTGGGGTAGTTTTTGTGTATACTTGCTCTCCTCAGTTACTAATAGAATCATTTCTTTGATGCATCCTGATTGTGGAGAAGTTTCTTTTAAGTTGTTATTCAACCAAATTATTTCACCTTGTCTTCCTTTTACCAACACCACCTACTCAATATAACTATTTATACCTCTTGTTTTGTTCTACAACTGTATTGACTTCTAGTAAAGTCTTTAAGCCAAATCACTTTGCACCTCTTATTTTCAAACCTATCAGTAAACTAAAAGAAAGGTTCTGCTTTGTTAGAAAAAGCTAACAAGAAAATTCCTCATGTTCAGGCAAGTTGAAAGAGAGAGTCTTCTACTGTTAACATTTCTAATTTTTTTCAACCAGTTTCAACCCCAGCAAGTAATAAGGCTAAACAATTTATTTTGCCCAAATTATTTAGTACTACACAAACACAATCAACACAAAAGGTGCCTGCCATCACTAGTCTTGGTTTAATACATAACCCAAAACAAGAACTTTTGCAATCATTTTCATTAGATTTTTCACAGCAATATCCAAATGATGTGAGATATTTTAGAGAAAAAGCTAGAAATATGAATGATTCTCAAAAGCTCCAGCTCATTCACAATGTTTTAAACCGAATAGATCCTACCCATTTCCTAAATCAGCTGATGGTCGATCTTTTCTTTATTCGTGGCTGGAAGATTATTCTTGGTTGTGTTATCCCCTTCTTTGATGGTGCTTTTGTCTGCCTTGTGTTTTGTTTAGTGATCAGTTTCAATAAAAATACAAAAATTAAAAACTTTTAGTGAACCAATGACATATTGGCCTGATGCTAAAGCTTGCTTCCAAACGCCATATTGGTTTGAGTTCTAAGGCTCTCACCAGAGCAGGTTTGCATGAAAGCACACGTAATAAATATTTGTCATTAGTTGGTCAGGCATCAGGAGAAGGACTGCAGATTGAGGTGTTGATTGATGAGCACAAACAGCAAGTCATCAGGCAAAATAGGGAAAAACTTGTATCAATAATTGATACTATTAAACTTTGTGGTAGACTTGGGTTAGCATTAAGAGGGCACCGTGATGATTCTTCATATCATCCGGAGGTTGGTTCTTACTCAAAAGGTGGTGTTGGTAACTATGTTGAATTGTTAAATTTTCGTGTTCGGCTGGACACAGTTTTAGCTGATCATTTGAAAATTGTCCAAAGAATGCTTCTTATATTTCAAAGACTACTCAAAATGATCTAATTGCTGCTTGTGGACAGGTTATCACTGAAAAAATAACTAGTGAAATAAAAATAAATAAATTTTTTAGTATAATTGCTGATGAAGCAGCAGATTCTGCAAACAAAGAGCAGCTTTCTCTTGTGATTCGTTTTGTAGATAGCAATAGGAATGTTAGAGAAGATTTTGTGAGGTTTTTGCACTGCAAATGGGGTTTATCAGGGAAAGTCTTGAGAAATTAATTCACAGTGCATTATCAGAACTAAAATTAAGCATTGAGGATTGCAGAGGTCAGGGATATGATGGAGCTGGGGCTGTTGCAGGGCATATCAATGGTCTTTCTGCACGCATTCTTCGTTTGAATTCTAAAGCAATCTACACCCACTGTTACAGCCATAGGTTAAATCTTGCAATATGTAATTCATGTTCTGTCCCTTTGTCAGAAATGTTTTTAGTCAAATTAAAGAACTTTCTTACTTTTTCAATCTCTGATGGATGGCAAATGTTACTTTCAAAAGCAGTTGAAGACTATTGCCCACATTCAGGTATAATCAAAGTTAAAGGATGTTTGTCGAACTCGATGGATTGAGCGAATAGATGGTCTAGATATATTTCAAGAATTATTCCTTCCAATTTTTCATACTTTAACTGAAATGAGCCATAATGCTGGTCATGTGTGTAATCCAGAAACATCTTCTAAAGCTTCTTCTTTCCTAGCATTGATTTCCACCTTCAGATTTATTGTTAGCCTTGTCATTAGTAGAAATATTTTAGATTTAACACTTCCTGTTACTCAGTTATTACAAGCTAAAACCTGTGATGTTATGGATGGAATGCATTTAATAGAGTCATTAAAAAACTTGGGAATTTTATTGAGGAATGATGTTGATTTATATCATGGTAAATGGTATAGTGAAGCAGTTTCTTTAGCTAAAAACGTAGATGTCGATGAAAAATGCCCAGAACAGCTGGCAGACAAGTTCACAATGAGAATCACCCATCTTCTAGCGCTT